AAAGGGGTGATCAAAATTATGTGTATTTTGTTTCAAATATATGTAGATATTTTTAGACTCTTGCATGTTTAGAAACAGAAAACGATGTTAGTTTAAGTCTTGCACTTAAACATGTCATTTCGAAATCAAACAAATTTTAATAAAAAAGATCCTCTTATAAAGGGGTCATATTATCAGACAAAAATAAACTTGTTTGTTTTATGAAAATGGAAACTTTTACAATGTACAACTTGAGCACACTTAGAATTATTTTTGTCTTCTTAAGAACGTCATAGCAGATCATATTTCTGTATTAGGTTTTGAAAAAAAAAATGTATTGAATATTAAATTCAAGCTTAAAAAAACAGTTATGATTGAATTATGTAAACTGGTATGTGCATGACGAAAATAGAAAATGTTAAAAAATGAAAATAGATTGCAAAGGAAAGGTCAAAAAACAGTCGGAAACTTTCTAATTTATTGTTAACCTCACTACTTCTGGGTTTCACATATAATATTAAAAGATTATGCCAAGGGGTTTTTCTCTCTTTGTTGTGAATTTTTGGGGAAAATTATTACTAAAATTGCTAATTTGTGAAAGTAAAATCCTAATTTAAGTTATAGTAAAATTGGGAATTCTTCATCATTTTAAAGAAGATTTCTATTGGAAAGAGGCATTTGATAGGCCTGTTTTATATACAAAATGTATTATTAAAATTTTAATGCCCTGTGGCTATAATAAGGCTATGCACCATGCCTCTATTGGTTAAGCTATGTGGTTAGCTCAATAGGTAGAGTGTTGGACTTTAAATCAGATGACCTGGGTTCCATTCCCAGACAGCGCAGGTCCCTTTTGTTGTGATTGACCATGAAATCCTTTCTACGGTTATTCACATGGTATCTCTGCTAAGTTATCAGTCCTTGCGAAAGTGAAGGCAATATGTAGTACTGGTGAACTGCTTGACAGCTTACCCAGGCAAGATGTGGTGGCTGATTCCTGTACTCTGGTCAATGCAATGTGGCTCCCTGTGACATGATCAGGAGGGTAAACTACCAACACCACTACCACCTTCATTGCTACCATCATGCCGCTTACTTAGGCTATACTGCTGTTTGTTTACTCAGTATTAATATTTTTATGTTGGTATCCATTAAATAAGTAATAGATATTTCCAAACTCAAAGTAGGACAAATCTGTTTTGCAAACTAAATGAAAAAAAAAATCTTAGTTTTTTCTTTCAGAAAGTCTAAAACTTGTAAGATAGTTGCTTAGTTGATAAAAAGTTGGTTTTGTTGAATGTTGGATATTTTCAGTGTATTTAAAGCCAATATTTTCATGTTGTGTCAGTTATGTAGAGGGTCATTAGCTCTTTAAATTTTGTCCTTTAAATTTGAAATCAGAATGTCAAGTCTTTTATTTTTTCAATGGGCAACAGAAGTCAGTGATCCCCCTTTACAGTAAGAGTAAGAGTTCAAAAATGTCTACCTTGTAGCTGTATTGACTTTAAAATTTATGAAATTATCAGTTACTAGTTAAAACTTAGATCGCTGGTTAAATACATGTATTTCTTTACAATAAAGAAAGAAGAAATATCAAATGTTTTAATCTCAATCTCTTAGGTCTAAATATATATCAAGACATTTGTACTTAATGAAAGGTTATTTAATATACAAGTAACAAGAAAAAGGAAATCTTATATTTTAGGCAGAAACATTACGCACATTGTGTTTATATATAGAAAACAAGGTATCGGTTATTTCTAACATTCAATTAAAAATGTAATTCATCAATATCATTTACAAAGCTAAGTGGACGTTGTGACAAGATATACAAATATACATGTATACGCCCTTCGTAAAGTAAACAATATTTTGTTGAAGATAATATCTCGGGTATCAGTATGCAAACGTCTTTTCTTTTAATGTATCTATATCAGTATTCAGATTTCTCCTGGCTTTTTAAGCTTGTCATATCATTATCATAATTAATGCCCAATTTTTTTTAGAAATTGCTAATTGCATAAACCATGAAAATTGATCTCTGTTTTTTGGTCAGCCATGGATTGTATTAAAGTCTTGAAACATAATTTTTAATGTGTTCAATTTAGCTCAGAATTCAAAGATCATGTTTATGTTGTTTTTAAAGCACAATTAATGTGTTTTTAAACCATTGAAACTATGCACTAGAAACCGCACCATAATCCAAAGATAGAATAACTCTAGCTTGGATTTTGACTTAATTATTTCCCTTTGCAATCGAGATGAATGTTTTGTATGAGTCATGAAGAACATTTTCACTTCATGACCTTTGGTTCTATGTCACAGGTTATTGTTTTTTTGTCAAGTTTTTGTTAAAGGCTCACTGTTATGCCAGAGATATGCATTATTTTCATTTCTCAAAAGCCTTTTATTTTTGGTGTCTTGTTATAGTCTTTTGGCAATTAGTGGAGATATAGTGTTTTAATATGTTGTATAGTGTTTCACAATGTTGTATAGTGTTTTAATATGTTGTATAGTGTTTAAGTATGTTGTATAGTGTTTTAATATGTTGTATAGTGTTTAAGTATGTTGTATAGTGTTTTAATATGTTGTATAGTGTTTAAGTATGTTGTATAGTGTTTTAATATGTTGTATAGTGTTTAAGTATGTTGTATAGTGTTTTAATATGTTGTATAGTGTTTAAGTATGTTGTATAGTGTTTCACAATGTTGTATAGTGTTTTAGTATGTTGTGTAGAAGTCAAAAGGCTACTTTGTTGACATTTTGCTGCTTTAATGACAAATAATTTCACATTCAGTTCTACTATCTTCAGTTGATAAGTAAAACCGTAATGTAAATGTTATAAAACTCATGTTTCCCCTTTCCAAAGCAGGAAAATTTTTATCCATTTGTGAGACATTATGTGCCTTTAAAAAGCTATAACTAAATTAGTTGAATTTGTTTAAACTGAATTATTCGACTTAGTCATTAACACTAACAACTCTAGCCTAATTTTCTTTGAATAATTCTGGCAATTCCTAGGTAAGCACTTAAATATATAATTATGCAAGTTATTAAATCTTAATATATTCATTTTAATCTTAGAACATGAGGCACTGAACAAGACTCGCATCTCTAACATGAGATTTTTACTGAATTATTCCTCTTTGTGAACTAATCATGGATTATTCCCCTTCATGTTACTAAATTTTATTAAGTTTGGCATGCTGTCAGCGCTGATATGTTGCCAGTACTATTCCGAATTCTGAGAAACATTTTCCTTTTAATCTGAGTTCAATAGAGCCCGAAAATAATCTTTGATTAATTCATATGGTAATCTTAATTGAAATTTTTGTTAAAATTTGTATGAAAAAAAATTATTGACCATTGGGTTACCTAGCCTAAAAAATGTATAGTATAACTTTATGGTTTTTAAAAACATGAAGTTTAAATGTTTTTACAATTTTGATGAAGCAATTGGTGATTAATGAAAATCAATGAAAGTAATGTGTTAACTATTTTCTGTAGATAATTGACTTGCTTTCAATTTCAAGTCACAAATTTCTATTCATTTCTTTGAGAGTTTATCAGGGAGGTTATCCTGGTACAAAATTAAACTTTGTCACTACAGGAGAATACAGTATACTACCTGAGCTATTTATGTGCAATAGAAACATTTGTAATGAATCACTAATCATTTCTGATCAAAGATAGATAAAAGCTGCCAAATTATTGGTTACATATGGCATTGATACAATCCAATGTATATTGTTACCAGCAAAATGCATTTTGTTCAAATTGTAAATACATTACAATCGTTAAATCTACCAAAAATATTTTGGTCACTTATTTTTTTTCCCAAAATTTTAACAATTTGATTGTCATTTTGTGCTTTTAAATGTCAGAGGTGCAGATTTTTCATAGATAGAACAAATTATGTAAAAACTACATTTATATATTAATATGTTGTGTTTTTTTTCTTTGGGACTTTGTCAAATAGGTGGGTGAATGTGTTGAAAATTCTAGGAAGTTTGTTGATGTTGTTTTAAACACTTTTGATGACTTTATATGTTAGTGTATTGTAACAATATGTGTCTGTAAAACAGATCATCATCCATGCCATTTTAGTATTAAACCTGGCATTTCATTCAATAGATGGCAAAAAGATTCCTCTATACGTCTGTCTGTCCAGTTTTTGTCCTGTCCATAACTTATAACTTTGTTATTCATGGATTGATTTTGAAACAATTTTGGCATAAATTTGAAACACATTAAGTCCTTATTATCAATTGGACAAACATTGTCTTGCTCCATATTTTAAGATTATTGAAAATTTGATTGACTTTTTCTTCACCTTGTCATGTTGGCTCTTTAATTTTGAGTTGGTTATTTTACTTTAGATTTTATCATTGCAAGACTTCAGTTAAGGAAATTACACAAATTTCATTTCAGCAAAATCAGCAAGTAGTTTCATGTTATTATATGACCAATCGGCAATGTAATAATTATAATGTAAGAAAAATGTGAAAAATGGTTTACTTTAAACTAATCACTTTAAAATTATTATCCCAAGATATAATAATATATTGGCACTGATTAAGTTATAAAGTTAATGTTTTATTCTTTATATTAGCCAGTTTAAGGTTATTCCCCTTTGATTAATATACCTATCACCAAGTGAAAAACAGTCTAGCATGTCACCAATACAGGCCAGTTTTAATGGTTATTTTAGAAAATCTCTTTGCAAATAACAATATTGAATTCTTTTTGACAGATATTAAATATGATGACTAGGTTTTAAACAAATATTTTTGCAAGTATGTTCAATGTAGAGAATTATTTGCCTCAGAAGACAGAATGAAAAATGCCCATTAAATCAACAAGATTTGAAAATAGAAGTATAATCTAAGTTAGAACCAAGGCCTCTTAAGTTTCTATCATCGATATTGACTATAAACGCAATCACTCTTCCATTGATTACGAGTGATTTCATTGGCCTAGCTCTAGTGTTACGCATAAATGAAGTACATTGTTATCCGACTGTCAGGTACATACGATAGGGATTTCTGTTCTTGAGCCGTCAGGTTAAAATAGATTTTGAATTTCATTGTGTAAGGACGACCGGTGTGAGTATTGAAACGATAAACAATTCTGTGCTACATAATCGTTACATAACACCGGGAAAATTTTGATAGTTTAGCTGTACATAATTCATTGGATTTTTACTTCATCATATATAGTTAAACTGAATGTATCGTGTCTAAACTAAGGATAGTGAATTAACTCATAAGATAGTTGCGAAAACTTATACGGAATAAAGGTGATAATAGATATTCACAAAGAAAAGAGAATCAATAACGTAATTTGTGTTTTTTGTGACTATTTACATCATATATTCGACATTTTAAACAAATAGTGTTTATCAAAAACCGGCAGGATATTACATTCAACATTGTGTAGGATTCTAGCTTTTGGATATTGTAAAGTGTTATGATGACTGCTCCAGATTAACCCTATATTTTGATATTTTTCCAAATGAAGGTAATTGATTTATAATTTATGTATTATATATCCTTCTATTAATTGCTAGTTGTTTTAGTTTAATATGAAGCACTTAGTTTAAACAGTGCTTTGTTAAAAAAAAATTCTCAGTCTGAAAACACTAAAAAAAACTTTTTTCAGGATCATTTTTTTGTGTGTGTACATGTATTTTTTGGTTTTTTTTTGTTATTGTTGTTGTTAATTAAAGTGGATAATGTATATTGGATTACTATGTACAGGCAAAGTGAGGTAGGAGAGAATATATATTTTTTTATTTGGATGTTTATTGTTTGTCAGTTATATTCTTTAAAAAAAAATTGACTAACTTATTATTAATAAGATATTCAATGATCATGTATGAATCTCAGCCATTTGTTTTTAATTAGTAATAGAATAAATTATTTTTCTTAGGATTATGAAATTTTTTATCAGTAGGTCGAAATTTTATTGAAAAGAATAGAAAAAGATATTATAAATTGTATGCCTTTATATTATGCCTTTGAAAAGAAACTACCTTGATACTTTGGACACATGAACTTTCTTTCAAATTTCAGGTTGAGAAAAGTTACCCATGAATACTTTATAACATTATGGTCATGTGTTTCACCATTTTCAGCATAGAATGTGATGGTACATTTAAGATACCATACCAAATACCTGGTGATAATTTCTAATCTAGGTTAACATTTAATTTGTTTGTATGTTTCAGAGTAATGAGTGGACGTAACACAAACCGAGGTCAAATAGGTCCTAGTGGAGGGATACCAGCCCTCTTAGTGCAAGCGGAAACCCCGCAGCCAAATAACGATAACATACGTCTACCAGCCTTACCTACACAACGGTCTGTACTAGCAAATGGAAAGCCTACGCAAAATGGCTACATGGAAAAGTCATTGTTTGTTACTCCAAGAGCACCCGGTCCTGGGCCAAATGGAATCTTTAATGGGCGCTCAAATAAAAATGGTAACATTTTAAGTATTTTCAAGTAAAGTTTAGATTTTTTTTAAAAAAATCATGTTTCAATAAATTCATACAAATTTCTGCATATACATTACCCATTAACTACTTAAAAAGTAAACATTTTTGAATAGGAAATAAAATATTCTGAAATGAAATCATGCCTATTCATTTGGGTATTTACATAATTTATATATAAAAGTGGCTTAAATTTTAATCAATTACCAACTTGATACATAAACAAGTATCGATCATTTAGAAACATATTGAGCAAAACAAGGTCCTTCCCTATCTCGAGTTTCAGGGCATGTCTGTACACTTTACTTTACTGATAGTGTATAATGACATCAAAATATAACAGCTATTTCATTTTGTACATTTTGACTTTAACAGAAAGTGCATGATTTAAATGTTTTATTTCTAAATTCATTTACAATTAAGTTATATTGACATTGCTTTCAGAATGTTCCTGTAAATGTATTTTAATATCTCATTTCAAAAGATAAAAAATTGTTTGAATTTCATAAATCATTTGTGATGTAAATAATAGCTAGTTTCTTCCATATTGAGTTGTTAACATGCATATTTTCAGTCATCAAATTAAGCACTGGCCCGGTGGCTCATGGCTAGTGAAAATTAGTTTTGGCCAGTATAAATGTTAAGAAAATTTAGTTAAATATATAGTAGAATTATAAAATTCAAAACTGGAATTCGGGCTGGTGTAAATTCAAAATCTTAAATTCAATGACTGTATTTTCATTCTAAAGTAATAGTAATGATTGTGTTACAAATTAGGACCAAACAAACTTTTCAAGTGACTTTTATTTTCAAAAAATGATTTTTGGTATATTTTCACTTGACAAACTTATTTTTCTACAAAATTTTAAAAACAATTTCTTTTCATATTTTAATTAATAGTGTGATATACAATTTCTTAAAATATCTGTTTACATTTATGTTACATTTTTACAATCAATGGTTGTTTTCCCTAATATGCTCATGGCACACATAATATTAGATTTTATCTCTGTGAAATTTTCTTAAATTCAAAACTGCTTCAAACAAATCTACCGAAAAAAAATAGTCTTAATACCATGTAATTGCATCATATATTTACAATATACTGTAGTCCTAAATAATAATATAAGTATATATCAAACATGTAATTCAAGAAGAATAGAAAAAAAACTCAATTAGTGTTAAAAAAGGTGCAGGGTAGAATTACATAAAAAAGATTGCTGTGTTCATTTTTGTATAGATGCACTGAAAAGATGTATTAATAATGAAAACAAAAAAGTGTCAACAGAAGCAGTGTTTCATTTAAAAGATTTACTGTTGTACATGTTGGCAAGGATAATATTATCAATCTTCAATATAAGTTTTCTATTTATAATTTGTTTTTCTTTCTCTAACTTTACCAGGTGTTTTACCTTGTTTCTTAAATATCTTAAATAAAAATTGAGCCACGTCATGACAAAACCAACTTAATATGTTTGCGACCAGCATAGATCCAGACCAGCCTGTGCATCCGCGCAGTCTGATCAGGATCCATGCTGTTCGCTATCAGTTTCTTTACTTGTTATAGGGTTTGTAAGCTAACAGCATGGATCCTGATCAGACTGCGCGGATAAGCAGGCTGGTCTGGATCCATGCTGGTCGCAAACCCACTATGTTGGTTTTGTCATGACGCGGCTGAAATGATGTAAAAGAGAAAACGGGTCATCCTCTCAATTTGTGTACATTGTGTAGAAAAAGAAAGAAAGAAAAAATGATACGGAAAGTCATAACAGTTTAGCTTTATGATTTTCCTGTTTAAATAACTTTAAAATTTCAAATTATATCCATGAATGTTTTATTCTTTATTATCTTTTTAGTATGTAAAATCAAACACTGTGTGAATAAAGTATTTTATTTATGGATAAAACTGTAAACATTTTGTATTTCTATATAAAAAGTGATTAAATAATGTATTTTGATAGTTTTCAAAATTTACAACAACAATAAAAACAAAAACTTGAAATCATTAATTTTCTCTCCAATTGATAAAGTAATCATTATGCTCATGTGACAAAAGAAATGAAAAAAAAACACAAACAAAAAAAACAGTGAACACATAAACAGAGCCGAGGGAAGAAAAATCAAAAACATCATTATTATTGAAAGTTTTAAACTATGACCCTACCCTTCTCAATAATTATGTCATTATACAAACATTCTATAGACCGAAAAATGGTCAAGCGGACAGAATTTCCCGCATTTTGAATTATGTTTCAAGTTAACAGTTTAACAAAAAGGAAATATTTTTTTAATGACTTATATATCACTATTTACAAAAGTGATTATGTTTTTCCTTCCCAAATTCATATCTTTGATTTTTATTTAATGTAATATACACTCAAGATCAGAAAAGTATTCGGTTTTGAAGCAGGTTCCATTCAAATTAACATGATATAATTCTCAAATTTAGGTTGTACAGTGTAAAAAGACTATTTTGTTTACTTGAAACTTTCTAAATTTTTGTTAGAGAATAGCTGTAATATTTACATGTCCTTAAAATGTAAAGAACTTAACTCTTGTATTATCCAAATACTGGGGAAAATATTTCTCTAGCTTTGCTGGGTCTTATGTAAGAGTCTCTTGTTAAATTTGACAACAATTTTAGATAAATTGCTGAATTAATTGAAATCGTTGATCAAATATGATTATTTTAAAGAGTATTTGACTTTTAAAATGATAAAATATATTTTTTTCCAATTAGATGCCGTCATTTAACATTGTAGATTAATAACAGTTTTTTTTTAGCTCACCTGTCACAAAGTGACAGGGTGAGCTTTTGTGATCGCTTTTCGTCCGGCGTCCGTCGTCCGTCGTCCGTCGTCCGTAAACTTTTACTTTAAATGACATCTCCTCATAAACCACAAGGCCAATTTCATCCAAACTTCACAGGAATGTTCCTTTGGTGGTCACCTTTAAAAATTGTTCAAAGAATTTAATTCCATGCAGAACTCTGGTTACCATGGCAACCGAAAGAAAAAACTTTAAAAATCTTCTTTTAAAAAACCATAAGAGCTAGAGCTTAGATATTTGGCATGAAACATCTTCTATTGAGTGTCTACCAAGTTTGTTCAAATAAAAGCCCTGGGGTCAAAATTGGCCCCGCCCCGGGGGGTCATTGATTTTCCCTATATGCATATAGTAAAAACTTTAAAAATCTTCTTTTAAAGAACTCAAAGAGCTATGGCTAAGATATTGAGCATCAAACATGTTCTAATAGGTGTCTACCAAGTTTGTTCAAAGAAAAGCCCTGGGGTCAAAATTGGCCCCGCCCCAGGGGGTCATTGATTTTCCATATATGCATATAGTAAAAACTTAAAAAATCTTCTTTTAAAGAACCAAAAGAGTTAGAGCTAAGATATTTAGCATGAAACATGTTCTAATAATTGTCTACCAAGTTTGTTCAAATAAAAGCCCTGGGGTCAAAATTGGCCCCGCCCCGGGGGTCATTGATTTTCCTTATATGTGTATAGCAAAAACTTAAAAAATCTTTTTTGAAAAAACCCAAATAGCTAGAGTTAAGATATTAAGCATGAAACATCTTTTAGTGAGTGTCTACAAAGTTTGTTCAAATAAAAGACCTGGGGTAAAAATTGGCCCCGCCCCGGGGTCATTGATTTTCCTTATATGTGTATAGCAAAAACTTAAAATCTTCTTTGAAAAAACCCAAATAGCTAGAGTTTAGATATTAAGCATGAAACATATTCTAGTAAGTGTCTACAAAGTTTGTTCAAATAAAAACCCTGGGGTCATAACTGGCCGGGCCCCAGGGGTGTCATTGTTTTTAACTATATGTGTATAGTAAAAACATAAAAAAAATCTTCTTTTAAATAGCCCAATGAGCTAGAGCTTAGATAATTAGCATGAAACATCTTCTTATGGGCGTCTACCAAGTTTGTGCAAATAAAAGCCCTTTGGTTAAATTGGCCCTGCAACGTTTGGGGGGGTGGGGGTTGGGGGGGCCTATATACAGGTGAGCGACCTCAGGGCCATCATGGCCCTCTTGTTAAATTTTTTAAGTAAAATAAAGTTTCTTTACTAATGATTGTGTTTAAAGAAAATGTAAAGGGCTGTGTTTTCTTCGATTATCTATCTGATAAAAAGATTTCTATGAGACTTAATGATGCTTTTAGTTATTTATTCAATTTTCTGTACATTGATCAATGATTAATGGCATTGCATGTATTGACAAAATTTGATTTGCCTAATTTTAAAGAATAATGAATGACCTTATTTTTTCCTTTTTAAAGTCGGCCCAACATAATATTGTAGTACCTAAGAATGTAGAGTAAAATCTGTTGTGCTAAATTATTGACTGAATTTTTTTTTACGAGTGCATCTGTGCATTGTTTATTGTATTGGCATATTCATTGATTGCTGATCAATTTGTACATTCCTAAATTGGCCTACTGTTCTACTTTCTAGCCGTATAGTAGGATGAAAGGAAAACATTCAATACATACTCAAACTGTTGCTAATTAATTGACCGTTAATGATTAATGACAGGACATGAGAAGATTTCATGAAAATAATGAAATATTTAGCTCTTCCATGCAGCCTTTATAGAAGAAAAGAATAAAGCATGTTTTATAAAATATGAACATGATTGTTAATTTATTATACAGACAGTTTATAGTAGATTTTGAAGATTCAATGCAAAGTAGTCACAATTCAGTGAACTTGGCACAAGTAACCCTAGTAACATGATAAAACTTTAATTGCCCATATCATTAAAAGGAACCATTTAAATGGTATAACATAACTTATGCATGAAGTATTTTAAATTTTTCAGATTTGAGTAACTTAAATTTGCAAGGTTTTGGAGTAGCACCTAAACAGAAGCAGCAAGGATTCGGGCATCACAATGCTGCTGCTTTTGCAAATCCACAGCAACTTCACATTCCAAATAATCGCCTTGAGACGCAAACCCCAACTCCAAGTGAGGTATCCACCATACATTCTGCCAGGAGTGTACACACTCCGACCTTATCTCTGGTGTCTGGCCAAGGCTCGGAGCGAAATCTTCAGACACCAATAAGCAATGTTGACAGAAACTTCCTTGAGCCAGGTACCGGCAGTAAAGGCTGGAACCCATACCCAACACTTCCTCATGTCAGTAGCAACAAAGATTTGGACAGTATGTCAATATCAGACAAGCAGTCATTGACTGAACAACCTCATAGAGCATCATGGCATACACATGGAGTTGTACCTAGCAGTGCAACAACACGCTACCAAACAAGCAGTAGTGGAACAAACTCCCTGTCCCCTCATCTAGCCATGGATACGTCTCCAACTGGATCTACAGCTTTGGGATCAAATTTCACGAACAGCCCTCGTCATTCTGCACAAATCCACTCAAGGGCACAGAAGCGAGCTCATTCTCTGTCACCACTTGGGGATGGAATCGAATTTGCAAAATTAATCAGAGCTTCTCCAACATCTCTTGCTTGTATTAATAATGCAGCTACGCATGCAGGTGCCTCTCCATTGGCAAACAACGTTGCTCAGTATGGACATTTTGGTCACTTAATCGCAAGGAACAGTAGAAACAGCAATGGAAGTCCATATTCTGGTTCAGCAAACAGTGGAAACCGTGGTGGTTTCTCCCAGCTCAAGGTTGAACCTGGCATTGAGATCAGTGATATGCAAGATTACTTCCAGGATATTGTTAGTAATCAAGTAGTCATGCCACAAAATGAGATCCCATACTGGGAACAGAGAGTGTTTACTGACATTACACAGTTTGGTTCAGTCCAGTTTAATCTTCCGCCAGAGAATATGGTTCAGCCACCGGGTGTTAACGGCAACATGAGTGGATTCAGTAGCCAACATAACATGAACATGAATCAGAACATGAATATGAACAATATGAATGATAGCATGAGACCACCGCCACCGTATGATCAGGCAATCGGTCAAAATCCGGCCATGATGCATCAGACGCAGACATTTAATTCAGTGCCTACGCAGCCATTGGCGCAAAATAATTTGAACAATATGAATAATATTAACAATCTGAATAACATGAACAATAACTTGAATACAATGACAAGTAGTCTACAGGAAGGTGGAACTGATTACCCTGAAGATGGTGAAGTTGATGAGAACGGTGAAAAGCAGCATATATGCCGCTGGATAGACTGTAATGTGCAGTTTAAGGAACAAGATGAACTTGTGCGCCATCTTGAAAAATCTCACATTGATCAGCGAAAAGGAGAAGATTTTACATGTTTCTGGGCAGCCTGTCAACGGAGATACAAACCGTTTAATGCAAGATATAAGCTTCTTATACATATGCGGGTCCATTCTGGAGAGAAACCAAATAAATGCACGGTATGTATGAAATATGTTCTAAAAATGGATTTGAACTTAATAAGTGTCATACAGATACCACTTCAAACATGTATAAATTCATTTGCATATTCTTTTATCTTTGTATGCATATATTTTTTATCATGTCAGTACAGGCTGTTTGTTTTACCTGTCACTGTTTAAAAGTGAAGGTATTTACTCTGCGGCAATGAGTCACTTTTGGTAAATGAGAAATTATTCTTGCAATAATGGTTTACTGTAGATTTACCATTAAATCAGTATGTTTCTCCATAAGCTGTGTCACTGAAGATTTAACATGTTTGATGACGATATTGAATGTAAAATCAAACATTTAAATATAATATTATAGACATTTATAAGGTAAACAGCCAATTAAGACTAAAGTTCAAAATCATAAGTCAGCTTGCTTTTGAAAGGTTTAAGATAAGCAGAAGAGACTGTCATATGTTTGAATTGCCAAAAAAAACACCGCATGCTGGTTTGGTATATCAATTGCATTATAAAAGTGAAAACATGCTTAAAGAAAATGAAAGAAGTAAAAATAGAACCCTGAAAAACTCGGGTAAGTTTGGGGAGAAGATCAGTTTCACATTGATTTATGAAGCACCAACCTAGGGGGTAACTTTTAGACCAAGTAGACGACACTTTGACTGTCACTAACTCCTCTTGTTATTAATATTGTAAATGCCGAAAATTCTGCAGGAAAATGGCCAATAGTAATGTTTATTTTTGCAAGTTTCTCTAGTTTTCTAACTTTATGTTGTTAATGTAGTATATGAAAGATATTAAAAGATTATTTTGTTTGTTAATTCTGTAAATGAAGTCTTTAATACAGAACATTTACTTGTATAAAATGGTCTTAAATTCACGTCTTTTGTAAAAATTAATTACTTATTATCAGTAATTACTGAATCAAATTATCCTGTTACAGGATTGTTAATTTCTTTTCAAAATTATTCATACAGTGACTTGTTCCATTGTTTTATGACCTGAATATTTGAATTGAGACAAAACGACCAGTCCACAGTTAATTTTCACCTTTCTTTAACATGTCAGGGTGTTCGTTGAAACATTTGTTCCTGTCGTGACTTCAATGTTTTTAAATGTTTTTGTTCTGAAGTTCGGCCTGAAATGTCATAAATTTATGAAATTCAATAAACAAGTTGACAGGTTCATGAGTTTTCATAGAACTGCCGCCATTTTTAAAACCTCCGCTTTTTATGTGTATTTTGAAAACTATTTGGGTTTGTTACATTTAGACACTCGACTGTTGAGTGATAAGTTTTACAGTAACCTAGTACTGAGCCGAGCTTTTACATTCTTCAAATACTTTTAGAGTACTTGATATCATTCTTTCCCATGCTGATCAGTCGATTTAAAAATATTAAAAAGCAACATTTCAAAATACGTCTAGATTTATTCAAACATATATATACATTTTATATAATTGTAGTGATAGACATTATAGAGTCTTTTGACCAAATTAAAAATTTTGCCCCTTTTCAAGATATTGATTTTTTTAACCTTCCAAATAACAGCATGGAGAGAGTATAACAGATTAAATACTTCCATTCATCATGCTGTAAGTTAAGTAAGATGAAATGAAATAAAATATTATATGTCAATTAATTAATAATAATATTCATTCATAATCAATGTATCTTTATGAATATATTATACATTGTATTTCAGTTTGAAGGTTGTACAAAGGCGTTCTCTCGGCTGGAGAATTTGAAGATTCACTTAAGATCTCACACTGGCGAGCGTCCGTACGTCTGTACGCATGCAGGCTGTACGAAGGCGTTCAGTAACTCGTCAGACAGGGCTAAACATCAGCGGACACATCTTGATACAGTAAGTATAGAGATTTGAGAACTTTTAACTGAAAATTTACATTGATTTTCTGTATCTGTAGCTATTTTAATGTCCTAAACATATAACAAACTTTGTCAGGCTCTTACATCTGAAAATATTCAACAGCATTTATCTGAAATATTTTTGTCAAATACACAACCTTCTTCATAATTGATTAAGTGCAAGAATGACATTCTTATTGAACCTTTTATGTTTTGAATAAAGAGTAAGTAAAGTAAGTAAATATAAATGTCTTTAAGAATGTCCTTTGAATAAAATATCTGATAAAAAAAAATAAAAATAAAAAAAAATGCGATAAAGGTGACTAAAGTAAATCTAAATTAAAAATTTTAAACAAAAAGATACATTTGAATCTTTACAAAGATAAGCAACATTTTTCTTGAACTTGTGATAAAAAACACTGACATGTTTTTAAAAAAATCAAAAACCAACAACCACATTACTTGTCTTACAAAAAAGTTTTTGGGATAATATCAAATTAAGGCCAACAACTTGTATATTTATTTTTTTGTTGGTTATGGTGTTAAATGACAGAATGCTAAAGACACAAGAGTAGAGTCAGGCTTGCACACTGTGCCATCTGCTCAACATAAACTGCTTGATATATTCAAAAATTTAACAATCAACAAATTCTTAATTTAAAGCACTGCTGAACAAGTTCATTCCATAAATTCTGCAGGGAATAGATAAATTATTAATATAAACTAGTATTGTAATGTGAATTATGTGTGACAATTTCCTACAAAGTCGGCTTAGAATGAGTATCAGATATATACGGTGTAGTATTAATTGAATACATAAAATAGAAATAATAAATATAGGTGGATCTGTGTGTTACGGTAAATATTTACTTTGCTTTGAAATTATAATAGGTATATGAATATTTGAAAGATTACCACAAAATTCTCTATGAAATGTGCAGATCCATGCAAAACACACTCAATACAATGTCTAAAAAGATGAGAATTCATGCTGAGGTCTTAAGTTTGATGCAATATGGTTGTATTCATTGACAAAGTGAAATACAAGACAAAATATATGAATATTGATCTTTATAACATGCTTTTCAGTAGATAATGAAATCATATTTTGATAAGTTCACAGTGAAAATATCAAATATGTTTTCACAGTGAAATTATCAAATATAATTTCACTGATTTGATTGCAGATGATAAGTGTTCATCAAAAATGTATGAGATTTCATGGGAAATACATTCCCATCACAAGTAAATTGTACATGGTTACGGAAGTGTATCCTGTTAAATAGAAACAAAATTAAAGGAATTATACTGTATTATTTTTCTGCATGTCAGAGTATTGTCACCTCACGATTTTATGACATCATGAAGAGGAGCACATGTCATTATTTTGCAAAAATCTGTAAAAATGCCTTGAAAATCAATAAAATTGTATGAAATGATTAGAATTATTTTTTTCGTGTAAGATCAAATACATTTCTCTTATGACCATAAATCAGCTGTAATATTTTTACTATGCCACTCATGAAAAGTATTGCATCTAGTGTTCACTCTGTAAAATAATGTTTCCATCTTACATTGAAAACAAACAAATACCCTCCATAAAATTATATTCTTTTAATCTAAAAAAACCTAGAGGTTTTCCCCATTCCAAAATTGATTCATTTATGAACTGTTTCCTATAAAATCAAAAGAATTTGATTCATTTAGATTATTCATATGAATTCATTTGTGATTAATAATACGGTATTTATAATAGTTTTCTGAAATAAATTACCAATATTTAAAAGGCTAAAGTTTTCAGCCTGGCAAATTTTCTTAATTTCATGTCAAAAATGTTTTGAAGTCAAATAAAAGTTTAGAGCGTGACTTATTTAATTAGAAAAAGAAAATCATTTAAAATATGTGATTTGATTTTGAATTGATTATTAAACAATGTATTAATGCTTTAACAGGCAAATAATGTATGTACATTTATGTTGTTTTTATGTTCTAATGCTCATATCTGTAGAAATTATTAGTAACGGTAAAGAAAACTACATGAATTATTTTTTTAAAAGATCCTTGCTGCATGCACCTCATGCTTTACTGGGAATTTACAACCATTAAATTATTTTGATTTTGGTACTTTGGTATAATATTTATGAAGTTTTAAAAACAGTGGTCTACTGGCCTTTAATTAACTGATCAAGGTTTGGGGTTTTTTAACCAAAAACTAGGCATTAGCATTATGGTTTTTTTTAACGTATCCGTTTTAGCTCATTGCACGTTAAAATTTGATACATTTATCATTTTTGATAAAATGCAAATCTTCCATAAATCACACACCCATTTTTAGCTCGACTTTTCTATGAAAAGGGGAGCTATCCTACTCGCCCCGGCGTCGGCGTTAGCGTTGGCGTCACACCTTGGTTAAGTTTTTCGTACCACCCCACTTTATTTCAGAAGTATTACAAGTATGGCTTTGAAACTTACCATACTTGTTCACCATCATAACCTCCATCTACAGACAAGAGTACATAACTCTGTCAAGGTTTTTGACAGAATTATGGCCCTTTTTTGACTTAGAAAGTGTATTGAGCTTGGTTAAGTTTTTTGTACCACCTCACTTTATTTCAAAACCATTGGAGGTATTGCTTTGAAACTGACCATACTTGTTTACCATCACGACCTTCATCAACAGACAAGAGGACATAACTCTGTCAAGGTTTTTGACAGAATTATGCCCCTTTTTGACTTAGAAAATACATTGAATATGGGTAAAATCCACTTATTGCCTTAACCCTTTGAGATATTGCTTTGAAACTTTTAATGCTATTTCACATCATTACCCCCATCTGTACGCAAGAGAAGGTAACTCTGTCAGGGATTTGTTTTAAAAATTAAGGCCTTTTATCGACTTAGAATCTTGGTTAAGTTTTTTTGTACCAGTCAACTTTTTGACTGAACTGGTTGAGATATTAAATTGAAAGTTGGAATACTTGTTTACCATCATGGTCCCAAACATGGGCAGGAGAAGGTAATTCTGTTAAGGATTTTATTTGAATTATGGCCCTTTTTGACTTAGAAACTCAGTTAAAATTTTCATTCTTGTCCACTTGTTGACCTAACCATTTGAGATATTACTTTGGAAGTTGGAGTTCTTATGTGCCATCATGAGACCTATCTGTAAGCAAGAGAAGATAACTCTGTGAAAATGTTTCTTGATTTGTACTTAGAAATTCCTAGTTAAAGTCTTGTGTGCCCTTAACTGTCAAAGTTTTGTTTTATAGGCAAGCACTAAAAAAGTCGAGCGCGCTGTCCTTCTGACAGCTCTTGTTGCATATTGTGTTACCTTACCATATTTATGTTCCTCTTTATGATTTTCCCATGTCGAAAATTTTGTAATGATTTTAATAGAGTATTTATCTGGTGTGATTAAACAGCGTGATTTGACTGGTCCTGTATTTCATCTTGAATAGATCAGTTTATGTGATAGTCATCGTTTTACGATAGTGTCACAGATAAGCGTGGATCAGTGCCGGGATACGTCAGGCAAGTGTTCCGGTATGTTAAAGAAAAAAATGTCATTATAACAGTGCAAACATCCAAAATATATAAATACCAGTCTTATTGTTCAAATTGATAATGGATAAAGGCAATTTAAAGTCATAAAGACAATCATTATGGTATCCAGTGCATTCTTTAGCTTGATTATACTTTGATGCATTTTTTGGCACAGAATGCCAGACAGAACATAAAGGTTATTGCTAAATGGGTGCAAAAAAGATGAGTAATTTATTACCATGATATATATGACTTGAAAAAAACAACACTTGTGTTATCTGTAGAGCAATAATATTGAAAATGAGAAAGAAATTCATACTTAACAAACTTGAAGTTAATGTACTATTGATCATGTTTACACAAGATTTTTTTTTCCACTTCAGTTGAGAAAAAAAGAAAGAAACATTTCCTGTTGTGTCCGTTAACATATCTTTTTTTTTCTTTTTTTGAATTAAAATATTTACAGTAGGTGTAATCTGTACAGGTGTGAAGGGATCAGTTGTTATTGATGGTAGTGGAATAACTTATTGTCATGTCTTTAATCCCGCCTCAATATAGCCCGTACCACAATATGAAATGACTTTGAAAACACTATTTACCTAGGTGTTATGTAGGATTTGAACATACCTTGTGTCTTATGATTTTTCATTTATCTTTGCAATGTGTACATGTAGTCAAGGTAAAACTTTGATATATTGCTTCACACCTATGATCGGGAGAAAGTTTCAATTGATAGAAACAGGACTGTCGATAAATGGCTGATAAATATTGATAAATTTCATTTCTGCTTCTGTAAGAACCTGACTAACAACCTGAGATCTCGGGGTATCGAGATGTTGATTCAAAATGTGAAATAACAGTCCAAAACTGCAGTGTATTTTATTCACTTACTAGTATTATCCCTTGGTACCAAAATGTTGTATTAAGAAACATCCATTTTAATTTAAGAAATTATGGCAATACTGGAGTAAGTCCTAAATAATGAAAGGAACTAAGAGACTGCACAGAAGGCTGTTGTGACTATACAATGTCATGTGATATTTTGTACATGTATATATATTACACTACTGTTGGTCAAACTTTTGAAACACATATCCAGTTTTTGTGCTAACTTACTTTTTTTTCTGAATTACAGAAGCCGTATGCTTGTAATGTGGTGGGTTGTAACAAGAGATACACTGACCCAAGCTCTCTGCGGAAGCATGTGAAAAACCACAACCAGAAAGATCCACAAAAGAAAAAGGTAAGTTGACATTGGTGAAAGAGGTCAAATGTCTCGCATTAACCTTCTGAATCTGTGCGACAGGGTAGGCCTGCTTTCAATGTGTATCAGGCCAAGCATTCAGGGTTTTCAAATATCAAAATACAAAAATTGAACTACCAACAGTAGAGAGTCTGGTCAGACTGCAGAGAGGTGAAGGTTGCCTAGTGCTATACTTGTGACAATGGCTAATCACTTTTTATTCCAGTAGGGTAAGGGTTAAACCTTGTTCATATGTTGTTGGGAAAATGGAGTTTATATACATGTAGTATGACAATTTATTACATGCTTTTCGGTGGTTTCAGTGAAATACCAGCGTGCACAGAACTGGGTACCAACTTAATGATGTGACGTCGTAAATGACGTCACGTTGTATTATTATTTGGCGCGCTTTTCATTCAGTATTAGGTTTATTGTCTTTTTAAAACGTTTCTTTGCATATAATAAAAAGAAAATTTGTTTAGTTTACTGTAAGATCGAAATATATTTCACCTTGTGAACACCAAAAGTTCATATTTCACTCGTGGCTGCGCCACTCGTGAAATATACCTTTTGGTGCTCACTCGGTGAAATATATTCCGATCTTACACTGAACAAAACAAATATCCTCTATATAGTGCACACATATTGACCAATCAGATTCATTGGCTGTGACAGTAATGAACTTTAAAGATGCTGGCTTTTTGATGATCTAAAGTTAAGGAGTTTTATCAGATACAATTCTAAACTTTAGAGGGGAAAGAAACAACACTTTTATATCATTTTATTGAGTTGATAAAAATTCAAGATATGGATTCATAACACGGGTGTTTCTTATAACCTTTTAACATCAAAACATGTTATACTCTATCATTTAAAGACAATTTTCAGATTGAATCTATAGATTTTTTTTTTTTCTTCATTCAATTTATATCTTTTCAATATATACCATTACACTATAATGCCCTGATAATATAAGAACGTTATTGAACAGTTTCTCTTCTTATCAGTGTATGTATTTTATACTGTGATATAAAAACGTATAATTAATTTCCCTTCTAATCCAATTAAACAAGAAACTAGGTCATAAAAAATAGTTTAGTCACTGTAAAGCCAATTTTGAGATCTGTTCGCTTTGATTCTATATAAAAGAACTTTGAATTTTGATAGAGCTTTGCACACTTCTGTTTACTAAGCAAACAAAACACAAATTTAACAGAAAAAAACGTATGAATTGTGACTCAGCATACTGTTATTGAAGTATTTTGAATTTTCCGTTACTTGTTTGTCCATTATGTCTTACATATTCTGTTGACACAGTTTTTTGTAGCAGTTATTTGTATTCAAAGAGATTGAATCAAGTTATTTATTCTTTTTAATGAACTCTTTTGTCACATGATGCAAAAACTAATGACATTTTTCTCCGTGAGTAGTAATTAGATGATTTGCAAAAAAATAATTTTTTTATAACAATTTTTTTTAAATGAAATTGGAACAAATATTAAGAATTCCTTTCGGAATTGTTTGTAAATATAAGTTTTTCTTTTTAAATTATATTTTTTTTAATGAAAATAATGTTGTTGCTATTTTGATTTTCATTCTCTGTAGCTAAAACAGATTTAAATTGTCATTGTCACTAATTTAACACGGAAGCGTTTGCTTCGGCATTGACAAATTCTAATAAGCTGTGCAATCTTGTGGCATCTTCAGTGTTGTTGTTGAATGTCTTTCTTATATTTTTTTATTGAAATATTTAATAAGTAAAATTTAATTACGAAAAGTATAAAAATGTATCTTGCAATTGAAACAAGAAAAAAAAACACACTTGTTATATGACATGGTGCTGAAAAAAATGGTTTTTGGTATGTTTTTTTGTTTGTTTTTTTTTTCCTTATGAAAATCAAGTTGCAATAACAAATTCCTATTGGCAAAGAAAACTAAAGTTGTTAACATATTCTTTTTTCCAAAATGTCTGTAAAATGTTAGACGAGCTTTTCATGTTACGTGTTTTTGCAAGATGATTGTAAGTTATACAAATAGATTGAAGATTTTAAAGTAGAATGATTATGTTAACTTAAAGCGTGTTTATTTACTTTTGAGTACATGGTGAGTTTATCAAAGTCCCATTTAAATACTGAGTAAATAGTTGATTAAACATCATTTTTTTTTATCTTATATCTGAAACAAGGTATAAGATTGAATAGAGCAATATTGTAAAGACGTGTATCTACTGTAGCGACGACACTCGTGGGAAACCCTGTCATCTGATGGAAAAAATACAAATAATTATTGATATATTAAGTTATAATACATCAAGATTTGTTTTTTCTTAAAACAATACTTTATTTCTTTATCTGTCAAAACTGTGTCTAATTCTGCTAATTGACATCTGATTTATCAAAATTTTATTGGTATAAGTAAACATGAGTAAAATTACACTAAAATAATGCTCTATAATTTAATTCTTATTATATTACAGAACTTCAAAGAAATAATGCCTGAAAATTTGACGATCATCCAAATTAAAAAAATACAAACAATACATTACTGTATTATTATTATTGATATTATTGTTATTATTATTATTATTATTGTTATTATTATTATACAGTGATTTTGTACTGCTGTTTTTTTGTTTGTTTTTTTCATTTATATGAGACAATGAAAGTTTTGAACCCTCTGACAGATATTTTATTAATTGATTTACTGAAAACAATAATATTACTTGTATAATGACATCAATATTGCAACTGAGATCAAAATTTAAATATTTCAAACCTGAATTTTCTAATGTTTCTACACTAAGCAAACAGATAACCACTTTATATCGGACAATTTCTTTCTTTGAAAGTTATTTTTGTCTGGCATTTTAAGCAGGGGGAAAATATTTTTTTCCAATTTTTTTTTTTTCAATTTTATGTCTGTTCTTTGAACAGTGAATAATTGCCTTTAAATCATCAAATGCTAAACAGGAAAATGAAAGCTTGAACAAATTGAACATATAGGATATATACATAATAATATAATTTAATGGAATTAATAGTTATACGGACCAGATGTAAGATTTAAAACTTTATTAATGACATTTAAGTTTAAAGGGGATTAAATATATTTAGACATATAGTTGAAATAATTACCTTTAATGGTTATTTCTTTTCACGTTGCTACTAAATTTAGTCCCTTTTTAGGGTAATATTTACTGTTTAGAATGTTGAAATGTTTTGAAATTTCTGTGAGAGATCAGGAGTATTAGTGTAAATTAGGATAAATTGTAAATGCAAAACATTTTCTTGTATATTGTTGACAAATTACCATTAAGTTTCGACTAGCATGATAGAATTTTGTTCATGCATGTAGCTGCCGTTATCAAAGTTTTGGAAAAAAAGTTTCAAATAATGAAACAAAGACAGCTCTAAGAAAGCATGTTATAAATGTACAGTTATCTTTCAGGTGTTTCATTGTTTTTGTTAACAGAACGAATTATCAATGCAGTCATGAATTGTGGTCTTATCAAGAAAACTGAAATAAAATAATAATACATGCACAAAACATAAACAGGAAAACCGTGAACTAGTCAAAGGTCATGTTCCGGTGCATTGTTATTGCTCATCTTGATAGTAAACAAAAAAACCAGTCAAAATTAAAATTTGTCAAGTCATTGGTTAGGGGAGGTAATATTCATGTAAGCAGAAAAAGCAGTGACCCTTTAAATAAACAGGGTTTTTTCACTATTGTGACATGCATGTTTTAATCTTGAAAAGAAATCGGCAAGTATTAGTTGACATTGATACTTTGATTCCGGTATCATCCTTTAAAATCCAAATTTGCCATTTTAAGATTATTTCTGACTTTATCTCTTGTTTGTCAGTTTTAAGACCACTTATATATAAGACTCGTGTCTCCAATCAAAAATACAAAAAAAATGTACAGAAATTTTCTATGAAATGCTCTTCCTGAATTTTATTCAATTTCTTTCAGATAATAGATTTTTTCTGTTCATTGTATTTCTAGTTAGAAGATTTTCTGTTTAAGTTTTCCTGTTTGTCTCAGAAACATGGGATATAATAAAGACAAAACAGGGTCAAAACATCAAATATTTTATTGATAAATACATGAAACAAAGGGATATTAGTTTTTCAGAAAGAATTTTGGTGCTTTATAAAGACTTGATCCTTTTTAATGTTGAATGGTACCTATATACATCTAAGTGTATACGTATGTTGTTTGTTTTGGCAGTTATAACTTTCCTTGATCTTTTATCATATGACACTTGTGTAAAATAGGGCTGGTACTTTACGTACTGTAAATATCAAAATCGTGGCAAACATTGGCTTGAATTCAATATTTATTAACGGAACTAACTTTAGTATGAGGTCATTTTGATATGACAATTTTCTCCTCCTTGTTCACTTGCGATGTATGTTCTATAATTATGTCTATTCGCACCTCATTAACATTATTTCATATATATTAGTATTGCATATCTTATATGGTATGGAAATGAAGAAAAAAAATCTAGAAAAATTAAGATGATTTTAACTGCACATCCGCTAAAAAAATATGAACTTTAAAGATTGTTTACGTTCAAATGATGTGTAATGATTATTGTGCAAGAAAAAAGTTAAAATTACAGCAGAAAGGCACGGACATGATTGCATTTTATCTTCTGAGCTTTATCAAATAGTGACATTTGCTTCTGCGAAAACCACAATTTTTTAATTTGGAAACGATGTTCATTAATTTTGTTGAAATGTCAAAACTATATCTGTCACTTTTCTTATATTTTTAATTTACGGATGATCAATGTTTGGATATGAGCTCGTATCTTCTCGGAGACCACGGAATGACAAGTGGCCGCGATTGATTTAAATTTATATATAGCAACAAACTCTCTGTTCAAAGTTGAACGTTTTTATCAATTTCAATGATACGATAACAAGAAATTCAAAGATTAAAAAGTTTACATTAATCGGTTTTATCAAAAAGAATCCTTATACTTAAAACTATTCTTTGTAAAAGAACAGGAGGGATTTACTGGAAGATCCTTTTATATGATTTTATAATTGTTTATTTGAGTCATGAGACAGGTGACATTTTGTTTAGGCTTCTTTAAATTCTTGATTTACAGAGTGAAAGGGTGACAGGTTCACTTAAATGAAATCCAGAATCAGGGTCAAACCAATTATTTATTGAGACTGATTTACTCCTTATAAACATTTTACTTTATTCAGTTATTTACATAATTATTAATGTTTTTTTAAAGATTAAGTCTAAATTTCTAATGTTCAGACTTACAAAACAAATTTGTAAAATACCTTTTGAAAAAAATACACAAGATGCCGGCTTGAAACTTGAACAGGCAATGTCATAACTTTTTGATTGATTACCCTGATTTGATGGTTTGTTTTTCAACTGTATATTTCAGTCAAGACAGATGTTTTAATACTTGAAAGTTATTGGCCCAAAGTTTGTATAAACATTCTTTGCCCTATAATCTGCTCAAAAACTACCAAAAAGTGCCCCTTACGCGTGCTTGTACGTAATAATATTACGCTTTGATATATTTATTGCCATCAAGTTTCACGACAAATGTGTTTATTCTTTTGCAAGTCAACGAAAAGTAGCCATTATTTATTACTTGTCTTCTGTAAAGAAATAATTTCATTTTTTCTTTATTTTGTGAATTTAATGTATTTATCCATGCTGAAATAATACTGCCTGTAAAAGAATTAATCTGTAATGAATATGGTTACTGGAAATTTGGAAAAAAAAAATAAAATAAAAAAATAGCCAATAAAATAGGAACAATTTAATTTTGCAAATTTAGGCAATAACATTTATCAGACAGCATTTCTGAAGAAATAAGATACACATGTTGTTTTTTCTTCTTTTTACAAATATTCAAATACAAATTTTTTAAAGGCATTCTTCACAATATTTGTTCAAAAAATTGTTATGTAATAATGATATGATAGGAAAATAATGGTACCAACTGTAGACAGACCTTATTGTATAGAGAGACCATAGATGGCTTATAAAATATAAAGACTTGAAGTGTTTACTTTGGCATCGTTGTTGAAGATTTGAGAAAACCTCTCATCATATGATATATTGTTCTGATACAGAATATGAAATTTATTGCATTGTAAAATATGTTGTAAGTAAATGAGATTTATCATTTGACAGGTACACTTACGGGAGTCTTTTGAAGTTTTATTTTCTTGCTTGATATAGAACAGTTCCGCAGCGCTCAATTTTCCACCTTCACACCTAAATTAGGTATTAAAAACAAGTTAATTGAAGTAGACAAACTTGAAATATAAGTACTTTACTGGTGGTGCAATGTACTAAAAACAGATTTTAGCAACTCATGAAGTACATGTATCAGTATTGTAAATCAGTCAATATATATGGTTATACCAATCATTAGATTTTAAAGAATATAAAATATATTCATTCAACTGTACTTGTTCTGTCAGATATGACCCTGATTTTGTGTAATGGATGAGCTCTACTTTGAACTTGGAGCAGTCCAGGTTACAAAAGTTGAACTTCAAAGAGTATAGAGTTTGGTCGGACTCAGGTCTGAGCTCCAGCAGGTTATGGTTTAACATAAGATCTTCTTGGTTAAAATATTTGCACAAAAAACCCCAACTTGAATTGGTCTGTACTGAAGGGTCTGTATTTTTAGCTCGACTTTTCTATGAAAAGGGGAGCTATCCTACTCGCCCCGGCGTCGGCGTCGGCGTTAGCGTTAGCGTTAGCGTTAGCGTTGGCGTCACACCTTGGTTAAGTTTTTCGTACCACCCCACTTTATTTCAGAAGTATTACAAGTATGGCTTTGAAACTTACCATACTTGTTCACCATCATAACCTCCATCTACAGACAAGAGTACATAACTCTGTCAAGGTTTTTGACAGAATTATGGCCCTTTTTTGACTTAGAAAGTGTATTGAGCTTGGTTAAGTTTTTTGTACCACCTCACTTTATTTCAAAACCATTGGAGGTATTGCTTTGAAACTGACCATACTTGTTTACCATCACGACCTTCATCAACAGACAAGAGGACATAACTCTGTCAAGGTTTTTGACAGAATTATGCCCCTTTTTGACTTAGAAAATACATTGAATATGGGTAAAATCCACTTATTGCCTTAACCCTTTGAGATATTGCTTTGAAACTTTTAATGCTATTTCACATCATTACCCCCATCTGTACGCAAGAGAAGGTAACTCTGTCAAGGATTTGTTTTAAAAATTAAGGCCTTTTATCGACTTAGAATCTTGGTTCTTGTATTGCCTTTTACTGCAAAAACTTTTTTTATTGGCAAGCAATAAAAAAGTCGAGCGCGCTGTCTTACGGACACCTTCATCAACAGACAAGAGGACATAACTCTGTCAAGGTTTTTGACAGAATTATGCCCCTTTTTGACTTAGAAAATACATTGAATATGGGTAAAATCCACTTATTGCCTTAACCCTTTGAGATATTGCTTTGAAACTTTTAATGCTATTTCACATCATTACCCCCATCTGTACGCAAGAGAAGGTAACTCTGTCAAGGATTTGTTTTAAAAATTAAGGCCTTTTATCGACTTAGAATCTTGGTTCTTGTATTGCCTTTTACTGCAAAAACTTTTTTTATTGGCAAGCAATAAAAAAGTCGAGCGCGCTGTCTTACGGACAGCTCTTGTTAAAGTATACAATAAATAAATATGTTTGTAGTATTTAGTATCAGACAATACATCAAACCAGGAAAGAATTTTTTTTTCGAGAAATATATTTTATAACAATATTCAAATGATATATTTCTTGCAGAACATGTTGTTTACAAATGTACAACCACTATTGACAACCATTGCTAATAAAATCCAAGATACGCTTAAGAATCAATAAAAAAGGTGTAATAAACCTTGAAGCAGATTCATACTAATTTTCATGAATCAGGAGCCAAAATATTTCAAGAAAATCAAACTTGAGAAAAATGCACTAAGATTTTAAGGGGGAAAACAAGATATCAAGATTCAACTAATGATATACATGTAATGTGGGATTAATGACTGATTTTGTAGTATTTATCACCTTATTTTAAGGGTTATTTTTTGCGCATTTTTACCTATTTTTGGTAATATATGTGGATTGTAAGTGACGTTTTCAATGTGCAAATTACCTTCTTTGTTACTTTCACAATATTTTACTTTTAAATACATGTACATTTTCAAAATTTTCATGAAAATTAGTGTGAATCTGCTTCAAGGTTTATTACACCTTTTTTATTGATTCTTAAGCGTATCTTGGATTTTATTAGCAATGGTTTTCAATAATAGCTGTACATTTGTAAACAACAATCATGTTCTGCAAGAATTCTTTTCTTGGAACTGTAGATTGGATATGCTTGTAAAAGGTAGATAAAAAAGTCTGGTGTTCAAAAACAAGATTTTAGGTTATTAAAAAGCCATGTCAAGATTTCATGAGAGCTGAAAGTAGAACAGTGTGCAAAATATTTATTCTGTTACTTTGGTTGCTGTAAATGTTTCGGCATTAAAAAAATTCAAGAGCCGAAAATAAAAGTTAAGTTTAGTTAGATATAGGTGACTATGGAAATACAGAATATTGTTGTGTTTAACCCCATAATTATTGTCTGGGTTGATAGTGGTTGAGACTGTTGTGAATAAAGTTAATAGAGTTATAATGATGATATAATATTTTCAGATGAAGAGAGAAGGAGAGATGTCACAGCCTGGAATGCTGGGAAATTGTCTCACAATACAACAGTTACATACCGGCAATGTGGAGAATGTGCAACAAGAAATATACCCCAGTAAGTATTGTTTTATTGTAGACATTGTCTCCCTTGTCGCTGATAACTAGCATGAGTAATAATCTGCAATGAAATCCTACCTGCTGCTTGTCAAGGACTGTTTACCCCAAACAGGAAGTGACTAAACTGTCAAGAAGCCCAAAATGTAGTTCCACATTGAATACAAAAAAATTCATCATTTTTTTGTTTTTCAAAAGTTGAAACCCCAACATTGTTTCATGGTTCAATATTAAATAATAGTTTCTTTTCAACAAAAATAAGGAAGACAAAAATTTTATTGACAGGAAATTTCTATACAGGTATTTGTTACAAAATTATATCTTACAGAACATAGGCTGTAAAAATAACTTGCAAAATAAACAAAAGTAGAAGGATCAATAAGTTCCAAATGTAAAAATCTAGTGATTATGATGAGAAAATTGGACAGACTAAATACAAGTTTTCCTTGTTTACTTTAAGACGACTATTTACTATTTTCAAAACAAACTTCTCAAATCTTTTTAAGGTTTCTTTAAACAAGTTTTTAAGATAATCTTAAGTATTGTTTGTTAGGTTATGTACAAGTCAAGGTTCTTTGATGTTGATGAACTTGAAAACAAGCTAATAATTCTGCAATTCAGCTAAGTCAGCATGTTTCAGATAGATCGAAATACAGGGCACACTGATAGCAAACAGAAAATATTTAAGAAAATCGAAGTTTATTTCATCCAGTAAGATTTGTTTTGAAGTAATAGTGACCTTAATATAGTCTATACAAATTTAAAACATGTAATTAGTAGGTTAATGTTTAATTACCTACCGTAGGTAATGGAGAACTAATGTTTCAGTTACGGAAAAGTCCTGGAAAAAGAAGCGTATAATTTTATAATATCGAGACTACTGTGGGACATAACCTTTAATGTAATATGTCTTAATGAGATTTAAACAGACAGTTTGTGCAGAAGGCAAACACAATGCCCAAATCCCTAAATGTCTCGCAAAACAAACCTATCTTACTTATCATTGATGAGTCTTTCAGTTGACTGACAGTTTTGAAGTCGGAACTTATATAGTTGCGTGACGTCAAACGATATTCTATACACAGATAACTGATTTAATGTTACCTTACAGCATAACACTATACACCGACTAACAAAAGAGATTTACTTTTTTAATGTCCCGCTTGATTTCAGACATTATTTTTTAATAAGTTGAATCATACGCCCGAACTATCTTTAGATCGATCTTTAACGTCACTCCTTTTTAATGCATTGTTTATTGTAACTCAAAGTATATTTATTTTTTACTTATTTATAAGATTGCCCGCTTTTGACCCGTTAAAGTATTGAACGAAACACTTAAGAATATTTGAAGTTAACTTTATCGCCGAGCTATGCTTACTAAACGTGTTACGTCTGGGTTTTTAAGGCTAACAAAAGATTTCTTTCTACTCTAGTTTTAAAAACACTTCATAATTTTAGAAAATGATATAGCATTGAACTTACATTATGTTAAGGGAAATAATAATTGGTTAAAGAGGAATTCTCAATGCATTTATTGTTTGTTAATCAGATTGTTGTATAAATAGATGAAATGGCAGTTCATAATGTTTGAGGGTTGAATTACTCCCTGTACCAGCGTGTGTCAAGCTAGTTTGGTTTTTGAGAGAGAAGGGATGTATTTTACTAGTCTACTTGTTTACAATGGGAAAACTGCCACTTCATAGTTATAAAAAAAATCTGCCAATTTTAAATTGCAAAGTCAGAAAATAATTAGAGATAAAAGAACAACAAAACGAACAAAAAACAATATATGATTAAAGATGTTTGTCTATAAATGAGAAAGCTGTATTCACAAAATGTTCATGTTCATATTTGAAGATAAAAAGTTACATTTATTATTGCTCTACTGTACATTTTTACAATTCATTTTAGTAAAAAAGAACTGCTAAAAGCTAACAATGAAACAATCAAAAAGCAATTTGTCAACAGTTTGTTTTGGATTAAAAAAAACAACAACAACAAAAAACAGCCTACATGTATCTATCAATAGCACACAGCTTTATTTAGCTTGTCATATTTTTTATGGTAGATGATAACTTTACTGATATCAGCCATTAAGTCCTACTATGGAATTGCTTATTATATTTATAGAGCAAGAAAAAAACAAACAACAAAAACCTATTCTGCAAAGGTTGATTCATTTGTTACAAGAAGAAATAGGGTCATTCTAAACATTCATTGCATTGAAATGATTGTAATTCAAAGTCATTTATGGTATAAAAAAAGCAAGTCATGGGTGTGACTTATCTATATAATTATATTCACATTAAAGTTATTTTCTTAAAGAAAGGCAATTTTAAAATCACACAATTTCTTTTTTTCGTCTATCAGGAAATGTTTTCTTCTATCTAATGGTGTTTAAATGTAATTACCGTATTATGTTAACCCGTTTTTATTATGAAATTATAAAGCATTGAATTTTAATTATGGAAATTATCGACTACCATACATCAGCTGTGAAAATGTACATTCTTACAAATGTTTTTCCTGAAAAATGATATTTCAAACTTTTTCTTGTTAAAAAAGAGGCTACCTGGTATAGCTTGTTACTTTACGCAGCCAGTGGAAAACTGTTATATCTCATGTAATAATGGATCAAAGATTAAGGCAGTTTTTTGTCTTACCAATATAACATACTACAAACTATTACCACAATTTATAAAATTAAAAAAAAAAAACTATCATGTTTCTCTAAATATGAAAACATTTGATGGAACATCATTGTTAAAACATTCCTTATATTCAGCGAGGAAAAAAATAGATCAGCACTTAGACTGAAAAACTAATTTAAACGGACACTTACCATAAAATATTTTAAATAGACTGATATATATTTAAGAAGTGTTTCAATTGTGTAAATAGTGATTAGAAACGGCGCCATTCCTTTGATAAAGATCACTCTAGGTGCCTACAATGTCATCGGGTTCAAATATCTTATGATAGATTATTTGTAAATGTCATAATTTTTTAAATTGTCTCTTTTCATAATTGTTAAGCTTTGAGAAATAACTTTAAAGCTAATAAAGACTTTTAATTATTTTATTTGCATTATAGTTTAAAAGTATGTAAAGACAATGCTGAAAGGGTTAATGTAATTTTTAGCGAGTTTGTATGGTAAATCGTGAAAAATATGAAAACATTATTAAATTGAATTAAATTAAAAATAATAACAAGGTTTTTTTTACATTCCTCTTGTTTCTTACTTTCATTTGATTTTGTGAATGCCTACAAAAGAAGTAATTTCATGTATATGATTTAAGAATAAATTTTTCAAAGTTTTAACAATACAATCTCTTAATTTAATTGCTTTAATAAGATAATTATATGTAAATTAGCTTGAAATGCGCGTTTTCTGAAGAAATTGCTGACATGGCATAATAATTGAACTATTCTTCCAAGTACAAACTCAAACACTGCATCGCATTTTTTTGTTTACCTGAAACTCTGTTTATCTTTGCCTCGTAAATAATATAAATAGCTTTTAAATGATCATGTTTTCTTGATCAAGATCAGGATTAATTCTACACCCAATGTAAAGTAATGAAAATCAATGGTGTGACCCCAGATGAACAGTTAAATAGCATGATTTTCAATAGTATTAAATCACATGATAAAATACCTTTGATGAGGCATAACAAATGATAATAGTCAAAATAAATAGCTGTCTCCTCAGATAAAAATCATTGTAAACAAAATGTACATCTATTTTGCAATATTTTAATATTATCTTACCATTGAAATAGTATTGGTATCTTGTCTAAATGTTTTAAGACTTACATAATGTTTATGGCTAGAGTGAGGACTGTAAAAACAAAATCTTGTCTAAATGTTTAAAAACTAACATAATGTATATGGCTGGAATGAAGACTTTAGTAAAACAAAATCTTGTCTAAATGATAAACACTTACTTCAGTAAAGACTGAACTAAGCAACATTTTTTAGCTTGACTATTCAAAGAATAGGGAGAGCTATTTTATTCACCCAGATGTTGACGTCACATGCAAGTTGGTGTCTCCAAAACTACTGAAGGGAATAGGTTGAAACCCATCACTCTCGTTTTAGAGCATAGTAGGTGTTCAATATCCAAGGCTCATACCTCTAACATGGATTTTAACAGAATTATGGCCCTTTTTAAACTTACAAATTTCTACATTATCCAGGCTGTTGTTTTACTATCAAGCACTCAGAATTGTTGAGCATGCTCTTGTTATGTGAATAAAAAAAATATTAAAAAACTTGACCATGGGATTTGAGAAGATTTATTATTTTTGTATATTATCAATTTGTGACTGAATATTGGACAATTGGATGCATACATGTTTCACAGAAATCTTACTTGGATAGTTCAAAGTCATTTGGAAACAACCCATTCACTATTCATTTTATATTATATCTAAGAATTCTAAGATTCTGCATTCTTACAGTATTATTGTTTGATGAAAAGTACTGAAATCTTTAAGTTGACAAAACTTCAATATCAAGTATTGCTAAAACAAAAATTAAATAAAACAATAGTAAAAATATTTTGTTGAGATAAAAAAAAGACATAAGAAGAAACTGTTAAGATGTAAAAGTTCTGGCAATTGAACAGATACTCCAAATTGCAAGAGTCATTAAACATATAATATACTTTTCTTTATGAGGATTTAAGCATGGCAACATTGATGGTGGGGGAGTTCTCAAGGAGCTGATGTTAAGACGTGAGCTCTAACAATCTTACGTCAACTTGTGGCAATTACCTGTCCTCTTAAGAGATTTGCGTTTCTTAACATTCTAGAGCTCTGCACTGTATAATTGTGTATTAAAAATGTCAAACAAACATTCCTTTCAGTACAGTCTATGTCCATGGGAGCGTGGCTAACTTTAAGCATTGTGAAAGAATTGCAGTGTCAAAGTTTATTCCTTAAAGAGAAACTAAACATGCATAAACAACTGTCTTACCTCAGTTGATGCAAATCTTGATTTGTTTGAAGATAAAAGTTTTGAATTTTGAAGGTTGAAAGTGGAATAAAAAGTGAATAGCTGTTTCTACATGTATTACATTTCAATTTTCTTACAATTGAAATTTTTCAAAATTTATTTTCACAACTTTATTTCTATTAATAGTTTACATGTTTTGAACAGAACCTCTCAGTCAAAGTTTATTTACAAGACTTTTCTTTCTTCGATTAATAAATATGTATACAATTCATTGTAATTTTTCAAGACTGTTCAAGGTCATTAATGTTAAAAAATTAAGGAATAGACAGTTTATATTGTCTTCTTACATTAGACTTGATGCCAAAATTTGTTTGTTACCTTAAGATTCAAATAGTTAAAAAATGATATTAGAAACAGAAATATCACCCTAGCAGCTACTTGTCACATTCTTGAAGACTAGGTGGGGGATAAACATTAAATATAATACAACACTAAAGTATGAGTCATTTCATAGAATTTTTATTTCCAGCATTACTAATGATCTTGAGGTCATTGGAAATTTTTCTCATACATGTATTTGTTTTTCTCATCAGACTTATGAATTTATATTAATAAATAAGAGTCAGCTAGAATAATTTCAACTTTCAAATAATTTCAAATTTCAATAAATAAGAGTCAGGAGAGGACAATAATTTCACCATGAAAAATTCTAATTAAATGGTGCCATTTTGTTTTTCCAATAAGAACATAATGAATTTCTTTGAAAAAATAAATACAATTTTCATTACATGTACATAATGATAATAGTTATATGTAGTGTAATACATAATTATAATACTTGTATTCAGAAATTGCCTGTCATAAAAGGCCACATTTATACACACAAATATACTTGTGTTTCTTTTTGCAGCTGTAATTTTATATTGATGCAAAATTTTTAAGAATTTTAATGTCTTAAACACACTCCAATGTTATCTTTTTATTTTTAAAAGAATGAGTCATGGACCATAAATTAAACACTTAAACAACATTATGGATTTCTATTTTTGTATGGGAAATAACAAGTGGTTTTATTTTCATTTTTGTAGAATTTAAAATTATGTTGTCATCATCATATGTTGCTATGGAGATATTATATATATTTATATGTAATACAAAGGAAGTTTAAAATATGTTATAAATATAGTTTAAAGTTACCAAATGTGTCCAGAAATAGAACATGTATATAACACATAATTTGGGGCCCGTTTAGCATGTTGAGTGTTTTATGACTGCAGTTTCTATGTAAATGAAGTTGTTGTAATGAAGTTGTAAATGAATGTGCTCTGTAAAATACCAGAATTAGAAATGAAATGATCTATGTATATTTCAGACTATGGTCTTGGTGGTCCATCGGGTATGGAACAGTCGCCAATGAGCATGCAGAACAGTCCAATGAGTGCAATGGACGACTCACAAAACTCAACAGACCAGTAAGTGTTATATTGTTTACATACACACCAGTCCAATACAAGACCAGTAATACACACCAGTCCAATACAAGACCAGTAATACACTCCAGTCCAATACAAGACCAGTAATACACACCAGTCCAATACAAGACCAGTAATACACTCCAGTCCAATACAAGACCAGTAATACACACCAGTCCAATACAAGACCAGTAATACACACCAGTCCAATACAAGACTAGTAATACCCACCAGTCCAATACAAGACTAGTAATACCCACCAGTCCAATACAAGACCAGAAATACACACCAGTCAAATACAAGACTAGTTAGTGTTATATTGTTAACATACACACCAGTTCAATACAAGACCAGTATGTGTGATATTGTTAGCATACTTATATGACCAATACAAGACCAGTAACTGTTATATTGTTAACACACCAGTCCAATACAAGACCAGTAAGTGTTATATTGTTAAAACATACACATCAGTCCAATACAAGACACTTTCTGATCATCTCAGAATAGGAAATGTTTATGATAAACTTTAATGTAATTGCTTGAGGACTTTAATTGACACTGTGACATCAAAGTAAAGCACAGAAATAAATTTCATGGTAATTAATTCACTAGTACACTTTATTTATCAAAACAAAAGTAACAATATGTGTGTATGATGAAAATGACAAAATATTATATAATAAAAAAGTATTGGTAGATTTCTTTTATTTACTTAATTTGCCTTTCCATTATTAAGAACAAGGTGTCTACATGGCAGATTCGAAGCCAGTGAAAAATGTCACTGTGTCGCTATATTGTGTATATTAAAACAAAAAATGATATTTGCATAGTTCTCAACTTATTTTAATTACTTGTATTGACATTTTGTTTCACATGGGGAAAAAAAACAGTACAACAAAACAACAAAGTTTATTTAGTGAAATCAATCAATGTTTTGAAGGCAAAATTATTTCAGGAAGTGTTCAAAGTAAATAATAAAATACAAATGTTAGACAATTTATTTGATCAGTTTGCCAGTATGAATAATTGTTTATATAGTGGGTATTAGTGGGTATAACCCACCTTGTTTAAGAGAAAAGTAAATATTTAATATCAATATTATCTCATTTATAAACAATTTTATAATTTTTAATCTGCTTTTTAGGAAAGAAAAGAAACTAATTGAAAGAGGAAATATATAGAAGTAAAATTATAATTGTAAATACATGAAAAAGATAATACCAAGCAAAAAACCTACAACTGTATGTGCTGAATGGTAGAAAACATAGTGACTTTTTTCTATGGACACCTTTGATAACTTACTACAAACTTTCTATTGTATTTGGCTTTCTATGAAATATATTGTACTTGTCAATAACTTTCTTGCCATATCTTCTGAGATTCAAACACAGTAACTCTCATGTATATGCATCAGATTTGTAGAAAGGTGAATCAGTTTGGTTTAAATGTGTGGGAATCAAAAGTATTGAAGATTGTTGCTACAAAAAAATGATCCAAATATGTAAGATGTGTGACAACAGGATTGTCCCTATCTTTCTATTGTACTGTCTATTTATAATCACTCACTTTTATTGATCGACCAAACTTGTAGAAAGAAAATTTAGCAAAACAATTAAAGTGAGATATAAACGAGGAACAAGATAAGACAATAAGAAAATCAATGGCCGGTGCTAAACCATAATCAATAGCAATCAGGGCCACTTGATATGAAACTCTCTTCAAGTGTTTCTGCTGGGAACTTGTGTATATTCTAATACTAAATAATAGGTAACCATTAAAAGCAAGCCTAAGAAATAAGACGGAGATTTTCTTTTTGGATTTTAAGATGATTATATAGGTTTTGTTAAAACTTTTATATAAGAAAGCTATTACCTAATGCTTGAGATGTAGATAAGTCAGTTTATCTAAGGATCATAGAGACTGTTTTTATCCACATTGCTTCTTCCAATATATTACTACATACTGGTAACTGTAGAAAAAAGATATTTTAAAGATTGAAAATGATGCTAAATTTGAATAACATTAAAGTGAAATACTTACTATATTTACAGAATGCACAGTTTCTCCCCTGCTCCGCCGGACATGTTAAGCCCTGGCAGACGGCCGCACCCTCATCTCCGTCATCGTGCCATGTACCCAAATATGGAACTTGGTATGATGCCACCTGCATACCCGCAGGCTGATGAGATGTACGAACAATGGATGGAAAATGGTGGGCAGCATCCACAGCAAGCAAGGGTCCCGGACATGCCGACACCCCAGTATTCGTACAACAACTGCCGTATGCAGAATGTGGCGTGGCAAGGTCAGATTGAAGACTTCAATCTCACTGACATGCAGAGAGGACTGTCCAATAATTCTGGTAAGAATATTCACGATTGTATTCATAACTAAAGCTGTTGATAGTTCACCTAATAAAAAAAAAGGAAGAATTTTATGAATGAAATATGACCTACATACTTCTATGAATATAAAGTACAAAATATAATTAAGGCTTTTTCTTTTATTAGACTAGAAATATCAAGTTAAAGAAAATAAGTAAGGCGACAGTCTTAAATTAGAATCATAAACAAAGTTTCTTCTTGATGAAGAATTACATGTATATAGATATTTTGATGGATATATTTTACCATCAGAAGCCATTACAAAAATTTGTTATATGTGCCAAAAAAGATTTGATGGAAACATCATGTCTGCAACAAACATTGTAATTGAGGAAATATTCGATGTTAATTAAACAAATTGTTTGCATATTTTAGGATTTGATTTTGATGGAGCCTCGTATCTTGGAATGCCTGGAGAAGAAATGCAGCAACAGTTTCTGCAGATGAATGCTGTAGATAGACCTGTCAGTAGAGGAATCTTGGCAGATGGCAGCACCTGAAGTCACATGATAGTCATGTGACCACACTTGATGATGTCACTATTTTAAATATAGACTAGCTTGCTAGTTTTCATGAGAAACAAAAATGGGAATGGAAATTGACAGGTTGAAATAACTCTTAAGAAGAAAATGTACATAAAATTGATCAGTGCACAAATAATACACTTCATTTGAAGTAAATCAATTTCTGTGCAGAAATTTTGAAGTCTGCAAAATGTTACGTTTTCTGTTTTTGCAACAAAATGCTTGCACCAATGTTGGTTTTTCTTGGTTATGGCAATGTATACTGTTTTTATGGAATACAAAATTTGTTGCATGTTCAAAGTACTGTGATTCTATAATAGTTAATATATCAAAAGTGTTGAAGTTGTTTCATATATATTTGTTAAAGTATAATTTATGTGATTATGTTGTTAACTTATAGTGTTTCAAGGTTGTTTTTGATAGAAGTTCTTTTAAGTTTGTTAAATAAATCCCATTTCCGATGCAAAAAAACAATATTGACTGGTACAATTTGCAATTAACAGGATTACTGTAGACAGACTAAGAACCAGTATTTTGAAATTAGAATTTTCAATCGTTAGATAATTTCTAAATTTGAAATAGCAAAGTAAGGCATTAATATGTTAAACATTTTTTTAACAATGATTCCAGCAAAATGAGCCAGTATTGGTATCAAACTAGTTAGCAAATACAGCAAGGATATTCTACGTCAAAATATAGATATTAGATTTCAGATTTTGCAGGAAAACCATAAAAAGCAAATTTATCTACGTACAATTATCAATCACGCATTCTTTCGCAAAAAATAGATATTCTTCCGCAAGTTTTTCTTTATATAGATAAAAGCTGTTATATTTTGTATGTAAACAAATCAGTATTGTCGTTAAATATCATGTGATATTGTGATTCCGTCCATCGCATGACAAACATCCTTAACTTTATTTTTCTTTTTTCCACGATGTCTCATCATTTTTTTAGTATCTCTATTTATAGTAACAAGGGCTATTATCATTTCCATGTATCAGAGTGTCACATCTTTTTTCTCTCGTCATATTCAAAACTAGAATTTAAAAGGAGTTAAGCACATAATTTTTTTGATTTTTTTTTTTTTCATATCTTGGAATTAAAATCATAATTATCATTTGAATGCATAAAGATTTTGATTTCAGCACCTATGCTGATACATCTTGCCCCGGTTATATGTAAATCATCTATCAGTGGGGTTATTTATCATCATTGTCTGTAGTTTTTATCGCATCTAATATTTGACTTTGTAATATCATTTCATTTCTTAATCTCCGGATTTTTTTGTCAGTAGAAATTCAGTCCTGTTATCTCTTACACGCACACAAAACATAATAAATTTTATTTCACAAAGAGATTCCTTCATCTTAAGATTATACTTTTGAAAAAAATGACTTGAAAAGTGCATTTGAAAATGAGTCTAACTTTTGTATCATCACATAGACTTCCAGGTAATTTTATATACATGTATATATACAACTGTGGTCAAGCTTATGTTGAATAATATAAGTTAAGAATGGAATTTTTACTGATTGTGAAATCAAGTCAAATGAAAATATTCTGTGATCAAATCCTGTTATAGTTATTCAAATATGTATCATCATTCTCTGTTATTAGTTAGGACAGAAACAGGGGATAACAATATATGTATGTATATATAATATATTCATTTTGATGTCTTATTTTTTTAGTATTGTGATACAAGTGCCAAGTACCTTGTTAATTTTGTATTTGATTATTTTAAAAAAATCATACACATGTTTTTATTATATATTAATTATTCCCATTCCAGTTAGCCACATTTGTTGTTAATCATGTAACAATTACAAATTACTATTAAGAAGTTATATTTTTCTATATCGTGAAGGTTTGATAAATGTGTTTTTGTTCTTTTGTGTTTTTTTTTTAAAAAACATTTGATTTTGTAATTAATTTTCATATGTATTTATTTTTTTTCTCCATTTTTTGTGTGTGATATACTTTTAATAAAACAATTTGTGTGTGGTTTTTATTTTTTGTTGCGATGTAAATATCTATAAAAATAATTTACAAAGTACGCAAGTGCAAATTTTATATAATTTCAAATAATTTTTATAGATGTTTCCAACATTTGTAAATATTTTATATTGAAAAACAAATAATGTTATCTACAAACACACACAAATACATAGTATAAGTATTCTATTTATTGCCAAATTTTTAGAAATATTTAGAGGGAAAAAAATTATACAATGTTAAAAATCTATTTTTACAGGTGAATAGAAACATACAATATTGTTAACATGACAATGTTAAGAAATAATATCTTTATTCTTCATCATTTTAATTCCAAAATTGCCAAAAAGTATAATTTTTTTAAGTATCCGTCCATTCCTGGTTTGCCTTGAATTTGGGTTTTATTTACATGGTTATTTTTGTAAGATATATTCGTTATTTATTGTATATTATAGGAAATATACCTGTCTCTGAACTTTGTGATGCTTCATCACCTAGTATATGATCATTCATTTTATAAAACATTTATTTAGCCATGATTTTATGAATTTAGAACATATTTAGTTTATGAAAAGGCTGGAAGTTTCACAGGGAGTTTTAATGTGTTATGTTAAAGTAGATAGAAAATAAAAAAAAGTTAAGTTTTAGTGCTAAAAAATCATGCAATATAGATCATGATACATTCTGTCTGATGAATATCCATTTATTCTAGATTTGAATAGAGACAATTTGTGTGTGATATTTCTGTGTAATCAGGAACTTTATAAGCTATTAGGATGTGTTGTATTTTGTGATTTCTTTACAGTCACTTAACCTGGATGTTTCGATTTTCGTAAATATATAAGATTTCTCTTTAGAGTTTGTGATTTATGGAACACTAGTACACTGATAATTGTTACATGTCAAAAGATAGTTCTGGGCAGAGTGGTTATTTTCCACAAGGAGGTTAGCTCCTAGAACTGTAAACAAGGGGTTGTAAACTAATAGAGCTGAATACCTAAGGGATGTTGTATACAAAGGGAGGTAAACTCAAAGATATGCGTTTTCAGAATGATGTAAACTCATAGATGTGTGTAATAGATAATTTATTAAAAGAGATTTAGAATTGATCAATGTTCTGATATTTTAAAAGGAGATTTTGTATATAATTTTCAGTCTAGGTTTCAGGAAAGAAATCCAAAATACAGGTACATATCATAACTATACTTTACTAGGTAACCACTTGTATGTCATTTAGTGAGCAACATAAATCATTCATGCCTCATTTTGAAACAGCAGCTAGACATGTATACCTAATATGGTATGTTAAAAAAATATTTGAATATATACCTTCCATGCACAAAGCTGTCTTATACATCAGGCAGTTTACAATATCAAGTTACACAAATACATTCAGTATAGGAGGGAACATGTATTTGCTGGAAATAGTACTTCTTCCTCCTCAAGATGTTTTTGTAAACTGTCAAATGTTTTAAGACAATAAATGATGTCATCCCAAGTCTATTTTATAAGGAATTTCAAATTCGTTTGTTTTTATTTTTTATAAGAGTGAAAAAATTTGGAACATTTTTTTTTCAATAAGAAAAAGAAACTTTTTGTTAGACTCAAAAATTCCTGTTATTTGTGGATGAGGTCATTTTTAGTTGTTTTTTGAGCACAGTTGTTTTATTTGTATGAGTGTGGTAAGCAAGCACACCTACACCCCCTGAATGTTACATTAGGTCCAAAGTGCTGAACATTTTATATAGTATAGCCAACCTCATCAATTATGAAAGTGCTTCTCTATATGTATTGTATTATATTTCTTTCTGATTTTGTTGACGGTCTCGTGCTACTATATTTTATATGGTTTTGTTTACGTATTGTCTCGTGCTAAGTTTTGTGACTTTTTTGTGTTGTTTTCTTTATTTTTTTGTACATAACTTTGTTGTCATAGAGTTACATAAGTTTTATTTTTCATCTACAAAGTTTTACTATATTCCTGCCCATTTATTAATTAATCAAGTGAAGAAAAAAATCTTGATATATTTTTACCCTAGGACCAAATTTTTGTATTTTTATGATATATCATTTAAACTGTTGTTAGACAGATATTTTATGAATTCCATTAAAGAACATTCCATTTTGCAAATTGAATTTTAATTCAAAAGTTTTGTATTTGAAATTCATTACAGATTTCCCTTTCTTACAAATGTGTATATATATTTGCTTTTCAAATTGATTTATTCTCCCACTGCAAATCTATTGTCAAGGTTGTTTTAGATGTATCACATTTTTCTTCTTATTAGAAAATCTTTTTTTTAAAAAATCAATAGAGTTGTTTGAAAAAAAAACTTATTACATGCAAGAAAATTAATTCTAAGGAAAAATAGAATATCAATTTTAGTTTTCGTGACAGTTTTGTTTTAATTTTCAAATCAGAACATTTGATTGGTGGCTATTTTTAGACCTGGCAATTTGATTTGTTGATGGAATTAGACTGGTTTTCTCCTGGAGAGAGACTGGTTAATATGTTTTATTTTTGTCAAGTGCCTTATGTTTTTGTCTTGCTACCAGTCTGTTTCTATTCCTTCACTGTGTCATTGTTACAATCATGTTTAATAAACGGTCTGAGAAAATAATTGTTGCTTGTTTTTAAACCCTTTATTTATTGTAAGTAGACCTGCATTAAGGAAAAAGATTTCAATTTTGAATGTGTTGTTGTAGAATGCATGGTTTGAGTTCAAATGCACAGGAATATAATTTATTACAAAGCATTTGAACAATAAACTATGCATTATTCTACAACCCAAGAAAAATAAATATCTTTTTCCAGTCTAACATGGTTATAGAAAATAATTTATGAAAATATGTTGACCTTCATCAAGTGTAGAAGTGATTTGCCCGGACATCATTTATTGATGTTGTCATACAACATGTAAGCTTTCTTTCTTTATGCTGTGCATATATTGTGTAATAATGCACTTGTAACTGTCATATCTGTTAACTAGGGGAGTACAGAATTATAATAATGTATTACCTTTGATAACTGCAATCATGCTTTTTACAGATGGTCCTTAATACTAAAGTTGTTATGCCTACATATTTTTCTAGATAAATTATCCAAAAGTGATATGAAATTAGGTTATCTAAGGGAATAGAAGTCATTCCAAAAATTCTATTTTGTACTTAAACTAGAAATGTGTCCATAGGACACGGGTGCCCCCACCGCTCCACTGTTCTGTCAATCTTATGACTCTAGGTCAAATATTTTTTGAAAACTAAAAATCTTTTACTATGTAAAGGGCAAGAACTTTACAAATACTGAATAAATCCACAAGCAAACCCCAAGGTGCATAAGTACACATGCTGACCAACATTCTTGTAAACTTTCAGGTGAGCTATGCATGAACAAGTTGAAAATTGCAAATTTATACTACCGTAAGTCAAGGGCAATAACTGATAAAAATCCAAATGCAAAGTCCCAAGTGCATAGCTTCACAGTGATGTGAATCATTATTCCTGTAATTTAGTGATGTTGATCATTATTCCTGTAAAGTTGGTTGATTCTAATTCAAGCACACAAGGAACAAATAACAACATAATAACATTACTTAGTCAAGGGAAATAACTCTACAAATACTGGATAAATCCACAAGCAAAATCCGAGGTGCACAACTACATATGCTGAGCAACCTACCCGTAAGGTTTAATGACTAGGTCAAATCTTTTTTGAGTTACATGCAACATAAGTTGAAAATTGCAAAATTTTACTAAGTCAAGGGCAAAACTCTAAACAAGAAACATGGCAATGCCATGAAACCAGGTTTTCAATTATCACCATTGTAGATAAATATGTTGTATTTGAAATACAAATACAAGCAACAAGCAATGTAAAACATGAATAATGTAGGAGGAATTGCCACAGAAGAAGTTGTTCACTATATATTCTATATAAGGAAAAAAAACAAAGGGCCATAATAAGGTCAAAAATTATCCAATCACAAAACCCCGACAATATGCGCCAGGGCACTTGATGACAAAGCTTCTGTGAAAGTTTGAACAAAATCCGTTGAGAAATGTAGAACGAGTTCAGCACAGAAGAATTTGTTCACAATATATTGATAATTCTGTATAAGGAAAAAAAACAAAGGGCCATAATTAGGTCAAATATTACCCAATCACAAAGCCCTGACAATATGCGCCAGGGCACTTGCCCTTCAAAGCTTCTGTGAAAGTTTGGTCAAAATCTGTTGAGAAATGAAGGAGGAGTTCAGCACAGAAGAAATTGTTCACTATATATTCTATATAAGGAAAAGAAACAAAGGGCCATAATTAGGTCAAATATTATCCAATCACAAAACCCCGACAATATGCCCCAGGGCACTTGATGAAAAAGCTTCTGTGAAAGTTTGGTCAAAATCCGTTGAGAAATGTAGGAGAAATTGCCACAGAAGAAGTTGTTCACTATATATTCTATATAAGGAAAAGAAACAAAGGGCCATAATTAGGTCAAATATTATCCAATCGCAAAACCCCGACAATATGCGCCAGAGCACTTGATGACAAAGCTTCTGTGAAAGTTTGGTCAAAATCCGTTGAGAAATGTAGTTGCGCACAGAAGAAATTGTTAACGCCAGCCCGCCCGTCCCTCCGCCCATCCGCCGACATACCTCAATCTAATAACCAGTTTTTTCCTTCGGAAAACCTGGTTAAAAAACTAAATAAACCCACACGAAAATACCCAGATGCATAACTACACATGCTGATCAACATTCCTGTAAAGTTTCAGGACTCTAGGTCAAATACTTTTTGAGTTACATGCGACACAAGTTGAAAATTGCAAAATTTTACTAAGTCAAGGGCAATAACTCTAAAAATACTAAATAAATCCAGATGAAAATACCCAGGTGCACAACTGCTAATGCTGATCAACATTCCTGTAAAGTTTCATGACTCTAGGTCAAATACTTTTTGAGTTACATGCGACACGAGTTGAAAATTGCAAAATTTTACTAAGTCAAGGGCAATAACTCTAAAAATGCTAAATAAATCCAGATGAAAATACCCAGGTGCACAACTACTAATGCTGATCAACATTTCTGTAAAGATTCATGACTCTAGGTCAAATACTTTTTGAGTTACATGCGACACAAGTTGAAAATTACAAATTTTTACTAAGTCAAGGGCAATAACTCTAAAATTACTGAATAAATCCACACAAAAATACCCAGGTGCACAACTGCACATGCTGATCAACTTTCCTGTTAAGTTTCATGACTCTAGGTCAAATACTTTTTAAGTTACATGCGACACAAAAGAGAACGGACGGAAGGACGGACGGACAAGGGTAAATCTAAATGCCCGCCACTAAAGTGGGGGCACAAAAAGGTATCAGGGCTTTCATTAAGTTCCAAACTTCGAAAATTGGAGACTGCAAAATGTCTGACATTGGAAGTCACATTGTATAGGACAAGACTGACAAGCATATTTTTGAAGTCACAAGCCAAAACTCCCAAACATCCACTTATGGAAACCCTGCAGTATATAAATTTATAGTGTAGAATAATTGAAGTGTTCCACGTGATGAGCAACTAATCATCTTTGAAAGAACAAAGCACACTGTGCCGTCAAAGCCCACCAAGTAACTCAACCTAAACACATAACTTTTACTTCTGACTGCAATAACAACAAAGGCTATCAATTCTTACAAATAACCTATAAAATTATAAAAATTGCTCAGTGTTTCAATTGAAAGGGATAACATAAACAACAAAATATTGGTCAACTTGCGTAAAGTGTATATTTTTTCAAAAATATATATATGAAGTTTGTTCAGCTGTTGTACAACAAAGAAAACACAAGCAGAAAATTATTGCAAAACAATTGTATATCTATGTTGCTATAATTTGAACACTAAGAAAAAAAGTTAAAACACTAAATGTTTACAATAAACGTCTTTTATCGTCTTTCAAGACTAATTTTCATAAAGCACTAAGCTAATACATTTGAAAAAATTGTGTCTTTGAAATGGTCACACACCTCCATTGTAAGTATATACATCTCTTATAAAAATGTAATGTTTTATGCAGGATAACTTGCAGTCATGGAAATAAAGAACTATTTTTAAGTTGTCTTTTACATCTGAAAGAACCATTGTACAAGCTGGCTGTAATACCTCATAAAAAAGATAGATGTGGTAAACCACCAGATGTGGTAAATATCCAGAACATTTCAGAATAAGGACTTTTTCAAACTAAATGTCTGATAATCTAAGACAAAGATGTTCTGTTTTCAATATGCTTCCTGCAGTTTTTGTTGACAGCTATTTGCTTTAATTTATACATATACACTTCAAGCAATAATGCTGTTTGGTCTATATAACTTTTAATGTCAGAACAAAAACTTTTAAATAACAGATGGAAAACTGCATATTGTACTTTTCTGAAGCTAATATGGTCCTTTCGATAGCTACTTACACAAGCTTGAAATTAAGCTAATGAGGAATATGTCAAAGCAAATTATACTTTTCTGTTACTATTAAAAGTTCAGGATGGAAAACAAATATTTCAATAATATAAACACAATCATTATGATTCAAAGCAACAGGGAAAGTTACAAGTTCTTCTAAAAAGATTTTTTTAAAACCTTGTTGATAGTATAATAAATGTATCTATAATACAGCTGTGAAAATGTTTTCTAGGGTAGTTATTTCAATAGGCAGTGACTGTGCTGACATGATGTTTAGCTCTAGTCTAACTAAAATGATAACTAACAGAAAAAAAAACCTGATGAAAATCTGAGAAAAATAAAAACAATGGAAAAATTTGTTATTTCCCAGCATAACAAGCAAAATGAATATTGCCGGTTCAGTTGACTGATATCTGTATATGTTATAATAAAGAAATGTGAACATTTTGCATCAACATTGATTTTTTTATTCAAATGAAATTTGTTTTTAAAAAACTTATCTTTTAAAAACACAAACAATATTATTTTTTGTATTTTTTTAAAAAGAATGTTACAATGTATTTAAATGTAAACAAAAGTTAAATTGAAAGAGAAAATGCTCAATTAAATAACACAAACAGTTTCGTTTCTACCCTTTGTTTAAGTCACAATGATTGAAGCCATGTGAAACAACTTGGAACATAGAACTTTTACATTGACACCGTGTATCACATGACAAGATCTTCTCATTTCTATCTCTTTAATGTATATCAAACTTACCAAAATGTAAAAAATATACCAAAGTACTTGAGATATAAGGTCAAATTAAACATTTGTTCCTTTCATTTATAAAACTCGAACAAAATATTGTCAGAAAAACACACTTCAAACAAGTACGTTTTTTTTAATAACTGTAAAGTTGCAAATATTAGAAACAAAATATAAGTTTATTTCTTTGTGTTTTTTCTTTATATCTTTATTATTTTCAAAATTTGCAATATTCAATAATGAGAGTAAATTATGTATAGCAAAGTTAAATAAAATATGATAAAATTCTGTCTTATTTACAGACAATATAAAACATCATCCCTTTATGGAGTTAACCAATATGAATGTTTGAACTTTATTGTATTAACTTAAACAATATGAGAAAGGAGTAATAGGTAATCTTTTTGTATTTCATCATACATTTAGTCCCCTGTCCATTTATATAAAAAAACTTTTTTTACAACAAATATTTATAAAAGCTTTAAAAACAACAAATCAGTTAATGACACTCAAACCAGATTTTGATGACATGAAGTTTTTGATACAAGAAGAATTTAAATCTTCAAATGGGGTGTAGGTTAAACGTTCTCCACCTTAAGGTGAGTGTCATTTAAACTACCATTTATATAAAGGCCGAATGTTAAACTTTACATTAGCTGATATAGTTCACTTTTACGCCAAATTTATTCCATCTATTTTTAGCACAATTACCTGAAAGACAAATGTTCGTTAGAACAAAGAAAATAATTTAGTGAATGTCTCCTGCAGGGGTATTATTTCTCTTTGCACTCGGAAGGAAAGTGTCAAATATTGTCCATGTGGTCAAAAATATTCCTTTTAATGACTTTTTTTATAAGTAGTACATGTTGACCTGGTATAAAAGTCTTCAATATTTCTTATCTATATCATAAACAATTGACCTTCTTTTGTAAGTAATATTTTACAAAGAGAGACTGTAAACAAGTTCCTGGATAAGTCAAATAAAACCAGATAAAATGTTACATTTATGACATTTTTGTTATATACTGTTTACTTAAAACCATCCCATAAATAATGTGCTCTAAGTGAATATATTAAAATTCATGTATTCTCTGTTATAAGATCATATTTGTATATTTGTATTTATAAGATTTTCCATAACGCATATGCCACCATAAAATCATTTTCTACTCTGGTTTTTATTTTTAGAAAATTTCTAACTCATAATGCACCTCACTTTGTTGTTTTGGTGGTTTTTTTCACAAGCCAAGATATATTTACTTGAAATTATTGACACTCCATAAACAATACCATTTAAAATGTAACTCAATTGTCATCTTTGATGTTTAAACAGCAGTAAAGTGGCAAGGAAAGTGTAGGGTCATTATTTTTTTAAATACATATTTTTTTTTTCATATACTTAAATATTTTACACACCAACACATGAAATGAAAACAGTACTATACATGTATATAGGTAAGGATTTACAGAATCAAAAGAAAAGTGTCAAAGTACAATAAAAAAACATCAACCGAGACAAAATAAAAAGACACTGAAAAACAAAAAATACAAATAATAATTGGAATAATGTATGCTGTATCAATACCTCACAAGCATCAAACTGCTACTTTTATTTATATTTTACTTTTTTGGTGGGTTTTATGTTGCACCAACACAGTATAGGTCATATGGGAACTTTCCAGCTTTACTTGCGGAGGAAGACCTTAGGTGCCCCTTTGTTTTATGTTGCACCAACACAGTATAGGTCATATGGGAACTTTCCAGCTTTACTTGCGGAGGAAGACCTTAGGTGCCCCTTTGTTCAATGATTTAGGCACAAACTGCTACTTGATTATTAACATAGTACATGCACTAAATAAAAACAACAACAAAAAGCATCCTTGCTTTTTTTCAAGGATAGGAGGCTTACTTACATCATGGGATTGTACCTAGATAATGTACAATAACAGTAAACAAGTTCAATATACGTCATTCTTACGTTATGTTTCCTGTAAATAAACGAACAACGTAAGGAGTTGGAGGCAGCTTTATTAATCAATCTTAATTTGTTGCTATCTTGACTTTAACAATACATGTTAATTCTTTCTTAGTATTAGTTGTATGAACTATAAGTGTTTACTATATAATGTCTCTATGGAATGTTTTACTTACAAGTAAATTTAAGAAATTCTTACAAATAATCTGGTTCAGAATGTTTTATTTTGACTTGTTTATTTATAGTGAATTTAGTTCAGCCTCATAGTGTGTGTCCTTGACTTTCACCTTGGTATTCAACCATTGAGCCAAAGCAATAAAATGTATTAAAATCTGTTGTAAAGACTTGATTCAACCATTTCTATATATATTACAGATTACTTTTACAATTTTGACCTCTTACAAGTCACTGGAGCTATCTTTAACTAAAAGACATGTTTTCACGAGAATATCTACCTAAGAAACGTGTATTTCATTGTTGATGGGAAATTTAAAGATGAAGTTACAGGAAAAAAACAGACAAACATACACAGTGAGCAAAACAACATTACCCTTTCATATAAAGGGGTTCAAAATAAAAGCACCAATTAATATTTGACAAACAACAGGCAAGTTTACATATAACATAAGCATAAAAACATCACAAACAATTACTAGTACACAACCTATGATTTCAATAATAAAAATAAAATTAAGTAAAATTTCTAATATATTCCTACTCATTCAACAGATGTTGAATTATCATGCATATCAAATAAATATAATAAAAGCTAGAAAAAATACACATATATTATATTTTCTTATTAGTTCTAATTACAAATATTGGTACATGTACACTAAAACCTGTCTTTACGACAACATAAATAAATTTGCTTTAATATTAAAAAAAAAATCAAATTAAATAATTATTGAATGTACATGTTTGTGTGGCTTGTTTGATAGTTGTGTTTTCATATATGCATTTTCCAAACAAGATTGCATTTGAGAAAAATGCTATGCCACCGCATTAATACAACACTAAATAGTAGTGTAGGAACATATTTTTTTTTGTTTCTATACAATTGAAGATTGTCATAATGCATAGATCCCTGACCTATCTAATTCTTATTATCAGATTAGTGATTAAATCTATTGTTAATCAAATAAAAGATCAGAGCAGGAATATATCAATGCACTTGAGTCTAGTGAATTTGGTGGTGAAGGTCATATTTCATGCAGACTAAATTTCATGACTACATCAAAGGACAACACAGTAAGACACTTTGTCAAAATCTAGGTAAGCTGATATCAAAGTCCACTTTACATTTTAATCTGTCCACATGGTTCAAATTTCATAGCTGTAGATCAAAGCACAAGAAAGTAGGTCACATTATCAAAATCTAGGTCACCTGATATCAAAGTTCAATTTTACAACTAAAACTGTGCACATGGTCAAAATTTCATTGCTGTACATCAAAGGACAAGAAAGTAGGTCACTGTCCCATTGGTCAAGGCAAAATTTTGACCCAAGGGTTTAATCCAAAACAATCTTGATACAGGTCCACCAAACAACTAGATATACATAGTGTAAATCAATGACCCCCGGGGCAGAACCAATTTTGACCCAAGGGCTAAACTTTGAACAATCTTGGTAGAGGTTCACTTCGCAAAGTCTCATGCCATATATTTAAACTCTAGCCTTTGTCAATTCAGAGAAGAAGATTTTTCAAGTTTTTACTTTATACATATGAAGAAATCTAGCGCCTCTGGGGCAGGGCAATTTCAACACTAGGGGCATAATTAAAACAACTTAGTAGAGGACCAAAAGATGATATTATATACCAAATATCAAAGCTTTAAGCCTTGTACCTTCAGATAAGAAGATTTTTAAATTTTTTACTCTATGTTCATAGTGAAAATCAATGACCCCTAGGGGTGGGGCCAATTTTGACCCCAGGGCTATAATTTGAACAATCTTGCTAGAGCTTCACTACACAATGTTTCATGCAAAATATCTTACCTCTAGCATTTGTCAATTACTAGAAGATCTTTTTAAAGTTTTTACTGTAAGTTTTTACTATATACATATAAGGATAACCAATGACCCCCAGGGCGGGGTCGATTTTGATCCCAGGGCTATAATTTGAACAATCTGGGTAGAGGTCTACCAGACAATGCCTTATGCAAAATATCTAAGCTCTAGGCCTTTTGGGTCCTTATAAGAAGGTATTTAAGTTTTAACTATATGTACATATAGTGAAAATCAATGACCCCTGGGGCGGGGCCGATTTTGACCCCAGGGCTATAATTTGAACAATCTTGGTAAGGGTCTACCAGTCAATGCCTTATGCAAAATATCTAAGCTCTAGCCCTTTTGGGTCTTTACAAGAAGGTATTTTAAGTTTTTACTATATGTACATACAGTGAAAATCAATGACCCCCGGGGCGGGGCCCATTTTGACCCCAGGGTCATAATTTGAACAATCTAGGTAGAGGTCTACCAGACAATGCCTTATGCAAAATATCTAAGCTCTACGCCTTTTGGGTCTTTACAAGAAGGTATTTTTAGTTTTTACTATATGTACATATAGTTAAAATTAATGACCCCTGGGGCGGGGCCGATTTTGACCCCAGGGTCATAATTTGAACAATCTTGGTAGAGGTCTACCAGACAAAGCCTTATGCAAAATATCTAAGCTCTAGGCCTTTTGGGTCTTTACAAGAAGATTTTTTAAATTTATTCTTATAATTCCTTTCGGTTGCCATGGCAACCAGATTTCTGCATGGAATGAAATTCTTTGAACAACTTTGGAAGCCCTTCACCCAAGGATCAATCCTGCCAAGTTTGGTTTAAATTGGACTAGTGGTTTTTCACAAGAAGATTTTTTAAGTTCACTATATAATCTATATAACACACACACACACACACAAACAAACACACAGATGAATTGCTATATGCCACCGCATCGCAGATGCTGCGGTGGCATAAAAATGGAGGCTAATAGAAGACTCCTTAATTCACTAACCTTTCAACATTTAAATATACATGTTAGGTATTTTCATGTCCATGTATACAACCAACTAAATAAATATAAATGTGTCTACCTGACAGGAACCATACAATGAATCATTGGTTCAATGAAACACGTACATCTTTTGTTATCAAAGTGGACAATTTCATTTCCAACATTAATAAAAATTTCAGATGATTTGTCATTATAATATGGCACAAAATATGCTTGACACATCAACCAAGAAGATCTTGAAAACTTTAAAGAAATGCACAACCTCATCATTTTTCATGTTTATAAATACACAGAGCTCACGCTGTCAGTTCACATGGACACCTTTTGTGATAATTTTATAAAATTGGTGAATATTTTTCCATTTTGGCTACAGAAACTGGCAAATATTTCATAACATTTACAAGTGTTTATTTATGCAAGATGTAAAAATTGATTCCTACGGGATAGCATAATAATGCTTTTAAAGCCAGTGTGAGCCCTGCATAAATGAAAAAAAAAATCATACAGAAAATAGTATGACATATTAACCCTATTTGACAAATGTAAATGCTTTTAACATAATTATGTAAGTAACAATATCAAAGGTAAACAACTCAGATATGCAAACATGATAGGATTCAAAAACGTTGCAGTTATCTAACCTTACAGAAATAAAAATATACTTGGTCTACAAAATATGTAACAAAACAGTACAAAATATTCATGTAAACTATTTGTGTAAAATATATCACATAATGAACAATGCTAGTGTGATATGCCCTGCATAAATATCATTCATTCAAAACGCAAACACATTCTCTGTGAAAAACAAAACAATTTTGTTTTCTTAAGAAAGTGTTCTCAAACCCAAAGATTTTGAAAATGCTGAAATTAATGGAAAAAAATTAAAGTCATCCCGCATCAAATCATGTTGTGCTTACTGTAATGCTTACAATTATATACAAACTTGTAAAATAAGAAACCAATGACAATACTACTTATATTACCCTACAGAAACAATTTAAACGAAAATATGTCAAACTAATGGATGCTCCTGATGCCAGTTTGACGCAGCTAACATTTCTGACCTCTGGAGGAAAAGTAGAAATAATATACCAAATATTTGAAACATATGTCAATTAATTTAGACAATATGAGAAATGGTTAAAGTGACATTATGCTCATTCTCTTGTTCTTAAGTTAAGCTGAATAGACTATATATTTCTAAAGATTATGGTCTTTGGCAAAATTGATAATGAAAAATATTAAGGATAAAATATAACAACTGCCTTAAACATAAGACTTCCCCACTTGTTTTTTTTTTTTTAATTGAATATTTACAGTACATTTCAAAGGATATTTATAGAATTTTCTAAGTGTCACTGGATTATTGATTATACATTATGAACTAGACTATAAAATCCAAAGCAACTATGGCAAAATCTAAAGGTTTTTTTTTACTTTGACCTGTACACCTGCCATTTACTCTTGGATGTGCATAATGTTACTTTAACCAATGTGATGGAAAAATGGAATGTCAAACTGGTAACTTTACACACTACCAAATATTTTTCTTTAATTTGGAAGCAAACCAGTATTATCCTGTGTACTTTTCTGTACATTTTTCAGTATATAACATTACATGTACTGATATTCTTTTACTTTGGTCACTTAATAATTCATACTTTTTATAAATAATTTATTTTACCTTTATTTCATTCAGCATGTTATTCTGGCTATACAAAGCTCTATAACAAGCAGGCTATTAAGTAAAATGTTACAAACATGATTACATCTATCTATCTGCTACTAAAGGCACATTATGCCTAAGACACATATAAATTTTTCCTATTTTAGAAAGGGCAAACATGAGCATTATCATGTTTAAATAATGGTTTTACAGAATGATAGATGCTTGTTCCCTGAAAAAAGTAGCGCTTATTTTGAAATTATTTGTCATAAAAGTAGCAAAATGACAACAAAGTAGTATTTTGACTAAGACCTCCTACAAAATATTACATCACTATAGCTGTATTCAACAGAGGAAAAAGAGGGTTATGATAATTGGCAAAAGAATAACTTTTTGGAGACTTTAAAAGTACACCAAATATAAAAAGCTTTTAAGAAATGAAAATAAAAGCATTTCTGAGGCATAATGGGCCTTTAGGTACATAATTGAATTTATGAACTATATTTGTATGAACTAAGTTGATTATTTTAATAGTCAAAATAAAAAGTTATAATACACTGTTTCATTATAAATTCAAAAGTCAAATTGACATCATTTGTTAACTTCATTATGAACAGCTACTGATGATAAGAATAACATATGTTTATATAAACAAATAAGTAATATTAAAACAATTTTTATCCATGTATACATAATGAAAATTCATTTGCTTAGAATCTGTTATCATAGGTTATACAAAGCTTGTCTGGTCTCCAATGCACATTATTTGAAAGCAAATGCACAAACAGTAGAATGAGTAAATATTAATTTAGTAATAACCCTTATTTTATAGAACCTTGTTAAAACATTAATTCAATACATTAAACTCATACATAAAATCGTTCATAATACATGTATCTAAAATAAAAAAATGCACTTTTACAAAAATGCTTCATTTTCTCCGTCTACAAAATGTCAAGCTGCACAAGACAGGAAACAATTATCACCTCCTCATTGATTTTTGCAAATATAATTTTATCTGAAAATAGGTTGTTTATAAGACCCATTTCAAATAAAGTTTTCAGCCAGTAGTAAAAACTCTTTTAAAAGCATATTTCATAACCTTAGTGCAATAACTGGTAAACTCCTATTAAATTTAGAAAGACTTAACCTATTACTGCACTACAGTGATAATTTCATTCTACTGTATCAAAACATATTGTTTAAACTAAACACCGATATTGATTCTTAGACAAATGGTCAAATGACATTTATAAATATGAAACATAACATGTACATATAATTCAGAGGTGATCCAAATGTATTTCTTTGTAGCAGAATAATAACAGTTGACTCACAAATAGTTAGATTGCAGCAATTCTGTTTATGTAGGATATCTTAGTAGAAAACACGTACAAAACACCAGTATTGAAGTAAAAACCTAGAGAATGTTGAGATGCCTATCCTTGTATAGAATATTCTGGTGTTGAGGAGAATGACTGGAATTGTGTTTGTTGACCATCCTGTCTCTGTGGCTGAGGTAACCCTCGTCTGTATACCAACATATTTAATACAGGCTTCCGTTGAATATATTCTACAGCTTTTTTATGGGTAACAACCGTGAAATCATGACCATTTACCTATATTAATATAGAAATACAGTCAAACAGTTTAACTAGAAGTTATGGGGAAAAAATCTTTATCAAAATGAAACAAGCAGAAGCTAAGAAAGATATTTTTAAATAATTGGGTCAGATTTTATTAATAAAGAGGGTAAATTCTGCATAACCCACATTACCTGCTTTGAGTTTTAGAACTGTTAGTTATAGATTTTAAAAATCATAAAACAAGTACTATTCTTGAACAGTCAACAATATACTGTGATATACTGTCAAAAAGTATAAAATTAATGTACAGACTGACTTGGTGCCTTACTTATGACATAGATTTGTTATTTTCACTATAAGCTTTGAGAAAAGTGATGCAGCTAAGCAAGGGTCATAAAAACAACCTCCTTGTGGATTTTTAAATATTAAGAATATATTACTTTCAAATAAAATCATGTGATTTACCAAGTTTTTACTACATTTTTAAGATAAGAAAGAAAACAAGAGGCTTCACTTTGATTTTACAAATGCTGTGCTGAGAAATTTCCACATTACAATCGGTGTCACCCTTAGACAAAAGGGGGCCACACTCAACTTATTCTTATTTATAAAGTCAAGGGAGTAAAGAATACTCCAAGAAAACACAATTTTCTTCTACAAAATATATAGTACAAGTATCATATTTGACCTTGACAATCAAGGTCACTTACAATTTAAGATTGTATTTAAAATATTCAAGGTCAAGGTAATATTACTGAAAAGGTCAATGTCACACTTGAATTTATAATCATGTCAAAGGTGTTTTATTGTCCAAGAATAAATCAAATCCGTAAATAAATAATAAAGTTATTATAATTCAAGCAAATTTTAGTAATTTAACCTTAAACATCAAGGTCAATATAAGGTCAATGTCATAGAATAACTAACATGTCTGTATTATCATATGTGTTTCTTGTCCAAGTATAAATCAATTCTGTAAATATTAATAAATGACGAAATTTAATGAAAATTTAAATGATTTGTCATTGACAGTGAAAGAAAAGACATAATTCAACATACAGGTTTTGTCACAAGGTTTTTAATCCAAGTATAAAACAAATCTGTAAATTTAATAACAAAGTGATGACAATCTAAGCTAATTCAATATTTGACCTTGCTGGTCAATGTCATTTACAGGTCTCAGTTTTGTTAAATTATTTTGGAGTGCAGGTCAAATTGAGTTTGATATCTTTTAAGACATTGTCCTTAAAGTATTAAGACAATCCATACATAAATAACAAAGTAACAGCCAATTTTAGCAAAATGAAGCAAAATTCAAACATTTGACCTTGAAGGTAGAGGTAATTTAAGAGTGAATGTCAAGTTTAGCCTGGTAAACTTTAAAGGCCTTATTTAAAAGACTGCTGTGTCCAAGTATAAAGACATTCCATAAAGAAATTTAAAAATAATGTTAAAGTTGCTGGAAAGCAACAGGAAAGGACAGTCTGACTGTAGCAAAAGCTCGAATTTTTTTTCAAGGAAAAAGGTGAGCTAAAAATAAAATAGAGTAATACCTGTAATAGTTTATCATGGACTTGCAAACCACATCTAGAAGCTGGCCCACTGTCATGAATGTAGGTCACATAGATTCCCTGAAATTATATACTTTTGTATCAATAAAAATGTTTTTACTTTATTTGTCATGTGCATTTTGTTTCCTAATGAAAATACAGTATTCAACACCTTGTATTGTTTAGAGGTCCTGAATAATCATGTAAAACATATTGATGGAATACATATGTGTATCTGTTTACTATGATTGGTATGTTTGCCTGTTTCCTGAATCTGCCAAAGTTTATCTATTGTTTATCAGTGTCATTGTTAGCAGGTAATAATAGAAGTCTTAACAAACCTGTCATCATCACTAAAGCCATTCAGAAAGTTACAGTCATACAGGGAATTAACAGTCTCTCTACATCATATATGGAATGAATGAGCACCCTTGTAAAACAACAAAATTTCCATAAGTTTCCAAGATATCCTTCTCACATGAAAGAATACCAATCAGTCAGGTTTCAAACCTGCAGCTGCACTTGGAACAAGTGTTCTGAGCCATCAGTCTTATTCACTTGCTCATGGAGGCCCCTCAGATAAAAAATAGTATAAACACAAGACACATTTGTAATAAATCACAGGCGCTAGTCACATAATCAAATATTTACAATAACCGGTCTATATATGTATATTAAGACATTATGAAATTATAGTTATCTCATTATAGTATATAGCCCATATAAAACTTTGAAAAGTTTGTTTCAAGCACCTGTGTAATAAATAGTAATGCAGTATTTACCTTATCAGGGTAACCTTGAGGTGATTTTGTGTTATCCTGGTCAATCCCTCCTCCTATCCTGAACCCACATCTATATCTCTGTTTACCATCCTGACCTATCACAGGATTACCCTTATCATCACGATCTAGGTCCTTATGTAACACAATAGGAATCTGGAGAAGACAATTGATTATGTACAATACTTTACAACTTTTAACCTAAACAACATGACTGAATCAGTTATGTTTAATTTTGCTGTAAGTGGTTCAGTGACAGCCCTACCCATCAATTTTGTGTGTGTTTTTAATTTTAAGAAAGTTTAATTGCAGTATGTACATTCCTCTTTTACACTGTAACCTTAGTGCAGTAATGTGTTAACTCCTTGACTATATCCTGGAAATTTAGACCCTGGGGTCTAAACCAGGAATATATACATGTATAAGGTCCATTCCGTTTTCTATAGTGTATTATATAGAAGTTTTACTTCTGAAATATACATAGGGATCTAATTCAGGAGACTGCCAACTCCTTTTGATGATTTAATAGGAGTTAACCTGTTATTGCACTAAAGAAATTATATATGTTGCCAGGGTCACACATAGATACCTGGTAGGAACTTTACAATTAGTTGGTGTATAACACTAACAGGGTTTCTACACTGAACTTTATAAATATAAGCATAAATTTACAAACATAAATTTATACAGAAAAGTCAAAGGCTGGGACTGCACAGTGGTCCCAGGCTTTGGCTTGCCCTGCTATAGACAACATGTGTATATTTAAAAGAAAATCAAATAAAAAACAATTAAAAAATATCTACAATTCTATACCTATCAATAATATTTTCAGCGTCAGTTAGAGTTGGGCGCCCCCATTTTCAATGTAACTCAATGATAATAAGCCGGGTATTGTAATACTAAACAATTGCAACTTTTCAGATTAATATTCGAGTTTTCCAAGTGAAAACGAAAGTGGTGCATAAAATAATGAATGACACCTTTAAAAAGGAAAAATGAACCATTTTTTTTAACCGACTTCTCTGTTCATACAAGTACTGGCAGTAGGCTTTGCAAATTTATATTATCTAGTCCTAAACTAACAAGAACAAATCTAAAGAATTGAAGTACTCCATATGTGACATTGTCTTTGTTAAGATAGAATGTGCTTACAATGAATCACTTATTATAGGGTCAGCATATAGAACAACAAATAACGATGAATCTTATGCCCACAATCTCTTCGACACCATATCAAAAGATTGTAAAATGTACAAAAAATCTGCTATCTGGATCACTGGAGACTTCAACCTGCCAGATATAAATTGGACCAATAACACCATTGAAGGTCATCAATACAAAAAGTCAATCAATGAAGCCTTTCTGCATATGGAACCAGACCTTGGCTTAACCCAGATGATAGATTTCCACACCAGGGGTAACAACATCCTTGACTTGTTCTTCCACCGACCAGATCTTGTCAACCAATGCTCCCCCATGCCCGGCATCAGCGACCACCATGCAGTCTTGATAGATACGAACATGTGTGCCCCCGCCTCAAACCACCTAAACACACTCTACTCATGTGGGATAAAGCAAACATTGATAATATGAAAAAGAAATGCAGCAGTCTCTCTGACACCATCCTCAACCACACTGACACAAACATTGAAGATTACTGGACACTTTTTAAGCACAGATGCACACTTATAGTTGCAGAGGAGGTACCAGCAAGACAGACATCACCAAGATACAACCAACCCTGGGTTACCAGAGACATCAGAAGAAGAAACGCTGGTTAAAGCGTGCAAGGCGATCTAACACCCAATACAACTGGGACAGATACATGACTATCAAGCGCCAAGCCCAGCTAACAATCATGTAGGTGTGCACATGAACACCATGTTGCCTCAATGCTGAGTGAGGACCATGAAAACCCCAAAGTCTTCAGGCAGTATATCAAATCCAGTAAAAATGAAAACTTTGGAGTAGCACTCTTGAAGAAAGACGGGATTACCTTCAGTGGAAGCAAACAGAAAGCTGACATACTTAATGACCAGTTCACCTCTGTCTTCACTAAGGAAGATGACTTAAACCAGCCACAACTTCCAAAACGCCATATTTCAGATATGAGCCACATTACTGGGACAGAGAAGGGTGTCCTCAAGCTTCTCCTTGGACTTAAGCCACACAAAGATGCAGGCCCAGATAAAGTCCCCATCAGGCTCCTCAAACTCTGTGCCAAGGAACTGGCCCCAGGCATGACCAGAATCTACCAGCTTTCTCTATACAGTGATACACTCCAAGCTGAATGGAAAACAGCTGATGTCTCACCAATCTTCAAGAAAGGAAACAGATCTACACCATTCAACTACAGACCTATCTCTCTCACATCAATCTCTTGTAAGATCCTGGAACATATCACTTTTAGCAACATCATGGCTCATTTCGACAACAACAACATACTGTCTGACTCCCAGCATGGCTTCCGACGCCGTTGCTCCTGTGAATCACAGCTACTCACCACTGTGAACAACCTTGTCAAAAGGCTTGACAAGAATGAGCAAATAGACGCTATCCTGCTTGATTTCAGCAAAGCAATCTACAAGGTCTCACACATATGACTGCTGATGAAGCTAGACAATTATGGGGTCAGAGGCAACACACTAAAATGGGTCCAAGGATTCCACTTTGGCAGAAAACAGCGTGTGGTCATGGAAGGCTCAAACTCCCACACATCCCCTGTCACCTCTGGAGTGCCCCAGGGCAGCGTCTTAGGTCCCCTGCTCTTCCTCGCTTTCATCAATGACCTACCGTCTAGGGTGAAGTCGAGGACTGGCATGTTTGCTGAGGATGACGCCTGTGCCCTACAAGATGATCTTGACAGCCTCCAAGTCTGGGAGAAGGAATGGCAAATGGAGTTCAATGCTGCCAAATAAGAGGTCATCCGAATTACCACCAAGAGGAACCCCATTATCTTCCCATATCAGATACACCAGACAACCCTCAACGTAACCAACCAGGCCAAGTATCTTTGAGTTACCATCACACCAGACCTATCTTGGAAATGCCACATCAACAACATAACAAACAAGAGCTGTCACAGGAGACAGCGAAGCTCGACTAATGAAATACTGGACGCAGTAAGGAGGACAAAACTATGAAAGAAAAATCAATTATGTATAATTATGTATTAAGTTACAGTAAAAAATAACATTTGTTAACATAAATTCCAAGATCAAGGGGAATAATTCTAGAAATAGTCATGCTAGAGTTATGGACCTTGCCACACAACATTTGTGTAATGATAAGAAATATATATTTGAAGTTTGAAGTAGATACCTTAAAAAATAAAGAAGTTATCATATTTCTTAAAGAAAATCCTAAGTTCAAAGAGAGATAAATCTGTAAATATTGCTTCAAGAGTTATGAACATTGTCACATAAAATGTAATTGATGATAAGGAATAAGTATTTGAAGTTTGAGGTAGAAACCTTTAAAAAAAAAAAAGTTAAAATAAAATATAACATTTTTCTAGTAAATAAATCTAAGTTTATGGGGAGATAATTCTTGCAATATTGGTGCTAGAGTTATGAACCTTGTCACATAAGATGTGGATGATGATAACGTAAATATAATTGAAGTATGAAGTTGATCCCTTCAGATATAAATAAGTTACAGTAAAAAATAATATTTTTTATGGAAAATTCTAAGTTCAAAGGGAGATAAATCTGAAAATATTGGTGCTAGAGTTATGAACCTTGTCACATAATATGGGGATGGTGATAACGTAAATATATTTGAAGTATGAGGTTGATCCCTTAAGAAATAAAGAAGAAACAGTAAGAAATAGTATTTTTTGAGGAAAATTCTAAGTTCAAGGGGAGATAAATCTGAAAATATTGGTGCTAGAGTTATGAACCTTGTCACATAAGATGGGGATGATGATAACGTAAATATATTTGAAGTATGAGGTTGATCCCTTAAGAAATAAAGAAGTAACAGTAAAAAATAGTATTTTTTAAGGAAAATTCTAAGTTCAAGGGGAGATAAATCTGAAAATATTGGTGCTAGAGTTATGAACCTTGTCACATAAGATGTGGTTGATGATAAGGAACATATATTTGAAGTTTGAAGTTGATACCTTAAGAAATGACAAAGTTATAGTGAAAAATATTTTACTGCACCAAAACTTTAATCTAAAATCTGGACGCGGACGCCGACGCCGGGGCGAGTAGGACAGCTCTCCATATACTTTGTATAGTCGAGCTAAAAAGCAAACTCAACCCTAGCTTTCCTGCGCAGAAACATCCGGTTAAGCCCACCAGATGCCAAAGCCAAAGCCTACAACACCTACATATGGCCAAGCGTCGAGTATGCCTCCTCTGTATGGTCACCTGCTGCTGACAGCCACATAAACCAACTAGAGATGGTCCAAAGAAGAACAGCATGGTTTGTTAAAAACGACTTCTCACGCCAGAGCAGCGTCACAGAGATGGTAAACTCACTACACTGGACCACTCTACAGAAAAGACGGGACAGGGCAAGAGTCACCATGCTCTACAAGATCAAGCATGACCTTGTAGATGTCACACCAGATCCAGGCTACATAATGCAATAACATCAAGAGGCAACCAACTCAGCCAGCTCACTTGTAAGAAATCTGTGTACCAGAACAGCTTCTCTCCAACCACCATCATCCTCTGGAATTGCCTACCCATACAAGTTGTTGAAAAATCAACCTTGGGAGGGGTTCAAGTCGGTGCTGATGAAACACTTTACCACCAACTAGACACATTGCCAGTTTTTACCAGATTTTAAGAAGATGTAAATAGACAATTTTTTTTACTGTAAAGAGGAAAATCAATTGCTGCGCATGTACATAGTTTTAGTTTCATCGCGATTATGCTCTATGAAGAATGAGGCGATTACTGAAGATGATGATGAAAGCAAACCCAAAAAAAGAACACAATAAATATTATGTGATCTATCTATCTCGGAAAAAAGTCAACTCGGCCCTATACCAACTCAGCACGGGTCAACTCGGCACAGGTCAACTTGGCCCACTTTACAGAAATATATATAGCGTATTTACTTTGCTTTGCATGTTGTTAAGGTAAATGAATAATAAGAAATATCTTATTATTATTATATAATTATTCATTGTACATCTGCCAAAATAAAGTATATTTAGAAAAAAAAGTTATTTATTTGTCTTGCAGATTCGATAAAATTAATACGGGGAAGTCAAAGACCGGGCCCGCGAAGCGGGTCCGGGCTTTGGCTTGCCCGGCTATAGACTACACGTGTATATTTAAAAGAAAATCAAATAAAAAACAATTAAAAAATATATAGAATTCTATACCTATCAATGAAATTTTCAGTGTCAGTTCTAGTCGGGCGCCGCCATTTACAATGTAACTAAATGATAAAAGGCGGGGTATTCCGGTAACGGAACATATCTCAACTTTTCGGATAAATGATAAACGTCGAGTGTTCCGAGTGAAAACGGAAGCGGTGCATGTAATACCGAATGACAATTTTAAAACGGAAAGAATGAAAGAAATACTTTTAACGACTTCCCCGTTCATAGGCTTTGCCTAATTTCATATTATAGATATAATAAAAACATTTTTATTTAATACGCGGAAAGTCCGAGCGGGGCCGAAGGCCCCGCGAGGGCTGTAGCGCTCTTAGATAACATGTAGGACGCGTATCAATTCAAATGAAATCAAATTAAAAGTAAATGAAAATTTCAAAAAAAATATATATCCTATACCTTATGAGCTGTGAAAAAATCTTTAGTTAACTGGGCGCCGCCATTTTGAAATCCTTTTGAGCTAAATTTTAATGAGCGTCTACATAATTTAGACTATTGCTAGTAGGGATGGGTACCACCAATTTTTTTGTACCGCGGTATATCGCGGTATTTCACCTGTGTACCGCGGTATGTACCACGGTATTATGAAGACACTTTTTAATGTTTAACTTATGCAAACTAAGACCAACTGCCATAAGAATGTTTAAACATTTTGATAAAACACAATACATTTTAGAAAAACAGACTTTTGGAGCCCAAAATGCCTCTAAATGTCCGATTTCCCCTTTGGATTTTTGACCGTGGTGAATTCGTCCATGACGGTATGAGCTGTTTACAAGTTGGGCTATGTCTAAATGCTTTACGTTTTGTTATTGTCGCCACTCGTCAATACGTCAACATGTTTACTAGCCTTAGACTGAGCACTAACATGGGTGTCCCCTTTTAATGCATTTAAATGAAGAATGATATATAGAAATTATAAAAATGTCGGCGGATGAAATGTATTTACACTACATAATAAATATGAAAAACAACTGGGAAACGATCCGACCTTTCCGCAACTAATTATTCGTTAGAGTTTTATACTGTGCATTTACTGCTGCTCTAAAAATAGACTTGGAATTCCACTTTAATTTAGGTTGAAACACAGATTACAGGGTAAATAAAGTCCGAATCTTACAAAAATATTAAGTAAAATTATATCTATTAAAAAACCGGTATTCCTAGGGGTCGTACCGGTACGTACCGCGTCTGAACGAAACCGCGGTATACCGGTATACCGGTAATACCGCACATCCCTAATTGCTAGCGTCTGCTAAATAACACATCCGGTGAGAGAATGATGTGCAAAATCAGAAAGTAAACATGCATTTCATTGATAAGAACTAAAGTAACGATTATAAATATAAAAAGTTACTTTAACATATCCTTTTTGATAAATTAGCACATTAAAATAACATTAAAACAACTGTGATTAGAGATTAACAAAAATGGCGGACGGGATTTTCCGAACGCCGACGCGTGCGCAGTGGTCTCCCTTTACGTTCGGAGATTTTCGGAATATTCCGAGCTCTCCGACGATAGGTTGAACACCACCAATTTATTTGTTTTGTTTACAGTACAAAATACCTGCAAGATAGATCTGGTTTACATGTACACTAAACATGTTATGCTTAAATCATAGTTCATAAGAACTTTCCGCGCCATAGGTAGCACCTAATTTCATATTAGCATAAGCTTCTAATTAATTGCAGGTGGTCACTAATCAAATTTGAATGAATGAGTCAATCATAATTATCACCTAATTAATCGGTATCCTTAACATACACATTGATTGATAATAATAGCCCGTGACAATAGGAGTCTTTTGATGTCTTTTACCCATTTTTAAAAGTGGGCCAAGTTGACCCGTGTCGAGTTGGAATAGGGCCGAGCTGACTCGGGGGCCGAGTATGTTCTAGGGCCGAGCTAACCAGGATTCATCTGTCTCTGAGTACTGCCAACCCCTCTGGCGAGTGTTATAGGCAGGATCTATACCAATTTGTTCTTCTTTTTTTAATAAATGATTAACTATCATATAAGCTTAATGACAATAATTTCATTGTGGGCATGATTGAAGTAGAGTGACTCACAAAATACAATTATTTACAACAGAACAATTGTGTCATTGTTTGCATTCTTTACTGTCAACGTCTATCGAGTAAATTTTTCGGCAAAATACATATAAGCTTTTTGCAGACTTTCTTATTCTATATCATTTACATTTAGATAATGTAAAATAAAAGAAAATGCATACGCTAAAACATTCCAGTGGATCTCCTGCATTATGACCAGCCATGTTTACTTTTTCTGTAAATAATCTCTAATAAATAACTATCAATATTGATAACAAATCATCAGTAATAAAATATTTTCTTTTGTATTGACTAAATATTTTTTAAGGAAACATTAACCATTGTCTAAGTGAGCTTTTTGTTACGTCCCACAAAATGGAAAATCATAAGGAATTTAAAGAAAAGAGATTATTCAAAATGGCGCTTCCTTTGAAATTTAATGAAACATAGTTTTTTCAAGACAGCGAGAATAAAAAACGACTATTGTTTAGACTTTATACAAAATTGATTACAATTTCACAATGGAATCAATAGACAAGTGGTTTCAGAGAGAGGTAAACTTATTTCGAACGTTTTCACGTATTATAACCAGATTTCGCGATGCTAAAAAAACATAATTTTGTAGAAAACATCTTTTAAATTCATGGTAATGGCATATTTCCACGTGGCATGTCTTAACATTTGAGAAAGTTGACCTTATATGAAAGTAGGCAAAGCCTATGAACCGTGAAGTCTTATTTATATTTTACTTTTTCTGTTTTAAAAGTGTCATTAGGTATTTTATACGCTGCTTCCGTTTGTTCTGGTTTCCTTCTTCTTCTTCCAATACTGTACATAACCCACTCTGGAGCATTGATGTACAGGGTGTATGTACAAAGTGTTGTGCGGCGAATAAGTGCAGATTTAAAAGAAGAACATGTTAAAAATAAAATCAACTCCGGCATATTAGGGCCCCATGACTAGTCCTCCCTTGAAGACCTCAAGGTTGACTGCTGTGGCTAGGTGCTGTGGAAGCTGGTTCCACAGGCGGATGGCCGAAGGTACAAAGGAGAACTTCATGGTGTCTGTTCTGCAGAATGGGACATGGAATCTGTGTCCATAGCCATGGCCACCAAGTGTCAGGGGGTGGAAGTACTGTGCAGCTGGGATGGCTATGAGGTTGTGCGTGATCCTGTAGACCATCACTAGCTTGGCATTGGAGTGGCGATGCTGTAGAGTTGGCCAGCCTAGGTCTGTCATCATTGCAGTGGTGCTGCTGGTAGTTTTGTAGTCGCCTTTTACAAATCGGGCAGCTCGCCTTTGGACAGCTTCAAGCTGGTTGATGTTGGTGGCTGTGTGTGGGTCCCAGACTGTGCCTGCGTACTCCAGGATTGGTCTAACAAGGGTCTTGTAGGCCTGGGCCTTGATGTCTTAATTCCTGTCTTAATTTGAAATTAGGCAAAGCCTATAAACAGGGAAGTCGTTAAAAAGCCCTTTAATTTTTTTCCGTTTTAAAGGTGTCATTCCGTATTTCATGAACCACTTCAATTTTCACTCGGAACACTCGACGTTTATTATTTAAATTGAATTGATAGGTATAGAATTCTATATATTTTTAATTGTTTTTTTATTTGATTTTCTTTTAAATATACACGTGTAGTCTATAGCCAGGCAAGCCAAAGCCTGGAGCCGCTGCCCATATTTCCTTGGCTTTTATTGTTATTTTGAATGCCGAAAAGTTGCGATTTGTCAATTATCAGATTACTCCGCCGTTTATCATTGCATTACGGCGCCCAACAAGAAATGACACTAAAATTTTGCTGATAGGTATAGAAATCTATATTTTTTTCTTTTTCTTTTTTTTCTTTTTAAATATACACATGTCGTCTAGCCAGGCAAGCCAAAGCCAGGGGTTGCTTTTGTTGGCAATAGGTCAGTGTCATACTTTGGAGTCAAGATAAAGTAATTGTTGATTTTCTTATTTGTTATAGGCTTACAATAGAGCATTTGTGTAAATAATATTATAAAGACATCCCTCCAGGAAGTAAACTTCCAACTCTTGAGAACGAGTAACGTATGTGTTTACTTGGCACTATTTTTATGAAAGACTCATATAATAACAGTCTATGACTTTGACTTCCCTGTATAATTTGAAATTTAGGCAAAGCGTAATATGAATGATGCAAAGCCTCAATGCGAGCTTGATTTACTTTTACTGTGAAATTAGTCGTTCATTTTTATTTTACATTTTCCGTTTTAAAATTGTCATTCTGTATTTTATACACTGCTTCTGTTTATTCTGGTTCCCTGTCCTATCATGTTGCGCAGGACACCAGTCTATGCTTCCATTTTCAATCAGAATACCTCGGTTTTTATTGTTATCTTGTAATTCGAAAAGTTGCGATGTGACAATTCAGTACTTCGGTCAAAAGTTTTTAAAACAATCATTATCTAGCAGGTACCTCGCGTTACCGTAAGTTTCGCTTTAAAAGTGCCATTCCGTATTAATTTTATACACTGCTTAAATTTGTTCTGGTTTCCTATCTTATTATGGTACCCATCCAAGATGGCTGCCCATAATTCCTCGGCTTTTATCGTTATCTTGTAGGCCGAAAAGTTGCGATTAGTCAGTTATCAGATTACTTGCTGTTTATCATTGCGTTACAGTGCCCAACAAGAAATGACACTGAAAATTTCGCTGATAGGTATAGAATTCTATATTTTTTTCTTATTTTTTTTCTTTTTAAATATACACGTGTAGTCATTAGCCGTGCAAGTCAATGCCCGGGGCCACTGAACTTTGACTTAACCGCATTAATTCGAAAAGTTGCGATTGTCCGTTATCAGAATACCTCCCCTATTATCATTGGGTTACATTGAAAATGGCGCCGCCCAAATAGAACTAACACTGAAAATTTCATTGATAGGTATAGAATTCTATATATTTTAATTTGATTTCCTTCTGTACTTAAAGTTAGATACAGAGAACATTGTATGTCATTTATTTTTATCATTTCTTAATTTTGATGACATAATGGATGTTTTTAATGATTGTTTTAAAGTGGGGCAAATTGTCATTAATCTGGGACAAATTGTTATCAATTCAATACATTTATATATACCTATAAATAATTTGAATAAAATTTTCATTGTCATTTGTCATTCACGGCACCATTTTGAATGTAACTTGGTGTTAATTGAACTTAACATTATGAGTATTTTTCATGCCTGACAGAATTCAGAGATATGATAAATAAATTTGATTAAATTTATAAATATTGAAGTGAAAATTGTTAAATTTACACATAATTATTTGTTACTTAAAGCAGATTGATATACATTGTATTTTCTATTAATTCAATGTATGCTAAGGCCATCCTTAAAAAAATGTTTGTTTGCAGTAACCCGACCCAGAATTTTCAAGGTGGGTAGGTAGGTTGATTTTTTTTTATTATTATTGAACTGTTCTCTCAAATAAACATGGAATTTCAAAATGCTGGACAATATATGCTCTGATAATCTGGTAACAATTAATAAATTGAGAACTGAATTCTAGTTTAATAAGACCTACATTTTATTTCTTCTATTAACCTGTAACAGAACGAAAACAAAGCACAAGGCATAATTTTCTGATTCAAAAAAATTTTTTTTTATCCAGACCATGAAAAAAAATTTTGAGTAGGGGCAAATTTTGTGAGTCGGTCGCGTTACTGCAAACAAACATTTTTTTAAGGATGGCCTAACATATATTATATTTTGTTGTGTCCCCTACCTTAGTCCCTTATAAGGTAATTAGAGCTCTGTATACATATGTTAATTTCTCCTACATCTAGTATCTTTTTAAACATAGCAATTAATACGTATTTTTTCAATTTATAAGTCCAATCTCCTAATTAGATCTTCATGTTACAATTCCTTACAAAGAATTCAAGGCTGAATGGAAGAATCAGTTTATAGATGCAGGTTTTTTTAACAATTAATCTGCATATTGTTACAGATGCAGTCTTACTGTATAACAACACAGTTGCTAATAACAGAATGATTATGTATATGGGTTTGAACATACTGCAATGTGGATTTATACTAAAACATCAAGGTGTAAAAACTAATTAGAAAAAAAACAACAACAACAATCCATGAAATAGATAAAAAAATCCATAAATCTGTTATTAGCAAATTGAAGAAAGCATTTACATTATTATTATTTCATAACTTGAATAAATCTAATATTTATTATTTCAGGTTATACAGTGGCGTACAGGAGCAGCTATTGCCTGGTCTGTTATAACATTGCCAATCATCAGCATTGTTTATCTATTCCTGACAAGCTTTCAGTTGTTTCATCCTCTACAATGGACCACAGGTAACCTAAATCCTGCTTGTATTGTTGATATTTTGTTCTTTAATAGAAAATTTCTAGGTCAGTATTAATATGTTTTAAAATGGCTTTCATCAAAACATTTAGTATAGTATTAGCACACAAGAATAGCAAATGCTCATTGTGAAGTTTTATGGTAGCACATTAACTGTACATGAATTTTTTTCTGGAAAATTTCTTTAACTTGCAAGACCATCTGTAGACCAATCTGTCCTAATTTCACAGATCTTTTTTTTTTTTTTTTTGAAAGGCCTAGCACTTGTTGAAACTTTCGTTTTGCCTGTCTTGATTTACCACAAAGTTACCTTTATTGTCATATTTTTACTGTTAAAACCTTATATATACTTTCAGATTTTGTAAGCAGTTTGTTCTCTCTCACATTTTTAAGCAATATAGTTTTGATCATGCTGGTGAATGCTGGTTTCTATGTCTACTCAAAGAACACATATACAGGTATTATGATTTATATAATTATTTATACATGTATGACATATGTTTTATTAATATTCTTGTAATTTAATGAATAGACAAAAGATTTCTTGTGCTGTCTAAAACATTGGAATAATAACCTTAAATATGGCACAAACTTGATGGGTTATACACCCGTCATTATTTTCGTCAGATGACACTTTTGAAGGACAAAAAGAATTAAGTGAACATATTAAACTTAAAGAAATTCATTATCATTCAGTCAAATATAGGAAGATACTGTGATGTAAATAATCTATTATTCATTGATAGTAATTAAGTTTTCATAAAAGCTTTGTTATAAAGACAGTCATATTAGTCTGAGGCCAATGATCAAAGGCTAATATGACTTTCCAAAGCTTTATATTAAAACAATTATTAACATTATGTTAATTCTCCTCATGTTCAAATGTACTTTATTTGAATGAAAACTATTTGAAACATAGTAATAAAATGTTAATGGAATATTATGCACTTTCTGTTTGTTTGTCTTATAGATAGACTAATCATAATAATGATGAAAGTAAGATAGAGAATTTTGTATTTCCAGTGATACCAACAATGTCAATTACCAGGTTTTCTCAACTCCCTCAGTTATGTAAAGGTTCTGTCATGATGTATGCAGCTTTATGTTGGGGGTGTGGCCTAATCCTCGGATGGGTGTGTACATGTATACTAGGGGACAGATATACAAGTCTGTCTAAGCAGTGTGCTGCAGACAGGTAGGAAAATCTAAAAAAATGAGTGTGATAAATTAGTTTTTTCTCATCAATGTTGTTACAATCACAATTCTATTATGATAAATACTTTAAATCTAAACAGTATTTTTAACATCAAAAACTGTTTATATGTGAATGTAGAAAATACTTTTTGCATGTATTTTGAAAATATTATTATGTAAATAATCATGTGATCATTTTTGTATTTTAGTGAGTTGTACTGTATCAATGAGTACCATCTATTTGTGGTGTTATATGGAGGTTTTACAGGAAAAATGTATATTGTCTACCATTACATCAACCAGAATAATGTCTTACATTTCCCAACATTACAGGTACATAGTTATAAAATATTTTATAATAATATTTTTTAAATGACAATAGATTTTACTATGATTAAACTGAAGAAAGTTTGTAGTATTTTCCAAAAATATTGATGACATTTTTGTTGTCTTTAGACTTTGAGATATTTTGCTTCTGGTCGACAATTTCATTGAGAAAATCTGAGAGGGAACCATTATGGTCTTCTAATATATAAAGCAAGAGCTTTAAAGAAAGTAATGATCAATTACTTTGCTTATTTTTCTGTTAAAAGTGACAAAATGGATTCATTTCACGGTAATAATTCTGCTTACCCTACAAGCTTGGAGAGATAGAGAAGATTTTTAGTTGTTGGATTGTTTATTTCTCTGTGGTATAAGGGTGTAATACATTACGATCTAATGCCATTGATTAATGTAGGGAAGTTGTTGCAACATGGTGAGGAAAAACAACAGATTTTTACTGGTTCAGAATCACACATAACTCTTTTGCATGAAGAAAATATCATTTGACTGATGCTAGATTATAGGAATGTTAATGGCAACAAGTTTACAAAAAAGCATAAATGTTGGCTGATTATAGGTTATGGGGACAATGAGTGGGTTTGATCAGAACTCTCAATTTTTGGGTCACAGTTTGTTCAATGGTCTCAGTCATATACTCTGTAATTACTTGATTGAAAATGTCAGATGTATGCAAAGTTCTGCTGAAGAAATGATGCTATTAATTTGGTTGTTTACCCTAGCTTAAATATGTGACCTTGCAAATTTTAGTTTGTTATTTTTTTATTATTTTTTTTGAAGTACATGTAATTCCAGTTAAATTGAGAATTATTCTAAATATTTTTCCTAAATAACATGTCTTAATTGAACTAGGATTTATTTGTTTCTTTTTTTTTTATTCAATCTACAGCAAGCAAAGTTTTTCCAAGTACGAGGGAGGATGCCAAGAACAGCCTGGTCAGCACTTGGTCATGTGATATTTCAGATCAAATTCTTCTACATTTTCTACTATTTGTTTGGTCAGTACATAGTGATACCAGATTTTATAGTTTGTACCTTAATGGCGTCCTTACTTATTGTGACTTTATTGTCTGAGAGAATATCTCCAAAATTTATTGATCTTACTTGCATTTCTTATATGATTTTAAATTTATTGAAACAATACATTTTTTAGGAACATACCTACCTCTTAAATTCTGTATGTATGTGTAATATGTTAAGAGAGAAAGAACTCATTAAGTTGGACTTTTTTCAAAGTCACCAGATTCAATTTATATAGAAAAAAAGAGAAAAAACATTAAAAACTTTGTTTTTAACTGTCTGTTTACAACAAAGATTGTTTACACAAATAAATGATAAAAGTTTTGTATATTTTGTCCATGCATGTTAAATGTTACACAGAACACTGTTTTTTTCTGATTTCAGGAAATATTCCAAGAGATGCTATAGCTGAAACCCTCTCTCTTAAATTTGAGTAAGATTTTTCAAACTTTATAGTTGAATTTGATTTAGAAAAAAAAAATTTTCAGTAAACACTTTGTTAGTTAAGACCTATGAAAAGACTCAGTCATTATTGTTGGTCTGAGAGTTCTGCTCTTAATAGGGTAATTTTATAAGATTTTTTTTAAGGAATACTCCTTCAGTTCAGGATTTTTAATACTCTTAAAACCATCTCTTTTAAGCTTGATTATTTGCTTTTGTACTCACCCCTGCATCAGTGGCAGCATCACACTTTGGTAAAGTTTTTGCATGTTATTTATCTGTCCTACTAAGAGCTTTTGTAAACATCCATCCTTAACTTTATACAAAGAAACAACTTACTAGGAAATAAGATAAATGACAGGGAACAGATTTTCACTCAGTTTTGTAAAAGTACAATGTATGAATACTTCTAAAACAGTTGTTAAACTATAAATGATATATATATTACAGGAGGGAGTCAAGACTTGACAGTTTATTTGGCTTGTTATTTGATGTTGCTTTACTATGGCAGACAATCCTGGTTGGCTTATTTATACAGTTCTCGTGGTGCTATGGTGCTCTACTCTACAAAGTCTACAATACACAGGTGTGTGACTTTATGTTATAGGTTTATAGGCTGTTAATGTAAATAACCTTTTTTTAGATGTTGTGTATAGGGTTCATGTTGTTCACAAAGTTTTAGATTATACTATAGAACTTCAGGAAGTCAATGTTGAAGGGACTAATGTGTAAAAACTATATGGTTTTCAATTTAATGACAGAATTTTGAGCTACAACTTCTACAAGTGAGTTACAAAAGACATAATTAAAAGAAATGGCGATAACTAAATCTGCTTATGGTAAATATATCACATGACTGATTGTGATAATCATGTGAAGGCAGATTTTGGAAGATTCAAGATGAAATTAAGTTGTGTTTATTTTCAAATACATGTACAACCATGGCAATTATAATGATAACAATTAAAGTATATTCTTACACTCAAGAGTGCATTCAAAGACGGTTAGAACACATGACCCTGTAATTAACACCTGTCATACAAATTGATTTGCAATCATCATTGCGGCTAAAAATATTTGGTAAAAATACCTTAAGTTGGAAGGTGTCAAATTTATTGATGGAATTTTATTTATTTTTGGTAAGATGTTCCAGAATTATTGTTTACATATCACATTAAAACTTTAACACACCAAAAAAATCGACACATAAAAGTTTGACAAGTATATATGTTAAAAAAATTATATTGGGGGAAAAAATGGGATTTTCATTTTACTTCGACATACCGTAAAATTAGGCGACCGTTGCCGAGTGGTTAAGTTCTTTGAAATCAAACCACTTGCCCTTTTCTGCTGTGAGTTCAATCCCACTAGGTACTTTGTAATCCTTCATTTGAGAAAGCTATCCAGCTAGCTTACAGTACATCTGTGGTTCTACACAGCTGCCTGTTGATGCCTGTAATAATGCACTGAGGGGTACCTGAAGGGTCTTTCTACACATGAAGAAAATCGACACATTTAAATTTAACACATAGAAGTTCTACTATACTTGAACTGTTTGATGTTTGAATTTGTATTTGAAAATTAACATGGTTCAGAAGAAAAAATGGAGCTAATAACAGAAACTTCTTTGCTTAAAAGAATAACTTTCCTTACTTTATCCTTTATCATGCTAAATTTGTGTAATGGACTTAATATGCTTTGAGGATATTTTGAGTTTGAGGTATTTGAAGATCAAAATAAAATTAAGTACATGTAGTCAGCAGAATAGCTCCTTGATAGAGTGTATAACTGTGAAGGTTGACCTGGCTCTATTCTGTCGTTAGCTTGACAAATCATTGTAAGTAGCTGCTAAAAGCTGAAATACAGCAATTGATCAGTATTTGGAATCCTACATTGTCTTAATCCAAACCACTCTTAGAAAGGACATGTGCTTATTGTTGTTGTGGGGTTTTTTTTTTCAACTAGATTATGATACGTTCATATTCTATCTTTATTAAGTTATAAATGATGATTACTATTTCAGTATTATGAGTTTCCAGTGAGCACAATGTTTGATAATTTCAAGAATAAATGTCTCGTAGATTCTCTGTCCTGTACTAATCTACCACTCTTACAGGTAAAACACTTAATTACAATGCAAAAATTCTTACATAAACATGTCACCATTATAAAAGAAATAAAATAGAACGTTTAATTTTTCACACATTGTAAAAGCTACCAAACTGATTTTTTATTCATAAGCACTTTAAATCAATTTCAAGTAAATAGGATCTTTTAATTTCTCTTTTAAACAAATAACTCCTGATAAATCGTGATTCGTAAACTGTTTTCGTTTTGTATATGATATTTGGAGACATTTGATATATTCACCTCTACAGTGGATAGATATGATAAATTAATTAATTTATTTTTAGCTCACCTGTCACAAAGTGACAGGGTGAGCTTTTGTGATCGCTTTTCGTCCGGCGTCCGTCTGTCCATAAACTTTTACTTTAAATGACATCTCCTCATAAACCACTAAGCCAATTTCATCCAAACTTCACAGGAATGTTCCTTTGGTGGTCACCTTTAAAAATTGTTCAAAGAATTTAATTCCATGCAGAACTCTGGTTGCCATGGCAACCAAAAGAAAAAACTTTAAATATCTTCTTTTAAAAACCCAAAGAGCTAGAGCTTAGATATTTGGCATGAAGCATCTTCTAGTGAGTGTCTACCAAGTTTGTTCAAATAAAAGCCCTGGGGTCAAAATTGGCCGCGCCCCAGGGGTCATTGATTTTCCCTATATACATATAGTAAAAACTTAAAAAATCTTCTTTAAAAGAACCCAAAGAGCTAGAGCTAAGATATTTAGCATGAAACATCTTCTAATGAGTGTCTACCAAGTTTGTTCAAATAAAAGCCCTGGGGTCAAAATTGGCCCCGCCCCAGGGGGTCATTGATTTTCCCTATATGCATATAGTAAAAACTTAAAAAATCTTCTTTTAAAGAACTCAAAGAGCTAGAGCTAAGATATTTAGCATGAAACATGTTCTAATGGGTGTCTACCAAGTTTGTTCAAATAAATGCCCTGGGGTCAAAATTGGCCCCGCCCCGGGGGTCATTGATTTTCCTTATATGTGTATAGCAAAAACTTCAAAAATCTTCTATGAAAAAACCCAAATAGCTAGAGTTTAGATATTAAGCATGAAACATCTTCTAGTGAGTGGCTACAAAGTTTGTTCAAATAAAAGCCCTGGGGTCAAAATTGGCCCAGCCCCAGGGGGTCTTTGATTTTCCCTATATGCATATAGTAAAAACTTAAAAAATCTTCTTTTAAAGAACTCAAAGAGGTAGAGCTAAGATTTTTAGCATGAAACATGTTCTAATGGGTGTCTACCAAGTTTGTTCAAATAAATGCCCTGGGGTCAAAATTGGCCCCGCCCCGGGAGTCATTGATTTTCCTTATATGTGTATAGCAAAAACTTCAAAAATCTTCTATGAAAAAACCCAAATAGCTAGAGTTTAGATATTAAGCATGAAACATCTTCTAGTGAGTGTCTACAAAGTTTGTTCAAATAAAAACCCTGGGGTCAAAATTGGCCCCGCACCGGTGTCATTGATTTTCCTTATATGTGTATAGTAAGAACATAAAAAAAGAACATAAAAAATCTTCTTTTAAAAAACCCATTGAGCTAGAGCTTAGTTTGTTAGTTTGTTCAAATAAAAGCCCTTGGGTTAAATTTGGCCCTGCCGGGGGGGGGGGGGGGGGCAGGTCATTGTTTTTCATTATGTGTGTAGTAAAAACTAAACATCATGAAACATCTTCTAATGGGTGTCTTCCAAATTTGTTAAAATAAAAGCCCTGGGGTTTAAACTGGCCCCGGGGGCCCCTATACAGGTGAGTGACCTCAGGGCCATCATAGCCCTCTTGTTTATTTTATGATTAACTTATGTTTTGTCATTTTCATCACAGTTTTTTATGTTTGGGGTGTAAATTTGCCCTTATCTGTCTGTCCATACACCTGCGTGTGAAATGTGGGGATATCCTTGTCTATGTTGTTGAAATTTTCAACATTATGTTACAATATTATTATGGAAGAGAATAACTAAAGAAACAAAAACTTACAGTTGTTAAATAGAACATGGATGAAATTATAATAGCATGTATATATCAATAATTGATAACCTTGATTTTGTTTATAGGCCCTGGGTTTTATGGATTTGGATTTACTGGCCAAACATTCATATACCAGGAGAAAGGAACTTTTCAGTTTAAGTCAGCCAGGTAAGTTATAAAAAAAAATATTTTAAATACAAACTTTTGTAATCACGTTTACAATGTTTATATGATATTTTTCACATTTATGTTGAACAATGTTGTTTTTTTTTGTCATTTGGTAGCTTATATGAAATATCAAAAACTATATGATTACCAGTTACCAGGACTTGAATTCTTATTGCTGAAAAATTGTATAATTATGATTTTGTGTATATTGTGCCAGCTGTAAATGAGTTTTTGTGTCCACTTTCCATAATAATAATACTAATCAACCATCAAGTGTTTTGGGCCTTTCAGTTGAAACACTTAATGTTATTACTATTTTTTAAGCAAATATATACTCTTCTATTTTGGAACTTTAGGAAACAGTTCTTCACATTATGTCATATTGAATCTTCACAACCACACTGTTGTTTCAAATAAATCTTTATTTGATATTATTTTAATATTAAAGCTGTACATTAATCAATAAGTTCTTGAAACCAATATTACAGGTGGACATCCACATAACTGGAACAAAATATTAGCTGTATGTCTGGCTGTAATACAAGAGATGAATGATACTGTACAAGAAGTGAACTGGAAAATACTGGCTAATGCTCCAGTAAGACAACCACATGCAGAGAAAACAGGTGAACACATTAGTTAATCAGTCTTTTAATACCATGTCTTATTGCCGTTGTCATTTGTATCTGCTTCAGTGTTCAATCTAGAGCGCGCCATTGCGCCATTGACCCCCTGAAAAGGCCGCCGGCGCAAAACAAAATCAACTGTGGGCCCGATGGGCGCACTCATAGAAAATGCCCTAAATGACATTAGAATGCTTTCTTAAACCTGATTAAGTACATAAAAGAAGTTTCTTGTGAATAATATTAATAAATACTGAATTCAAAACTGAAGTTTGTATTGAAAAACAAGAGCATGTTGGTAAGATAGTTTACCGCACTCGGTAACCCATTAAAAACCTTTATCGCTACGCTCTCTCGGTCCGCGTGTGTAAATACTATGTAGACCTGTTCGTACCGTAACTATTACTTACTTTTGAGTCACAGTTTTTAAAAGCAAAACAAATCGTCACAGATAATCCAATACGTGCGTGTAGATATATTTTTTTCACGGTCAAAACAAATAAATATGTAATAACTTTCCAAAGGAAAAAAAATATATATGTATGTGAAAATGCGAGTTAATTATAGAGAAGTGTGCATAAATTAATACGAACACGCCTTCATCCAATTAAAAATGTCTTAAAGATGGAGCAATCAAACACGATTGGCTAGGGAGTGTCTGACAATTAAGTAAATTAACTTTGATTGGTCTTTGGCTGGTCGGCGCTAAAACATTGTGCATATCATTAATCAATACAGACATCTTAAGCGTGACGTAAGAACTGCTGCCCTGACAAAAGATCAAAGGTACCGGTATGTCAATATACATTGTCTTAGCACCTGTTGACACTTTGTTTTTCGCTTGGATATATTGAGAAGAGTAAATGTTTTTAGCGACTATTGTAAGTTTATATTCTTCATAAACAAAGCTAATTTCAAACTATGATTTTCCTTTATATATCGGGCGCTGATTAAAAAACTGAACATTATTGTCAAATATCCCTGGTAACATTAAAATAAGATTCATATTTTTCTTTGAACATTATGTCATCGCGTTTCTTTACCAATCAGTTCTTAAATTTGAGCCTGTATCAACGCTAATGTCATTTTTTTTTTGTTGAGTTGTTTTGTAATTTTGCAACCGTTTTTGGTCTAAATATGGTACGTGAACAAGTAACTTAAAAGATACAATAGCTTATTTGAATTTGATGTTCATTTTAAGTGTGGGCCCCCTTTTTTCTCAAATGACCCCCTTTTGAAAAGTTTATGGGCCCGAAGGGCCCCCTGGGAATTTGTTCTAGATTGAACACTGCTGCTTGTCTTATTGCCTCTGATGTAAGTGTCTGGTTTCGTTAAAGCCCATGACTTATTGCCCATGACATTTGTGTTTGGTTGTGTTAGAGCCCATGGTAATTGTGTCTGGTTGTCTTATTGCCCATGACATTTGTGTTTGGTTGTGTTAGAGCCCATGGCAATTGTGTCTGATTTTCTAATTGTCCATGACATTTGTGTTTGCTTGTGTTAGAGCCCATGGTAATTGTGTCTGGTTGTCTTATTGCCCATGACATTTGTGTTTGCTTGTGTTAGAGCCCATGGCAATTGTGTCTGGTTGTCTTATTGCCCATGACATTTGTGTTTGCTTGTGTTAGAGCCCATGGCAATTGTGTCTGGTTGTCTTATTGCCCATGATATTTGTGTTTGCTTGTTTTAGAGCCCATGACAATAGTGTCTGACTTTCTCATTGCCCATGATGTTTGTGTCTGGTTGTCTTAGTGGCTATGGCAATTGTATCTGTTTTGTCTTAGTACCCAAGACAACTGTGTTAGTTTTTTATTGTTAATTGCCTGTAACAAATGTGGTGTGTTCTGCTAATACCCATGACAATTGTGACTGGTTGTCTTAGTTCCCATTACATATGTATCCAGTTCTCTTTATGCCCATATTAATTGTGTATGGTTGTCTTGAGTGCACATGACATTTGTATATGGTTGTTGTCTTTGTGCCCATGACATGTCTGGTTATTTAAGTACATGACTGGTTGTCTACCTGCATATGATATTAATGTTTGGTTCTTCTATTGTCCAAGTCATTTGCGTTTGGTTGTAATTGACCATGATAATTGAGTGTTCTTGTATAAGTGCTAATGAAGATTGTGTTAAGTTGTTTTAATGCCAATGATTTTTGTGTTTGATTGTTATACTTCCCATGACTGTTGTATCTTACTTGTCAGCTTAATAGAAACTATAAAGTCTATCAGCTTTGGAAGTTAAATCAAATTGTGCAGGCAATAAGTCTTGAATTTGCTTGATTTCAAAATTGTTTCTTATGAAATAAGTAATGGGAATGGTTCACTAAATTCCTTGAACTTGTTTGGTTTTTTGTCTACTGGGATCCTACATATTACCAGACAAAATATGATGTTTTTTCGCTGTAACTTTTATTTAAAATAATAAAAAACAATGAAATTTTACCCAAATAATTGTGAGTTCTTAATATACGTAAACATTCCTTTATCAAACATAAAAATAAACATTTGACCGTAGAAATGTGTCTTTAAAGTAGGACATTAAAAGAGGGAAAAAATCGTGTAGACAACTCAATTTACCGGACATTGTGGTTCAAAATTTTTTGAAGTCTTAAATTAAAATTAAGCAAGGAAACTACGACTATTGCATGGCAATGTTAAGATACTGGAAAAACCCAGTATGTCACTAAAATAGACACGGCAGCCATGATTGTTACGAAGAGGCCAATATAGGGGGTGTAATTGAAATAAACACTATTAACTCAATTAACGTATTGATTCTTCATGGACCTTAATAGTATGACACATTTTGATATTCAAATGGAATTCTGTTCTTTCTCATACAGTTTCCTTTTGATCATAATGTAGCATGTTGCAAAAGCCACAAAGTCTATTTTTTGTACATTTCATGTAGAGTTTCCTCCCATAAGCGTAACCCGTTTCCTTATATATTTTTTTCATTTGCATTTCTTTGTAAAAGACAACAACGAGTAATTGTTTGAACAAAAATTAAAATTATTTTTTATCATTAAAATATATACGATTGTCTCCTGAGGTATACGATTGTTTCCCGAGGTAACTTTGAGAAGAATTATCTAAAAAAACCCACTAAGGGCCTCAATATTCGGGCATGCGCAGAACAGTTTATTCCCCCGCATGACCAGGTCATGAAATAACTAGTTAACAAAAGGGTATGTTAGTAAATAAAGAACTGAATCTAGAATATTTACCTGAGAATGGTTTTGTTGTTATTTACTTTGAAGTTGAAAGTGTGTGTACGATTCAGACCGGATAATTTTTTGAATCGAAGCAAAAAATAAAGCCTTATTTGACAGGAATAGATTTTGTCCGGTAAACTGATTGTCCGGTAAACATGTAGGATCCCAGTAGAGATATGATGATTTAGCAATTTTGAAAATTTCAAAGCTTCCTAAACTTGGCAGCCCATATCTAAATAAGTTTTACAGAATTTGCTTTCAGTTGTGCTGTTCATTGCAAAGGAGACCTTAATTACATAAAAAAAATTATACTGTAAAAAGTTGGTTATCAGAAAGAAGATATTTATTGTAATAGTCCATGAATGAAGTATGTAGTTTATCTACTAATATACATTGTATATTATATTTATATAATTGTGTCTGGTATATTGTATTAGTTATTATATATTTTCAGCAAGTAATGGTACATCTGATGGATTAAAACATAGATCATCAACTACTGATGGTACCTCTAAACCAGCAACATCAGCTGTCAAAGACAAGGTATATCTCATGCAGTCTTTATCTATTGTTTAAAGTTTACTAGATGTAATAATTGTAGACCTATGTCAGAACCAATACAGTCTGTGTGAACATACAATTTGATGGTTTGTTTACTGCTGTTCATTGTTTAGTTTTTATATTTTAATAGGAAAGCTGCTGACAATAACAATGGCTGATTATCAAGTCAAAGCTGTTCATTACACAAATTAAGCAATACAAAAGTTTTTCAGTTTTTAACAACATTTTTCAATCTTTCAACATTTTCATTAAAACTGAATTATTCCCACTGATAGTGATCTCTTTACTGAAATAAAGTTGAACTGTTAGTGGCAGTTCTTTATTCATGCTGATATGGAATAACAATTGAATATTTTGATATACAATATGTCAATTATTGAGGATACATTGTATAATGCAATAAAATTGTTTAATCACCTAGCTAGAAACATTATTTTGTTCAATATATTTCAGTACACATGTACATGTTCTGTAATGGATTTAGATGTAAAAGTAAAAGTTTTAAATGTTTGTTTATTTTGATAGATAGTAAATGGATTAAAGAAGAGATCATTGCTGACATTTTTCACTGGAGAGGTACCTGACAATACACATAAAAACCTGTTTGCCTCAGCCTTCATACAGATATGGGCAGTAGATGGTAGGTCTATATCTTATATAAAATGTGACATATTTATGATATAGGGTATAGATAAATGATGTTAAATAGCTGAAAACCACCTTACAAGCTGAACACATATGTGATTGTTCTCATGTAGAAATATGAGTTTGAAAGCGAAAGATAAACAAGGTTCATTTAACTGTTTTGGTTGAACTTTAAAGTACAAGTATTTCCAGAAACTTGTTTATTTATTTTACCATATACACCCCAACACCAATTTCCTTAATTGCATAAATAATTGTATTTATGAAAAACCCTCTAATCATATGAATTAGTATATAAAACTTAGTAAGATTTAATACATAAGATAGTTCATAAAGAGAAATTATTAAAGGCCATCATATATTAAGGTGACTGTTGTTATCTTGGAGATAGTAATGTCAAAGAATTGGTTTATTTCTCTCTGTGCTGATAGAAATTATTCTCTTTCATTTAATGTTAATATTATAAAGAGTTTCAAAGGTGTCTATTTTATGACACAACTTATCCTTGAAATAAAATATTTTTTTCTCACATTTTTCTACTAACAGCCCTGTCATCACTTGTGGTAGCATCATTTCATGAAGATTCATTTGGAGTTGTTCAGATGTCGTTGAGAGATATTATAACAGTTATTCTTAACTTACAAGAGGTATAGTATCTAAAACAGTTACAGTGTCCACCATTTTACTTTTTTGCCCAGTATAAACAAAATCATAGCAGTTCTTTTCTCGTTTAACAACTACAAATAAATCTTACCATTTGCTATTATTATTAAGTTTCACGTTCAATGACAAGTTTGTTTCTCAAGATATATAAAGATATCATTTTTCTGAAACTAAATGTTTGTGTAAATCTTATATCAGAAATAAGATTAGCTAACCCAATTTTTTAATATATAAAATTAGCTATGCATTAAAATCATTCAAGAAGACGACAGATAGAGTCCAATACATATTTTCAATATTGAGCATATATTTTGAAAAAACATATTTTCCATTAAGTAAAAGTGAGGATTTTAAGAATATATGGTTTTATTAAAAGAAATAGTATGTTTTTTCATGTGTATGATTACTTAATATTACAGAACATTGACAAACATTTCAAGTTAACTGGTGGTGTAAGTAGACGTGTAACAAAAGATGTGAACAATAATGATGTACCATTGAAATATTTACTACAATCCTCACTGAAGAGTTCCATCTATAGCATTATCAACACATTTGGTAAACATCTCCTGTAAGTTATTATAGTTTATACTTTATTATAAGGCTGGGTTTTAATGGGTTTTAAGAATTTTTTATGTGAGGTCTATAAAACCTATTAATATACTTACTATAATTAGTATCAAAATTGGATGTGATAACCAACTGAACACAAATTGGTTAGTCAAATTCTTGTTAAACTCATATACTGCAAAATCATTATTATTCATGTGGAACTAATTTTTGTGGATAGGTCAAACCACAAATTTAAGATCCAACAAAATTTCATTTTGACTGCTGTAAGATTATTTTTCAGTGCTAATTTATTTCTGCGTCAGATTTATATACTTGCAAACATAACTTAAGCTGCTAATATGTATCTCATACCATGATAATTAAAATGTGTTGTTGTTTTTGTTGCAGGGATATTGGCTTACCGATGGAGACAGAAAAAAAACTACATCATTTTCTAGACTATAGAGAGTAAGGCAATCCCTATATTAGGGAAGAGATTATCAGAATATGATAACTGTTTTAAACAGTTATAATAACATATTTAGGTGTTAAAGTGATAGTTTATGGGATGAACTTTGTTATAAAACAAATGGTGCAAGTGAAAATCTTAGAATAAACTTTGTTTATCATTGAAGTTTGTATATGTTAACATCACATGTTGTATGAAATTCTAGTGTATGATTTGTGTTTTGAAATCTTTAAAATTCTTTTATAAGAGAATTCTTTAGTTCCTTGTTATAAGTAGAGGTTGAGGAAGCCTCAAAATCATGTATATATGAAAGTGCTACAGCTTACCTTGCTATATAATTGTTGTATAAAAATGACATTTTTGTGTTCATTATTTCGAAACATTGTCGTAAATGTGATTATACATGTACTATATTTTCTGTATTGCTTTCAGTCATTGATACTCGGCAACAAAAATAAATACTTGTTTCTCAATTTTCATTAGTCAGTTATTATGTTTGCCTAAAGTACTACATCATGGCTTACAGCACATATTTCTTCAATAGTTATTACTTATATCATACAGCAATGTTCAAGAGGCGGCCTGTACGAGTGGTTAACGCATTGGACAAGTAATCCAAGGATTGCTGGCCTTATGGGTTCAAAATCTGGAAACAAAGTGATCCCTCGGAAGCGTTAATAACAACAAAATCACATGAAAATTGCAGACTCTGTTTGACTGAGTCTGTACAACATTGTCGGGGGCAAGCCATTGTTTCCGTGAGCAAGTAACTTTACACTAATTGCTTATTACTGGTTGGTTCCAGGAACGGATTCGGAAGTGTTTCAATAAGCTTACAAATTGATCTCAAAATTGAGCATCAGAAGGAGAAAATGGGTTATTCACAGGGTAAGTTTTCAACTATTTAAACATTTATATAAAATTCAATGCTTTTTTAAAAGAAAAGCGAAATGTTTTTTTAGGTGTTAAAAGAATTTCATTCATAGGAAATCTTTCAATGCAATGTATCGCAAAAAAAAGCGGATTCTAATTATCCCCGCCGATGGAATCGGGAGGGGGATATTGTTTTGGCGTTGTCCGTCCGAATTTCGTTTCCGCACTTGTTCTCTACAACTACTGGCGGGAATTCAACGAAACTTTATGGGAACCTTCAATACCATGAGGAGATGCGCATATTGTTGGCTTGTTCCAGTCAGACCCTTTAACTCAGAGTTATGGCCCTTGATTAGTTATGCATCTATAGAACCTTCAATACCAAGAGGAGATGCGCATATCATCGCCTTGTTCCGGTCTGACACTTTTACTCATAGTTATGGCCCTTGGTTAGTTATGCAGTATGCATATAGAGCAATATTGCTATTTCTTTGCAACTGCTGTATTGATTTCAACAAAACTTTATGGCAACCATGGATACAAAAAGGCAATTTACATCTTATTGGCATGTCCAGATAGTACTATTTAACACAGAGTAGTGGCTCTGTTATTGCCCTGAATATTTATCATGTACAAAGAATATTACTGTTTATGCCATGACAAATATATAAATAAAGCCTTATGTCTTCAATTGTTGTGTTAGTAATAACCAGAACTCGGCGGGGATATAAATTCAACGAATTTGCTTGTCGTTACTTAGTATTATGTCCAAGTAATATCATGGATAAATAAGATATTAAACTCTAGATCACTTAATCAAAAGAAAGAGCGATTGATCACTTGAACTTGTTCCAATTTATTGATATTTTGACAGATCTACTGATTGTTAAAAAAAATCTTTAGTTGTCACGGCAACCGAAAGAAGAATTCTCATTGAAAATAAATTACATTCAAGCACCTACGAAACATTCCAATGAAGTTTTGATGATAATTTACATTGTACCATGAAGCGGGACGGATGATGGTCACAAATATATAATGTCATAACTTATTACGATATTAAAATCAACCTGCATACAGTGATAACCCGTCTATAACGGCCATTTAAGCTAAGTCCTCTTACGGACCACTGTAAGCAGGTTAGACTGTTATACATTAGAATATTCATGTCTGTATGTCAGGATTATTACCCCCATAGCTATTTCTTTAAAGAACAATTATGGATGTTTTTTTTATGTTATTCATTTGCTGGGACTTGTCATTCAAGGTGGACTTGTACTGGAAGCTAATTCTAGCTACTTGTTATTTGCATACACAAGCATTCAGTTCTTTCCACAAGTAAGTATAAAAATGAACAATTAAAACATTAGCGAACAGCCCCTTTATGAACACAAGTATTGTAAAAAATGTTGCTCCTTCAACTCGATAAATAAATATATATATCGTTACGAAATGATACAAACCTTTGGTGTAAGTTTGAGAACCAAATTGTTCTGATACATGTTTGACGAAATATTGCCCTTTTATATCAATCATTTTCATCACTTAAAACTTCTACAAGGTAAAACGAATCTTCCTAGTCTCTACAATACAAAATAATATATTGATATATACTGAATAAGAAGTGTACAAACAATATAGTCCTGAAGCGTTAAGTGTTCAAAAGCACTTTTTCCATAAATAACAATTTATTTTTAGCCACGCACGCAAAAAGACACAGGCACGCACACAAAACACATGCACGCAAAACACATTCGTATTTGATGTGCTTTTGATCTGTATTTTTCTTTATTTTGCTTCAAGGGTTGAACAATAATGAAGGTTTCTTTAGACAAGCTGCTGCTGACATGGATCGACAACAGTTAAATTGTTTTAGGCAGGGAACTAAACGATTAAAAATGTGAAAATAAATTTGGCTGTGTTTGGAACGTCTGACACGGGGAAATCAAGCTTTGGGATTGATGAAGGTTCTGCACAAATTGGTGTCAAAGAAACTCTTGATGATAATTTTTGGTTTGCTCAGGAGTTAAATGCTAAATCTATCTAGATTATTTTATTTTGTTCGCAACAAAGTGGGACAAGATATAAGAAATAATAAACATGACTATCCGAAATTTTTTTTTTAATCACATACGGAATCGAAGGTGTTAAATGACATCAGACAGAACTGCGAATATAACTTAAATAAACTTAATTTGGAAGGAAAAATCGATGTATATCTTATTGATTTACACGAACCAGAAAAATATGACTTCGAGCTCTTAATGGATCAATTGGTAACCGATGCTTCCGGGAAGAAAAAGAGGCACTTACATTATCAATGACTCGTTTAACAAAAGATATGATTCTTTGGAAAAAAAAAGAAATCTTATCCGAGAGGATTCATGCTTCATCGTTGATGTCAGATGTAACCTGTGCCTTTTATGGATAATGCCGTTGATATTGGAATTCTGATTGAAGAAACCACATTCTACAAAACCCAGTTTGGTCTCAGCGAGGAAATGCTAGAAGCATATGCGCAGAGGTCTGAAATGACCGTTGATCAGTTAACGAGTAATTTTAATCTTCAAAGTCGTTTTATAGGTTTATCAGCGAAAGGAATTCTATCTTATTTGTCCAAAAAAGGATTTATAAAGGCAAGCAGGCTAACAACTGAGGAATACATAAAAGTACGTTCTGCCTCTGTTTGGAAATACGTTAAATGGAGCTGCTTCGTATGCGATGACGTCATGGTGTCTTCACGACTTACTGAACTTTATGGTAGAGGATGCATTGAAAATAAATGATCATAAATTGCATTGAATAAAATGTGCCTGCAGCATTGCATCAAACATTAATAATGTAATCACTTGATTCCTTTTTTTAAGTTCGCCTTTTCGGAGAATAGAAAGAGGTACTGTATTGACCCTGTTGTCTGTGTTGGCATCGCCGTCCTCGTCAAACTTTGGTTAATTTTTTGCATTCAAGGTGGTATTTCCAAACTTATAAGGAAAATATAATGCACTATTTGTATTTTTGAAAAAAATATGTATTATCTGACAAAAAATCTGATCACATAGCAAAATTTACGAAAATTCGTCATTACTATCTTTTTTATTTTATTTTTTTAAATATCGTTATTTTGCCAACCGGCGCAACGAAAGATTTTCACGATTTTCAACGGCAAAAATGTTCCTGTTTTCAAAGTACAATCAATAAATACATAGCATGGTTTTGACAAGTGTATTTAATGTAATTGTTGCAAACTTTTGACATCATTCATCAACGTGTTCTTACAGCAGGCTTGATTTACTAAACCAGTTGCAAAAAAAAGTAAGCAAAAATATATTTATATACCATTTGCACATTTCATTGCCGTTATCAAAACTGAAAACTGATATTTACGTTTTGCAGGCGATTTCCTAGCGGGAAAACCAAGTTCAGTTTTTCATTGTTACCCCAGTTAAGTATTCATTAGAAAAAGACCGACGGGCAAAAGTGTGTTAAGTATCTTAAGCCCCAGTCTCATTAGAGCTTACGACCAGTGAAGACCAGTTCACGATCACCAGTGACCTCTGGTCGCGGACAATCTTTAAAACGTCTTACGACGGTCATCGATGATCTTAGACAGTCGCAGATTATCTTATTTAGGTCCCACGACCAATTTCAATCGTAGAGAGGTTTTTGAGCTTGCACAAAAACCTCCTTGCGATCAAACAGGTCGCTAGTGATCTTATAAGGTCTTAAGGCTGTCGCACGATGGTCGTTCGGAAGTGCGACAATCTTCCGACAGTCTTTTCAAATTTCCACTAGTCACTGATAATCTTAAGTAGTCTTTAGTAATCGTGTGATGGTCGTACGACAAGTTGTAGGTGATCGCATGTTATGTCACGGGTAGTCGTAAGTAATCCCAGGCAATCTTGAGACCATCGTACGTTTACTTATGACCTGTCGTGCGATTGTCAATGATGACTTGTCTTTCGATACTCGCAAAAGTAAAATTATCTGTGCAAAAATGGTTTCGGTCGCAGACAATCGCTGATGATCGTCGGTTTTACAAGTCGCCGGTGGTTGCAAATAATCGTAAGCTCTAGTGTGACTGGGGTTTTACATGTTAAGGATTAGTAAAGATCTGAAAATTTATGGTCATAATTTATTTTCATCTTTTATAGTCATCATTTATAGCCATTAGTTGGACTATTGGAAAAAGACAGTGCCCGTGGTGTCTCTTTGACGAATTACGGACAGGGCGGACCGTGAGACAGGGCGGACCGTACCAGGGCGGACCGTGTGTTTGGACGGGGCGGACCGTATTTTGGGACAGGGCAGACCGTGACTCGAGACGAGGCGGACCGCGCTTTAATGAAATAATAATATTAAAATATTGATGTTTCTTTGCTTTTGTGTGTGTAATTATCCGTCGGAATGTATCTGTAACTTTCAATTTATAAAAAGAGTGGGGCAGTCTTTATATATTTAGAATTTAAAGGTGACCACCAAAGGAACATTCCTGTGAAGTTTGGATGAAATTGACTAAGCAGTTTATGAGGAGTTGTCTTTTAAAGATAAAGTTTGGACAAAAAGCGATCACAATAGCTCACCACGTCACTGTGATAGGTGAGCTGAAAAGGTTGTGTCACATCAATGCAATAAGGCTGCCAAGAATAATTTTATAACGCACTTTCAGGTTTTATTTGGCATGCTTATTAAATCTGTCTTTCTTATGAAGTTCAATAAATGGAATGTAATATTATGTCTCTAAATTTTATTAACTGAAATTTTCAGCATGATCGTAGTAGACGCAAATATGAGACCATGAAACCATGAGACGTCCTCTTTGACAAGTCTAATTAGTTGGACTATTGGAAAAAGACAGTGCCCGTCCAAAATTAACTCGATGTCTCTTTGACGAGTCTAATTAGTTGGACTACAGTAGCTACATGTAACATTTTGCTAGTTTAAAGACAAATATAATTTTACATTCAGCGCTAATTTAAATTCTTTATGTAGCACAAGGTTTAGACGTTATAATACTTATGTTTGCCTTTCTAAATATGGAGAGAAACAAAATCATTTCTAAGTCATAATTTGCCTTTTAAGTTTCTCTTTTCGTATTTTACTAGCCTCAAAAACCTACAAGTAACAAGTGTTAGTGATAAACTGGTACAGCAACAATATTTTTGTGTTCGATTCACACAATAACATTATTTAAGTAGTATACTCGGTTCCTATGATATCAAGGGTTCTATATCAATTAAGGTATTTAAATTTTCTGTGACTGCTAGTAAAAGCAACTCACGATGATGCTAATATTTGTAAAACTTGCACACTAGATTCATTTTCATCTGCCAATAAATTTAATTTGGTGAATAATGAATGTATTTGTGGCAAGAAAACTATTTTATAAAACCTTCATATTTGACTACCATTTTCCTTAATGGTTTTTACACAGTCAATTAAAATATGTTATAAACACATATACTGACATATAGTCTGTTCATATAGTTTTAATTTCATAGCAAGTTAACTGTTGGAAGTTTTTCACAACTTAACTTGAAAGTTTTGACCCATCTATCTTTCCATACTTGCTTTTTTTGGGATTACCTTGATACCGTAGTAACCTCCTCTGAAATTACCCAAAATGGCAGACATTGAAAATATTCTAAAAAATGTCATTTTTATTGGTTCTTTTGAAATAATTTTTTGACAAACAGTTCTGGAAAAGGTTCAATCATAAGATGGAATAAAAATCTCATTCATTTATGATATTTATATTTAAATATTTTCTGATAAACGTTAAGTACCATGATATCATAGAACCCCGGGCTATTATCATACTGTTACCTAAACCGCTCTGAATTAAATGAATCAGAATCACATAAACTATTTAATTGAAACAGTTCATGTACATTTGCGCTAATTAAAGACGTTAATCAAGTTACAGTTTAATAAATAGGGCGCAACGAGATAATAAATACCGTACAATTTTCAATACCGGATACTATATTTTATATACGTTACAATGGCGCGCACCTGCCGTTGCTAGGATAATAATGAAATCGTGAGGACGAAAATACAGCAAAAAATAAAAGGAAAATGACGGACATTCTATGTAGATGGCTCAATGATGAGCTGAAAATATCACAAGTAGCAGGTTTGATAAATTGATATGTTATAACATTTTTCTATGGTTTTGTATTTTTGTTACAAGAATGCAAAGTTTGGAACAGCTCTATTAAAGATAGTTCGTCCTCAAATTCATTCGTTATAACAGTTTGTTATAAGGTAAAGCAAACGATAATTGTTGTTTAAAAAATTAGTTGTTGAACTTAGCATATGTCTATTTGTATTATAGATATATTAAAATAAGAATAATTTTATTTCTGAAATAAAAACCATTGTTTTTCAAAGTCAAATCATGTTATCGATGATTGATATTTTTTCATGACCATGCAGATCTATATTTGATATTTAATCAAATAGAAATGAATGAATTATAAATGTTTTCATTATTAAAGCCATCAGTATAATTGATTGTTTTAAATATTTAAAATGTGTCATATTCTGTTACAACATTACTGCAGCCAGAATTTACATTTGTAACTTTTAATGTCTTTTTGTTTTAGAATCAACTTCATTTGAGAGAGATTTTGCCTCAGGGTATCTAATTGGAGAAGTACTTCATAAGTATCAGCTCCAAGATGACTTCGATAAATTTTCACAGAGCAAGTAAGAATCTACATTCCCTTGATTATGGAAACATGTCACATGTATGCTGATGTAAAGGTCTCTCAACAAAACACTTTTCTTTTCCAAAAAAAAAAAAAAAAAAAAAAAAATGACAGGTGCTGATGTCATTCATACCTGCATTATATGTCACTTGACCTTTTGACATCATTTGGGGGGGGGGGGGAGTTATCTATGGAAAGCCATTAGTGCATATAAAATAGTTTAAGAAAATTGAAAAGTCAGTTTCATTCACTCTTTTAAGGGAGTCTGTGCAATTTAGTGCCATATTGATATTTAATCTTCATCATATAGAAATAAAATAGATTCAAAGATATAAAAGAACCAGAAAATCACAACAACACTTATATAAGTGAAGGAAATTTTTGAATTCGGCCACATGGTATAATATACACCTGTAATTGGGAGTAAAAGATTCTAAAACAGAGATCCCTTGGAAGTAATAAAAGATGAACAGTAAATTATTGAAACACATGTTTTTATATTGTTTTAAAGTTTTGTTTTTTTTCAGATATGAATACAAGAATGCTAAAATGATATTTTTGCAATTAAAACTGAAATGGCCTTCCATATAAATAACATTTTACCATTGCACCGGTAGCATGAAGTCTGTTTAACTACGTCATACAAAATGGTTGACCATTGTTTACATTCTACAGCCATTCTCCCATAATTGAAGCACTTTTGGTTCACAAAAAATGAAAAATCTGACTTTCATAAACAACGTTTTCTATGATTTGCTTTTATTGTTCAATACCTTGGACAGATTGTGTGGAAGTTTAACACACACCATTCGCTCCGTTTGTATACTGAAAGCTTTTGAAGTTAGTTACTGAATTACACTGTTACGGAACATATATATACCATAGGAATGACTTTGGAGGTATTGTTTTACTAACATTTTAAATTAAACAATCCAAAAGAATATGCATTGTAAAGTTGAAGACCAATGGTTACCTTTAGCAAAAATATGTTATGCCATATCTTATTTTGAAACTTGTATACTTCGTATTTGAAAAGCTTATATAAGCCAATATTTTCGTAACGTAAGATTGACATTGTTTCGATACAATGCACAAACAAATACTGTCATAAAAGTTATCGAATTATATCTAAAATAGATGCAGAAAACAAATCAAGCATAACTTTTAATCGGTGTAACGTTACCAAAAAAACTTCGCCTCACAAATGATCATCAAACAGACCTTATGATCTGTTACGGAACATAGGTGAAAATTATAAAACATAGGATTTATAACTCAATATTTTCACTCTTTGAAATTACTTAAACAATTTAAATGTGGTATCTTCACAAACAACATCAATCATAAAACACTGTATCAATTAAAAATAACATCAACAGTTTAATTTAGTGAGTAGTGCAGGAAAAGATATATGTTACGGAACATATGTTATGGAAAATAAAATATTATGTTTTTCACTGAAAATGAACAAGAATTCTTTTTTTTTACTTTTATTTGCTTTATTTCTGCCTAATTTACACAAATTTGTTGTAATGTTATAACGTTTCATGTAGTTTCCTCAACATTTTCTTCACCAGTGATTTTTCTTTTTTGAATGGGAACATACTTTTTTCTGCTTTCTTTCTCTTTTAAATGATTTGTTGTTTTCTCCTCTCTGCTTTGTCTCCTGTATTTCTGTTTTTTAAAGCACCATTCTAAAATAGAAAATCGTTGCATATTATAAATTTATCAACCTTGATTTAACATATTAATATCATTAAAATAATTATTTTTATCATGATTATTATTAATATAACAATTACATAATAATCATCAATTTTATCATTATTACATTAATATCATTATTAATATTACTTTTTTCATGATAATTGTAATTCTAAAACTTTTAGATAATGTAAGTGACATAATGATACAATTTTGGTATTTTATAAATAGTAAAAAAACATAAAAAATCATATTCAAACATAGCATTTATGAATTCTATGTTCCGTAACAAATTTGATATGTTCCGTAACGGAAAACTGCAACCTTACAACACAATACAAATCATGTTAGACTTCCAGTTAATATTGGACACCATTTTCATATATCTTTATAATGAAAAAACACACTGGAACAGTTTTTATAAACAAACTGAATATATGTATTATGGTGCTGAAAAAAGATGATAGAAGACTATGCTTCCGTAACAAATTGCCTTTGACTATTTGATAATCTGTGCACTTCTTTTTCATCGAAATATGTGTTCCATGTTTGAAACCAATCGTTCATTTCAAATTGTTAAATAACTATGGATAAAGTACATATATGACATCAGATTATGATCTCAAAATAATTAACTATGTTCCGTAACAAATGTTTCAAACAGGTAAAAAAAAATATAAACAGCATCAACTTGCTACTTTTGACTCTGTGGTTTGCTGAAAATAAAGCTTGCAATCGATTTTTATCAGTAAAATTTCTCGTGTAAGTAACATAATTGTGAAAACATCGTTATCAAATCAAAAACAGTGGTTGTCAAAATAAAGTACAGTAATTGCCAATTACCTCCAGTTGCCTAATTGTATCATAAAAGTCAATTAAGATGTTGCATGCATACCTCTTAGTGACGTATCATTGGGAGCGGTGATAGGCAAAAAAGTCACACCGTCAATTGAACCGTATACTGTACCGAAATTCGGATGATCGTTTTGTTACGGAAAATAGTCGTTATGGAAACATAGTGAAATTCGACTTCTACGGGTCAGAATTATCACATTTTTGTGCAAACGACATCTCATTTTGGTTTTTTTCATTTAAAGAAATACAAAACAATATTTTAAAATTTTTATTTGATTGGTATAATGTATATTTAAAAGTATACGCCCGTTACGGAGGCATAGCATTTTAAACGCGACATTTGAATTATTTACAATAAAACGGTTTGTGTTAAAATGTATCATCGCAGGAGTCTAATTTATCAATTTTATCCCAAATATAGTCTTTTGATATTGTTTTGAGTACAAATTTTAAAGAATATAACGCATCTCAAGATCGTAACATTCCAGTTTAAAATCGTTACGGTACCATAGTTGCATTTCGGCGACGGCAGCATTTAAAGAAAATTATGGAAAATAAGGGTCTCTGTGTAATTCTTAATCTATTATCAATACTGTATTGATTTTAGGCAAAAACTTGTTGGAAAACATAGAAATGGATTGTTTTTTTCACCAATCTTAAACTTTAATTGGTCAAGCGACAGCGCTTTTTTGCAGTTACTATAGCTTTTCAGTTTAACACAAATGAAAAACGAGGAGCATCCACGCTACAAAATTTAAGTTAAGCTGCTGAGAACATCCCAGTGTACTTATTAAAATGTTTGTCACAAAGGATTAAGCTCGTCTGTATATTTTACTACGATTTTAAAAGTGGAGACAGGAATTATTAAAAAGTGCTTCAATTATAGGAGAATGGCTGTCTAGTGAGCGAGAATTTCAGAGTGACAGAACTCTGTAATGTATTTTTAACAGGATTAAATGTTAATGAAATTGTTTATTCCTTCTATTTTATAAGACAATAAAATTTAATCTGAAAAACACCTTGTATAAAATATGTACACAGGTATCGTGGAGACCCTGGCATTGTTTTTTTTATGCCCCCATCTGTCATTCCGTCATCATCAGTTTCCGTTCATTATCTTAGTAACGGTTGCACACATTCAACTCAAATTTGACATATGGATATGTCATGACAAAATACAGGTCAAGTTGGAATTTGGTCATGGTTCAATGATTTTTGGCAGAGTTATGCCCCTTTTACTTTGAAAATAATATGAAATTTTCAGTTTCCGTTCATTATCTCCCTAACGGTACAACACATTCAACTCAAATTTGACATATGGATATGTCGTGAGAAAATACAGGTCAAGTTCGAATTTGGTCATGGTTCAATTATTTTTGGCAGAGTTATGCCCCTTTCACTTTGAAAATAATATGAAATTTTCAGTTTCCGATCATTATCTCCCCAATGGTACAACACATTCAACTCAAACTTCACATATGGATACGTCACAGGAATTCGCAGGTCAAGTTCAAAGTTGGTCATGGTTCATGGTTCAATGATTTTTGGCAGAGTTATGCCCCTTTCACTTTGAAAATAATATGAAATTTTCAGTTTCTGTTTATTATCTCCCCAACGGTACAACACATTCAACTCAAATTTGACATATGGATATGTTTTTGGAATGCCCAGGCCAAGTTGGAATTTGGTCATGGTTCAATGATTTTTGGCAGAGTAATGCCCCTTTCACTTTGAAAATAATATGAAATTTACAGTTTCTGTTCATTATCTACCCAACAACTCAAATTTGACATATGGATATGTCAAAGGAATGGGCAGGTCAAGTTTGAATTTGGTCATGGTTCGATGATTTTTTGGCAGAGTTATGTCCCTTTCACTTTGAAAATAATATAGATACATCTTAGGAATAAGCAGTTTAAGTTTGAATTTGGTCGTGGTTCAATGATTTTGGACAAACTTATCTTTCTTGAATGTTGGAAAAATTTTGAACTTTCAGTTTCAGCACTGAAATGTATGTAGCCATTATTTTGGCTACAAATATGAAATATGCTATTTTCAAAAGGTTTAGACTGAATAATTTCAGTGCCTTGAACATTGTATGAAAATGGTTTGTGTTAACATTGAAAAGTTTTAAGGGCTTTGAACTTAAAATGAAAAAAATAATTTGTGCAAACAAATTTGGAACTAAATATTATAACATCTGAAATTTTGGCTGCATGCGGGGGCATCCGTGGCATGATGACACATTTCTAGTTTAATATACATGTATAATTCCATTCAATGACAATGCAAGTAAATAATAATAGTCCATGTTTATGAAACTATTTCAGACAAAGTTCATTGATATCTATTTAATATTCATATTTGGTATCTTCGTTCTTATTCACGAATATGAAATAAATGTTTACAGGATAGCAAGTCACTCAATTACTTAGCAAATTTAATCTGTCATCTATGTTAAACAAGGTTTCTTTTCAGGCTTTTAATAGTGACCAAAATATTAACAATACACAATAGAGCTATTTTTTTATATATACATGTATAAAAGGTTACAAATAAAGAAAAAAACTTTTGTATTCATACGGTATTTTGGCCATGGTGGCTAAATTATATAAAACAAATCTTATGTTGAATTTTACCCAGCAAATATTAACCATCATTAATGCAAGTTATATTTTGAAATATCTATTTCTATACTTTTGTGAGCTACAACATGTATTTTGCCATTCTCATTCATATTCGGGTACTTTTCTGGTCACAGTAATTAATTTACAACCAAAATGTCAGAAATTTATTTTCTTTCATTAGATTACATATTATACAAGTAAATAATAGACCTCTGTTGACGAAATAAATCCCATTAGAGCTGATTCTATGAAAATAATATTCATATTCAAAATAATATTCACATTTGGTACTCCTGTTTATATTCGCGAATATGAATTCATATTCCGTATTTAGACATACCAGTAATTAAAGCATTGTTTATTTTCTCATGCATAAAGATACAGATTATTAAGAATCTAGTTATTTTGCAAGCCTCAGTGACTATAAATTGATCCTTGATTGTCTGGTCTGTTTATCAATATTACTAAGACATAAGGAAGTACATGTATGTTACAAGTACTTAGTAGTAGGTTAGAAGTAGGTTAATAACAAACTGCAACAACATACCAATTGTTAAGTAATAATTGTTTTTTGGGGGGTAATGAATAATGGGCTTATAATATATTATTTTGTTTTACAGAACTGCAGATTCAAAGCTCAACAACTTTACAAGGATTGAGCCCACTCTGCATTTGCTCAGCATCCCATTTGATACAAATCTTGCAAGATCCATCATGACAGAAACACATGGTGTGGCCACACGACTTATGTATCAACTCTATATTGCCCTCAATAATAAGAAGAAGTCAAACCTCACTGGTGTTGCTATAGAAACAATGAGGCCTGCTGCTCCTGCTAAATTAGGGGTTGTTGAATCTGGAATTTACAAAGATGTAAGAAATTATTGTAAGATATATGAGCCGCGTCACGATAAAACCAACATAATGCGTTTGCGACCAGCATAGATCCAGACCAGCCTGCGCCTTCGCACAGTCTGATCAGGATTCATGCTGTTCGCTATCAGTTTCTCTACTTGTAATAGGGTTTGTAAGCGAACGCATTATGCAAAAATATGGCAAAGATATTAAACTTACATTTTTAATTAAGTTGTATTTTATTAACACAGAAATACATATTTATCCCATTAAGATTTTTTTGATGATATTTTCATCCTAAAAAGGTTTAGTGTAGAAATGGGACAGGTTGTAAATAATTTCCACAAATAAGCAGAGATGACATGTTTTGTATTCTTTGATTACTTTAAATCAAATTTAAAATCATGCATCACTTCTTATATCATCATTAACAATATTCTAAATTTGTACAGACATGTTAGTATCAGAATGGATGGATAACATTTACTTTAAACTGCTTTTAATTAAGTCTAGAATACATAATCTATGATATGTAAAGAATTTTACATAGATAAATGCTAACAAAATACTGTTATAAATGATATACAGGTATTATTGATAATTGTTTTAACTAATTTTACATCAATTTACAGCGATTGAAACATGTCACACCACGTCAAAGTGACCTTGAACTACAAGATGTTTTTACAAGATTTCATGAGAAACAGATTGAGATGGAAAAAGTGGCATTTAAAGAGAGATTTCTCGAACAGGAGAGAATAAGAGAACAACAACAGAAAGAGAGGAAACTCTTACTGGAACGATCTAGAGCTATGAAATTAAAGCAAAGTGAAATGGTGGCTAGAATACAGTAAGTTTATTATATCACTGTATACAGTAAAGCCTTATTTTGAAAACTGCCTTTGAATAAGATCAATTTTAGAAACTGTATCGTCAACTAAATCCTGTACATTATTTGACTATAAAATTTAAGAATATTAGTTTTGTTATATTTAGCCTTCACATATCAGAAGCCTGTTTCCTTGCTTGGTATAATCTCAAATAGAGGATTGGTACATATGCTCAATCTCCTTACAGTCTGTGCGAAAGTCCGTCGGTCCTCGGTCCTGGCTGAATTAAAATCATGCGGTCCGAGATAAATTTCCTTTCCGTCAGTCCTCATGTCCGAATAAAATTTCAAAAAGTTAAAAATATTGATAACAAGTTCCCCGTGATGCAAAGAATTTATTAAAGAAGATATTGACCAACCTTAACTTTATTTTGTACATGTTAAATAAATACCAGTCAACTCTCTCTTCAAAAAGTTTCATCAACAACGGTAAATTTTGCCGTAAATTACAAATTTGAAAATTTTGTTTTACGATGCCTGTTGAAATAGCCAATGAGCAACAATTTTAAAATAATCAAAAAATATTTAATTTAATATAATCAAAATCAACAACAAGTAGATTTGTGAATGTTTCTGTAGGAAAAATTTTCAATTGTCACATATGTTCGCGATGCCGCTTTTTATAATTAAAAAAATCGTAACCAAAAGAAGATATGTTTTGTTAAAATGTGTGTCATAACACTTCAAATGTAGTTTAGGAATTAAAATTACTAAAGATATTGTTTACTTTACTTGAGATGGAGGTATTTACCTGTATGTGTTTGTCACATACAATGAATATTTTCTTATGGGAGGGGGGGGGGGGGTGTGTGGAGTGAATCTGGAAGAAAAGAGCATAATGGTCTGATGATGTAGGGTTTTTGAAATTATATTTCAAATCTTTTCAATTACTTTTATGGTACAGTGTTGGAACATATTACCATTTTCCTGAATAAGCTTTTTCTCTGTTCAAACTCCAACTCCCCAACCCCTTACTCTGCTCATATACATCATAATCGTCAACTGCATAAGTGCAGCAAAGATGGTTTTAACATATTCAAAGTGATCTGGAACTCCTACATTTTTGTGCTTGGGAGTCCCAGGACTACTTCTTTGAAAATTCTAGTGAGAACCTTGCTTAAGTTATTTCAATTGGTCAGCATCTTCTTGTGTTTCTATATGATGGTCACACTAATGATAGTCACACTTATTTAAAGACGATCATTTTTACATTGAACTAAGTTATTATATAAATAATGCTTGAAATGTCTGGGCCGGAACAATATCATCCGGGCCGGAAATAAACATAAGGGTCTCGGTCCTTGTGGCCTGAAAAAAAAATTGACTTTTGCATATACTGCCTTATGAAATTTAGTTTAACAATTTTATATTAAAGACGATATCAAAAACTAGAGCGGTGACCACAATTTATTTTTTGCTTATAATGTTTCTGTTATCATATTCTATCAACATGCCAAGTTTAGAGAAATTCTATAGAACAGTTTTAATTTTGCCTATAATTATGTCTATATAAAAACTCCCAAAAACGTCCTTAACATCCTATAGAAGTCCATATAAAAAAGTAACTTTATACAGAGTATAGGTTGATTTGTTGTTCACAGGGCAGCAACAGTTCAAATTCCCAAACCTCCTCCCCAGAAGACATTGAGAGCAATGGAAGCTAGAGCTACAGGAAGGAGAAGGAAAGTTGCTGAGGTAAGTTCATCATATTTTTATTAAGTCTATAAAAGCTTCACCAAACAGCAGGTAAATGGTTTTGTTTTGAAATACTTTCTTCAAATACATTTTCATTTGTTAATGATAAAACAATATATTAAAAATAAACAGTATTAATTATTAGTGAATTGTCACAAGTGAAACTACTTATTTCTTTCAAATTTATTGTTTATATCAGAAAATCTTATTTAAATATAGAATATTTCATGTGTACTTTGTGTACTTGTATTTTAATCAAGTGGTCTATAAATACATTTTCTAAATGATTTTGGAATTGGCATGTTAAGTGTGTGAAAGTTTTTCTGACATTTAACACTATGTTTTCAATACTTGTATGGTTGTTTTTTTTCTAGGACACTATTAGAGAGATTGGTGACTTTGAAGAGAAGATGAAAATGGTTCTACCACCAACAAAGGATGAAGATGAGTGAGTATCAAATATTAGTTGTAGCTAGATAATATATATGATACATATGTCCAAGTTTGTTGTAATTGTATCAGAATTTTGTTACTTTCTCTATATGACATATTATTGTATATTTACAGTGAAGGTATTGGTATGGAGTATATAATGGGTAGAGGTGATGATATATTATTGTATATTTACAGTGAAGGTATTGGTATGGAGTATATAATGGGTAGAGATGATGATATATTATTGTATGTTTACAGTGAAGGTATTGGTATGGAGAATATAATGGGTAGAGATGATGATATATTATTGTATATTTACAGTGAAGGTATTGGTATGGAGAATATAATGGGTAGAGATGATGATATATTATTGTATGTTTACAGTGAAGGTATTGGTATGGAGAATATAATGGGTAGAGATGATGACATATTATTGTATATTTACAGTGAAGGTATTGGTATGGAGTATATAATGGGTAGAGATGATGATATATTATTGTATATTTGCAGTGAAGGTATTGGTATAGAGAATATAATGGGTAGAGATGATGATATATTATTGTATATTTACAGTGAAGGTATTGGTATGGAGTATATAATGGGTAGAGATGATGATATATTATTGTATATTTACAGTGAAGGTATTGGTATGGAGTATATAATGGGTAGAGATGATGATATATTATTGTATATTTACAGTGAAGGTATTGGTATGGAGTATATAATGGGTAGAGATGATGATATATTATTGTATATTTATAGTGAAGGTATTGGTATGGAGAATATAATGGGTAGAGATGATGATATATTATTGTATATTTACAGTGAAGGTATTGGTATGGAGTATAAAATGGGTAGAGATGATGATATATTTATTGTATATTTACAGTGAAGGTATTGGTATGGAGAATATAATGGGTAGAGATGATGATATATTATTGTATATTAACAGTGAAGGTATTGGTATGGAGAATATAATGGGTAGAGATGATGATATATTATTGTATATTAACAGTGAAGGTATTGGTATGGAGAATATAATGGTTAGAGATGATGATATATTATTGTATATTTACAGTGAAGGTATTGGTATGGAGAATATAATGGGTAGAGATGATGATATATTATTGTATATTTACAGTGAAGGTATTGGTATTGTGTATATAATGGGTAGAGATGATGATATATTATTGTATGTTTACAGTGAAGGTATTGGTATGGAGTATATCATGGGTAGAGATGATGATATATTATTGTATATTTACAGTGAAGGTATTGGTATGGAGTATATAATGGGTAGAGATGATGAGAAAAGTCAACTAGAGTCTATAGATTTAATAAAGCCAGCCTCTAATGATGAGTACATTGGTAAGATCAGGAAACGATTACAGGAAGATTCCTCCGCTAGAGCTGAGAGAGAAAAAAGACGAAGAAAAGTTCTTGTTGACCAGATTAAAGCTCATGAAAGCCAAGAGGTAAGATCTGTTACTTTAAGTGAAAAGTATTTTGTATTCATGAAAAAAATATTACATGTTATATTCATTGCAAGCATAGAGGGAGACTTTCCATAACCCTGTTGGTGACCAATGATAGTTGTGTCATAAAGCCATATTTCAAAAAATGAAACCAAAAGAAAAAAATATTTTATTATGGACAGTTCTGTAAAATATGATAAATGCATTACTTATGGTGAATTTAAAAAAAGAAAAATAAGAAAAGCAAATTTGCATCTTTAAAACACATTTGATAGCCTCAAATTCACAAATTGGCATATGTGACTTTAATGATTCAGAATTACGGTAACTGATACTGATAATAAAAAAATGTTAATATTTATGTAGTTCTGTTCTGTAAAATGAATACTTAAAATTTTAATTCTATATTCTTATATTATTAATTAGGAAGCTCATAGAGAAGAGATGTTAGTGAACCGGTTGATGAGACAGTCACAGCAGGAACGTAGAATTGCTGTACAACTACTACAGACAAGGCATGAGAAGGAGGTTATACGTAAAAACCGAATCATGCGAGAACAGATGTATGAGGAGAGAAGATTGAAAGACTTTGAAGAGGCTCTTAACAGGGAACAGGTTAGTCTAATATAGTCATATTACAGTAGCAGATATTGTACTAGTACATGTATTTAAGTATATAGAACTTCTGACTGTATGGTTTTAGAATTGAACAACTACAGTTGTAACTTTCCTTTTTTCTTTTTTTTTAGCATATATTAGATAAAGGTAATTATGTGATTAAAAGAACTCTCTTTGAATTGAATTACAAAGCTAAAAGATATGTTTTATAACCAAATGAATTTGCTTTCAGAGATTTTCCTGTTATTGCATTCTATTTGGATGAAGTTCTCAAACTTTGTTTTGCTGTATTTTAAGATGGCAATATTTTACAATACCATTTCATTGCCTTGTATACATATAGGAAATGGCAAGGTTGTCGAAACAAGAGTATGAGGAACAGACAAGAAAAGATAAAGAGCTTCATGATAAGATTGCTGCTGAACGTGCTGAAGCCAAGTATCGTAAACATTATGAGATGTGCCAGGGAGTCGTTGACCAGATTGTTGACTTTACTTGTAAAGTAACAGAATATAGGGAGCTTACAAACAAGTATGTACTTATACTGTAAATAATGCTGGACTTGTTGTTTTAAACTTAAAGCATATACACATAAACAAAAAATATCAAAACATTGTTTGAACAAGTGACCCGCTTAAGTTGAAAATTATAATCATTTTAATCATACTGTAATAACATTCTAGAAATGCAGATGTATGATCCATGTTCTAAACTGACAATGTTTCTTGTTTAAAGTATTACTTGATAATTATTTACTAGATTATACATGCATTTTGACAAACCTTTTTGTAAATATACTCCAATAATCATGTTGTTCATTACAGATTAGTACCTGCCAAACTGATGAGAGAATGGCGTGCCCAGTTTGAGGCTGGTATCCCACTGTATGAGAAGGTGGAAGTAGAGGAACCAGTGGAACCAACTGCCTCACAAGTTCTAGAGGAGGAGAGACAGAACCTGCTAGATGAGGGAGATTTCATAGAGTATAAGGTATGTTTATGTTGTGAACTTCACAGTGAAATAATGCACAACAGTCAACATCTTTCAAACCTACTACATGTATTATTCTGGAGGGTGTTTTCAAACAGCCTGGTTTGATACTAAAATAAATCCAAATAAAATCCCATACACTAAGTCATTGTAGATGAAACATTCTGAGAGTTCTATTACAGTGTAGGCAGAAGTACTCAAGCCAGCTTTTGTTGTTTTTCTGTATTAAATAGCCAACTTTACTATGGTGTTCATTGCACAGTTTTAGAAATTGTTTCATAATTAAAACTTATTTTAAAGATACATGAAAAATGATTAAAAATGCATTAACGGATGTTATATGTATTTTAGAACATGGTAGGAGAATGGCAGCCACCGGAAGGTTGTGAGATATCCGGTCCACCAAGAGACAATCCAGTTGTAGGTCATGTGGTACAGAGGTTACTCAACATGGTCTATCCTCCTTCAGTAAGTCAATAATTTCTCTAATCTTGACTTATCTTTATTGTACGCAGCTATACAGAGACCGTTTTCATTTGTTTTTCAGTTGAGTGAATTAATTGACCACCTCCTTATTTTACAAATTATAGATATTGAAAATGCATGTAATAGAGGAAATTTCTTTAAGAAATTACATTGAGTAAAGGAAACAAAATATTATATTTTCATATCTGTAATCTTTGTTAATTACTATTTAAATTTTCTTTGACAACAGAAATATCCTATGTTTTAGAGAGTGTTCAATATGATTAATTTAACTTTGTTAGAGATTATGAAATTTGAAAATATATTTTCAGACACCTCCACCTCCTCCAGAGTTCCCTCCCTTCCCTATACGAGCCTGTGTACTTGGTAAAGCATTTGCTGGAAAATCATCTTGTATTAGAAGTATAGCTGCTGGTAAGTTTGTTGTGGAATTTTTAGCTTTTATTGATCAGTTTAAACAAAGGACAGGATATTTAAGATGATAGAAATAGTTCAATTACTTATTCATTATCATCAAGTGAATATTTATGGAGTTAAATAAGGAATATTTTTCCAAAGAAAATTGTGTTGGTCAGTTTTTAAGAAATATTGCACAGAAAACAAATGTTTCGGCCAAGTTTGTAACAAAACCTTTTTATTAGCAGTATTTTAGGCCCATATAATTGTTGTTATTATAAATTAAACATTGATGTTACAGAACATCGACTACAGTTGCTCAATGTAGATGAACTTGTTAATGAGGCTATTGAAGCTCACAAAGCTGGAGAAATTATGGAAGTTGTTGAGGTAAAATATTCATACATTTCTTACACTATTGCTGACTAACAGATCATTTTCATGTCTAACTCAATGACAAGTTTAAAAATTGTAAGAATGTAACTACATTATTTGCAGTAATATTTGAGCCGCGTCACGACAAAACCAACATAGTGCGTTTGCGACCAGCATGGATCCAGACCAGCCTGCGCATCCACGCAGTCTGATCAAGATTCATGCTGTCCGCTTACCAACCTTATAACAAGAAAAGAAACTGATAGCGAACAGCATGGATCCTGATCAGGCTGCGCGGATGCGCAGGCTGGTCTGGATCCATGCTGGTCGCAAACACATTATGTTGGTTTTGTCATGACGCGGCTCATTTGTGTAGCATATTTCATTAAAAAATTGCTAAGCATATCATCATAGATTTTATAATTGTAGATTGTGATTGGTTATCTGAACCTTTTCAATGTTGTTGTTCACTGGTAGGGAAATCCCATTTTCATGCCTAAACTTTTTAGTGGGGATAAGTTAAAGAAGAAATAAGAAGAGCAAATGCAAGTAATCAGGTTTAGCATTGAATCATTTATTTATTTTTCAGGAAGAAGAGGAAAAACCAGTAGAGAAGCCACCCTCAGGTAATTTTATATGTCTACCTTTTTTTTTACAATTGACTCACTAATTTCAATGACTGTTTGTCTCAAAAGATATTTATGATTTTGAAAAATAGATCTGATTTTTTTTTTGCAGTTGTGCACATATGTGTATTTAAGTTGATTTAGTTTAGTTGTTATTTGAATAGTTTCTTTGAAAAAGTTGCAAATATTTTTTGGAAAGGGACATTTTCCATTTGAGTTTGTTATTGCTTTAGAAAAAGAGTACACTGTTTTTAAGTTAAAAATGCCTATATACATGTGAGTTTGATTTTGGATAGTTACATAAGCAACAAATGTTAACTTTTACAAACAGGTTTTAAAAATATACAAATAAAAGTACGAGCCCCGACAGGAGAAGGGTTAGATACCCCTATTTCAATTCAACAATTTGAAGGTACAATGGATTAGACTGCACATCTCTGAAATTTCTTGCATGGTTCTCCTGTTTATTTGTCTAGTATTTGAATATCATATCATAGTTAAAACTTATTCTGTTTTTGGTTGAGATACAGTTAGACTAGTAGGTTGTTAAATTTGCTTTACAAATATAGAAATATTGGATAGATTTGAACATCAGAAATAAATATGAAGATAAAATAGTGAACTTGATTTGCCAGCAGACTTTATATTTATGTTTGTATTTGAATATATAATTCCTACTTTATATAAAAAAGTTCATAGCCTGAGCATCAAAGTAGATGAAATTTACAATGAAGGGTTTTAAAAAAATGAAAGTACATGTATGACTGGAAATAATCGTAAATATTGTGCATAGTAAACACTTATGTTCATCTTTTTGGTTTTGACTGTATTTAATAGTGTTGTGCTCTGTCTGTTTATTTCACAAGTTGTATTTATTCTGTCTAACAGCCTCTGTTGTAAATTTTGGTAAGGTACTTTGTGAATACACTATTTTTCTATGTTGACAAAAGAAATATCACTGTTTGACAGTTAAAGCATGCCTCACTACACAATATCACATCAGTTTTAATGTTGTTCTATCATGTCTGTAATTGCCATGGAAACAATGTGTGAGAAAAAAGAAACACACATACACTCAAATAGTTGTATAACATTTGATTGATGTATATAAATTTTAACAAATATTTCAGATTTTTCTAAATGGATTAATTTACACTTACAAAATATTGATTAATTCACACATACAAAATTATTCGTCTAGATTTCTTGAAAATGATTGATATACAAAGTAGCTAATTTAGTAGCTAATTTAGGATTAGTAGTAAATCATGTATTTTTTACATCCAGCCTTTATGAACAAAGGCTACATAAACCTATTTTTATCATATAATATACATGTTTAAATATGACAGATTTAATGGAATATTATTTATGAAACCAGTAACAAAATATTCTGAACAATATCAAAGCATTTCATCCTAGAACTTAGGCAACTTATGATAAATATTTTAATTCTTTACAATAGGCACTTTTTGTGTTGTTTTTCTGTTTACACTCTTTTTCTTAAAAAAAAATCTGTGAAATGTTCATTTGTTATGCTCATTATAATTTCTTTAGATAACTTTATCCTTACCTATTCTTCAAATGAATACAGTAAATACTACCTGTGAATTTGTATTACATGTAATGGAACGCCACTGATGTTTTTTGACATTATTGGACTGGTATAGTTTTTTTCAGATTAATGTACCATTTGATGTAGGTCTAGACTAATAACTTGTGTGCAAAATTTCAGATAATACACTTGCCCCTTTTTTCCAGAATGGTTATTCCAATAGTGAAAAATTATCAAAAAATTAAAATTGTTGCAACACTTTTCTCCCATATTGGGCTAAAATAGCACAAAAAAAACAAAACAAAAAAACAATTTTCAATTCATTATGAGCATATTTCTTAAATATCTTCTTGTTTAAATGGCCCAAGTTGATCTATGTAAGAAATTCAAATTTTATGTTTTTAGGCTTTTGGACCTCAGTGGAATTCCTTAAATAAATATCTTTAATATATTATATTAGAAAAAAAAGATTAAATAATTGTTATTTTATTTAAAAGCACTACAAAAGGAAGGGGTACCAGGAGAGGAGACCCCTGCAGATAACCAGCCAAGTGTGACAGAAGGCCAGGAACCAAAATCAGATGAGAACCAGCCAGCTGAAAGTCAGTCAGCAGAGAACAAGACTGGTGATGTACAGCAAGAAGCATCAAAAGAGGAGCAGTCTGCTGCCAGGAAAACACCTAGTAAACCAAGACTACCTAAACAACAGGTACATGTCTATATATACTGCAAATTAAGTTCAGTGATATTTGCTTTAAGAAAATAGTGGAGGAAAACAATAGAATAACATTATTATGTATTTGACAACAGTATGCAAAATTTATTTTAGCATTTATTGAAAATGAAATTAACATAATCCATCAGATGATGCCTTTAACACGTGACCATTGATTAGAGCAATGTATACTGTATTCCTTTATAAAGATACAAACTTGATATTGCACTTCTTTATTAGATATATAAAGGGAAAATTACGAAATATTTTAAACTTCAGTTCTGGTATTGCACTGCTAGATCAAATATTGAACTAAATTTAAGCTTTATTTTCCAGCCAACACCAAGAGCTAAACTAGGATCAAAGGCATTTAAGTCTCTAAAGAAAGGTCAACCAGTAGATGACCAAGTTCAAGCTGATATTCTGGTAGAGGCAATCAGGTATAGATATCTTTTAATTGTTTTATACTAAAAAAAAATATCAATGCGCATTTAATATCTAATGATATTTTTGCTACAAAATATAAATTCTTTACAATATTTAGTCATGTCAGTAGAAGAAAACTCTAGTTAAAGTCTGTTGAACAATTCCTACTCATTAAGTTAAATAATGAGACTTGCCCAGAGAGCAACTTGCCTAAGTAGTTAGTTGTACAGATCTATATAAGGAAATATGATAAAAATGTACAAGGACATTAGAATTATAGAATAATTACAATAATGGTATGTTTTGGTTACAGACGCGTACCTGAAGGGACAGGTTGGGTGATTGATGGATTCCCACTGAACTATAATCAAGCTAAGATGTTAGAGAAGGCACTCAGTGGTTTTGATGCTGCTGCTAAAGAGGGCAAAGGCAAAGCACCCAAGTCCAAGAAATCTGTATTGGCCCCTGATCCGAGACCATCCCCAGTACCAGCTGACCCTGCCAGTGGTTTAGATGTTGTCATTTTGTTTGACATAGCTGATGATCTGTGTCTGAAGAGAGCTGCTGGAAGAACAAGTAAGATATTTGTTTTATATTTATTTTTTCTTGATTACACCTGGTGTATAAACTATAGTTATAATTGCAATATGTTAATGTTTTTCATTAAATGTAAATATGTTCTAATTCCAATATATATGATATTTCACTTTTACTTTAAATTGACTTCAAAGTTTGTAAATCGATTCTTACTTTGAGAGCTTTTATGCCTCCACATAGGGTAGGAGGGTCCTAGATTTGCCTGTCTGTCACACTGTTGGTAGACTGACAAAACAGTGGAATGTGGGGGCATCCTTGTTTTTTCTATAAGATACCTCATAGCTTTAAACCTTGTATAAGTGTTTCATGCTAAATAAATTGATGTTATGTTATAGAATATTGATTTATTATTTACACCAGAGGCTTTACTAGCCGACAAGGACTACCAGCAGGAGTTCAATCCACCACCAGAGGGCAGTGCTACAGGAGTTGGTAAGCAAGAGAAAGTGGTAGAGGTTGAAGATCCAGCTCATGACCAGGAACAAATACAGCATAGGTTAGTATAGTGACATATTCTATATTGTGTTTTGTCTCATACTTGATATCTTGTTTAAAGGAGCAGGTCAAAAAGCCCAAAAACAAAATTTGAAATTTTTACATAGATCAAGTGAAGCACTTGGAATGGAAAAATATGCACATGATTATGAAGAAATATACACGGAATTAAGATAAATATCAATATTTGTTTATTGTTAGCCCAATTTGATTGAATACTGTTGCAACTATTTTGGAGTTTTCTCGCACAACAAAAAGTATTTTTCTAGAAAAACGGGGTGACAGCATTATCTGAAAATTTGCACACAAGTTATTTGTTCAGATCTACTCCAAATGGTAAACAAATCTTGCAAAAATATTCCCAGTACCATCGTGTCTTAAAGCCTAAGATAGTCCCTTTAAGTATACAAATTTTAAGATCTACATTGATATTTGTTGTTTATCCCTCTAAACTTTTTACAATATACTAGGTATCAACCTTGAAAAGAATTTGAGAATGTTGAATATTGAAAATATTTTTTGACAAACTTTACTTGAAAGTTACATCAGTTATATGTTCTAATTTTAGAGTAACTGGTTTCCTTGACAACTGGCCCAAGTTGGAGAAATGGTTCTCTAAGTTTGGTACCTTGCAGAAGGTTGATGCCACACAAGAATCTAGATCTGTTCAGTTGGAAGTTGAAAAAATACTGGAAGACACTCTAAATAGGGTAAGTTAAATTTATTTCATTTACTTCTCTTAGCATTCTTTCAACAGCAGGTTGTATTTCTTAGTTTCTTAATGAGATAATGGATGGCAAAATTTTTAGGAATTCACCAAAAAAACATCTTTTAATAAGGGCTTTAAATGACTTTTGTGATCAATGAAATTACATCTTTTAACACAAAAAGATAAAATTAATTCAGATTCTGAATACATTTGTTTAGTCTGTATATTTATCATTTAATCTGAGTGTTATGTATAAAAAAAATAGTCATTAATAGAAGAATTTTACTTTTCTAGCTTCAAGGTAAAGATTTAGAGAGCTCTGCACAGCCTGAGCAGACAGAAACAGTTGAAGAGAAAAAAGAAGAGGTAATAAACTATACATATGGATGTTTGAAAAATTAAAGTAGAAATTGATTTAAAAAACAAAACAAAAAAAACAACATTATCTGTTTATAGTTCTGACATAAGCTGTAGGAATTATCTTTTATATATCTACCATGAATAAGGATGTTGGTCATAGAACCAAAGACAAAGAAGGCAAAATATGAACAGAAAAACTTTTTTTATTATAAAATATCTTATAAGAGAAGAATTGTTTGTGAATTCTCACATGTTTTAATATACTTGTACTTTTTTACTCTATATTTCTGTGACTATTTATATTACGAATGGGTTATATGAGGTACATGGAAATTATCTTAGACATAAGGAGGTAATAAAATAAACATATCTATATTATGATGACATTTATTTCAGCCACCAGCACCCCCACCAGAGCCACCTAAAACACCACCTGTTGAAGAGGAGAAGAAAAGTAGCAGACCTTCTTCTAGAAAAGGTAAACTCAGTCACTTGTACCCTAGCTAATTTGGTCAGCTTTCTCTTCCCAGTCTCATTACAGTTTAAGATACTCTTTGTGTTTGTGTTAAAAATAATTTAAAAAAATCCCCTTTATTGCTGGATTTATTAAAATATATGAAGAACTTGGCAGTGACTTAAAAGTGAGTTACATTTAATACATAATCAATGAATGTTACAATTACATAGCTACTGCTGCAAACTGGCACTGAACAAATACAAGAACAAGATAGCTTTTGTTTAGTACTAAGATGTTTCAAGTCAAGCCAGGTTATCTTACAAGTACTGTACTATTGTCTTCATTTATTTTTAACTAGTTGTGGTATTTCAAGCCATTGACATCAAAAAATGTTGTATATACATGTTATTGTATCAAACAAATATAAAAAAAACATGTATTGAATGTTACATACACATTTATCCAACCAATAAGAAAAACATGCATTTTCACTATTATACGGACCAAACGATTGAAAATCAAATCTTTGTTAAGCCAACCTACCTGCTTATGCTTGTATTTTCTGATTGAGTATGTCGTACTGCCGTATAATCTATTATATAAATGATATAACTTTCTCGTTCAGGATCTGGAAAGAAGGGATCTAGGTCATCCTCTAAGGAGTCTCGTAGTAAATCTCCTAAAGACAAAAAAAGAGACAAAAGTGGCTCACCTAAACGATCAGCTGGTAGTAAAGATAGTGCCAAAAAGAGTAGAGGTATTAAATGAACTCTTTTACATGTAACATTTTGTATATAAGTTTGTTTATACTTGATAGTATTTCTTAATGATATTTATACTGGACAAAGTAGCTCATTGATAGAACTTACATTGCTCGCTTTATTTAAAAATTAGTAATTTGTGTTATATATTTCTAGGTTCATCACCAAAATCAAAGAAGGGATCAGGAAAGAAAGCCAAAACCCCAGAGCCAGAACCTGAGCCTGAACCCGAAGTGCCAGCAGGACCACCACCACCAGAGCCAGGCTCCGAGGAATGGGAGTTTGTTGATCAGTTCATTAATCAGGTACTTTATATTTTAATTATTTCCTATATTACATAAATTATCATTTTTAAAACGTCATGCATGTAGGTGATATACAACCTTATACAACTCAAATAAGCCTGAATTTGACTTGAAACTATTTTTTGTGGGTCAAATTACTGCTCTCTAAAGAATGATACAGAATGGCCAAATTCATACAAGCTTTTTTTAAGTAAAATTTGACAAACAAGTCTTCCTGCATGTGGAATTCATTGTTTTAGTCCTTGTTGGACCTGAATGCACGTATACTACACTGCAAAATGATATGTAGACGTAATCAAAATGTAATAAATAATCTGAAAAAAAAGTTATTTTTCATCTGTCAAAAGTTTTTGTAAAAGTTGTCTGCTATTTTTACAGAATCTGGCTAAAGTATTGGCTGACCACTGGGAACATGTTGAGAACATGTACATCAAAAATGGGAAGTTTGTCTTTAGAAAAGTCAGAGATGAAAGAGAGAATATCTATAGATATTTCTTCCAGATTAGGTGAGAAAATACAAAAAAATACAAATTGTCTCTTTGACTCATTGTTCATATTATAGTGCATATAATTGATTAAAATTAAATATGGAAAACTTGCATGATTAGATTAAGTTCTTTGCATATTATCTACATGTATGCAACATACATTTTAATGTGTTATCTAAGTACACTTAGTTTTTTAATGAAAAAGTGAAATATTTATGTCTAAGATTAAATTCATAGCTTTTCTTATTTTAAGTTAATGTACTTTATTTTGTTTTCTTTTAGGAAGGATTTCTTGGCATATTTGAGAAGACCAGACCACAAACAAGAATTTGTTTCACAGTTCCAAAAGGTAAGTTTTGACCAAACATCTCATAGATATTTCCTTTACAGATAAACTGTACATATACCACCAGCTTAGCTTATCTATATTGGTTCTTCCTTGTTATAATCTATGAATATTTTGTTTAAAAATCTTGATAAGCTATGGAACAAATATTGATCTTGTGATTAAAAAGAATATTGTAACTCATTGGATACAACAATACTATGCTTGCCAGACACTCACATAGTATAATTTTACTCAACTCAATCAGTAAATTTGTCATTGAATTTACAGGCATTCAATGTTTTCTATTTATAAGATATTATTATAATAATATTATAATAATATATTGTAGGAGTATAATGAGATACCTGATGACATGAGGGATGATGATGAGACAAAGATGGAGTTACATCAACGTGTTGATGATCTCAGAGAACGTCTCTGGAACATCTGTGATGAACGTAAAGAACAGGCCGAGCATGAACGTGAGACAGTGATGAATGATGGATGGCTGGATGATAGACTTGGTGTACTCAGTAACTTTTACATTACTCTGATGCAAGCAGAGGTAGATAGGTTCCAGGATACAGTTAGAATGATGAAAGATTATTACAGGGGAATGGAGGGAGAAATACCTGATGAGCTTAATGCTAACTACATTAGACTGCCACTGATTGAGGTAAGTTCCTACTCCAAACATGTTATAACATCATTCAAAATATACAAAAAATTAAAGTTTGTGATAAGCATCAACTCTAATTATGATAAACAATATAGGAATTATTCATAATTCAAGATTCATTGATTTATAGAGCATAATTATATCAAAATGTTTTTTGTCATAGATGCAAGATTTTATTCAAGATATGTTGTATACATAATTCTGTCTACATTTCCTGTAGCTGCCTGTTGAGAGGCCTGGTTCCCCTGAAAAATCTCCAAGTGAAGGTCAGCAGACACCATCTCCTGATTCCAGACCAGGTACCGGAAAATCTGATAGATCTAAATCACCTCGCTCCCCTAAAGGTAGTCGTAGTAAATCACCAAGGGAAAAATCACCCAAGGGAAGTAAATCAAGGTCAAGGACACCTTCAGCCAAGAAAAGAGATAAAAGTAAGGAAAAAGACAAGCCAGCTGAGGTTCAAAATCTTCCAACTGAAGCAGGAAAAAGGTGGGTTTTATATCATTTGGAAAAGATCAGTATTATGTTTCTTCATGTGTTTAGCAATAAACATACATGTATAATAAATGTTTTATGTAACACCACTAACATGAAACTTACCTACTGCCAGAAAATTTCTAAATTGTCCAAAAGTAGTATACAAAGGTACTAAAAAATGCTTCCATGTTACTACCACTAAAAAACTAGTGTAACTAGGAACTGACTTGTAGTAAGTAGAAAGTTTGGGACAAATTTAATTTTGCTGTTTATGCTTTGGTTTTTTGTTGATAGCATAAAATTCTGTTTGTTGTTACATAAATGTACATAAAGGCTATCAGCTGTGTAGATTTATATAAAAAAGTAGTATTACATGTTTTAGCTCGATAATATTTGGACGTTATGATGATATAGACAGTGACGGTGAGGGAGTTCAAACAGGAAGGCAGGAATACTTGTTCTTACATTGTACTCTTGTACACTTGTACATAATGTGATTTTATTTTGGTTCATTTCTCTGTTGATTATGTTATGTTTTATGTTCTTTATTGTTTCATTGTTTTAGATTTTCACATTTTTGTTGGATGTTTGTATAAAACATAATTGCAGAGTACTACATATAGCTTCATATATTTTAAATACAGTACATTATGGAATGCTTCATAAGGTAGATTTTACCATAAACAGTTCAGATTTAATCTATCTTTTCATTGTGTATGTTTAGCATTATAGAAATAAATGACTTTTTGCCAGGTGAATATTAAAATAATGTAAGAATGTTTCTGTGACATCTTCAAATGAGCCGCGTCACGACAAAACCAACATAATGGGTTTGCGACCAGCATGGATCCAGACCAGCCTGCGCATCCGCGCAGTCTGATCAGGATCCATGCTGTTCGCTTACAACTCTATAACAAGTAGAGAAACTGATAGCGAACAGCATGGATCTTGATCAGACTGCGCGGATGCGCAGGCTGGCCTGGATTCATGCTGGTTGCAAACCCATTATGTTGGTTTTGTCATGACGCAACTCAAATGGTTTATTTCCTGTACATTCAGAGATGTGTAATTCCATGTTTACACTCCATGTTTTATGTTTGCAAAGATAAGAAACAACTCATTTGCAATGAATACTTCCTACATATCCATTTTGTATTAATTTCTGGGGGTTTTTTTTGTTCCATTTTGATGCTATGTCTTCATTTTGTATTTCTGACTGTTGTCTTATTTTTGTTGTTAATATTTACGTTTTCTGTTTTATGTTCAGGATTCCGCTGGTTCCCCGGCGACCAACATCTGCTGATGAGAACCTGAAAGCGGCTGCAGCTTCTAAATCTAAAGACAAGAAGAAAAGAGAGGAAGGTTATGAGAGTCCAGTACCACCTGAAGATCCTGATGAGAAACTTATCTTTAATGCATTCCATACTGGACTCACTAATCTTTCAAATATTGTAAGTTTCTTTTCTTTTTGTTGAAATGATTCTGTGTTGATTTCAGAGAAACACAAGTTTTGTAGTTAAATAGTGTTATATGCGAGATATACATGTATAGTTTTAAACAAGATATAGTCATTTTTTCTGGTAATAAGGGTTATAACCAGATGTCATTATAAATCAGTGCAGATGTGAACTTTTATTGTTTCTGAAATGCTTTGTTCAAAATTATATATTTCTATATTAATGTAACAAAAATGTCTTTAAAATGATGTTTAAGATTATGCAAGCATACTGTGGCTTTATTACATATTTTTATCATTTTCAAATTAATAAACCATGCTTACAGATGAAAAAACTTTGTTTATCAGACAATAATTTGAACTCTGGCACTTTAGTAAGTAATGCACACCATTTTATTATGACTTTTTACAATATTTTCTCACAGGCACAACTTTTTTTTATTCTATTCAGCATTATTGTAAAATGAATATGACAAGTATTTGCAGGTTTATTGCTTTTAATACAAAACACTTTAATGCTGTTGTGTATTTTCTTTTTTATTATTATATAATTTAATTTCTTTATTGTCTGTAATACAAAATTATGTTTCCAGCATTTGCATTGTCAGATATGAAAACTAAGATTAAAGTATTATACAATATTTCAACATAGTTTAGGATTCTTTTATATTCATTTGCATAAAAAAATTCAAGTCATGCATTGCATTTAACAAAAAACGATATTTGGAAACATGATGAATCTTGATCAGAAAATATATTACATTTATTTGTTCTAATTGATAAAATGCATTAATAGTTTTTATTTCACCAATTTAAGAAATGCATCAGTATGTATTAAAGCCATATGCCTCCAGATGAGCCAAATTATTTCAAGATAATCAAACTTGAGAAAAATGTATTAAGACTTTAAAAGAACTAAAAATAATTTACTTTTTATATGCGATTTATGTTTGATTTTGCAGAATTTATCACCATATTTCTACTTCAGGACTTTAATTTAATTTAAATTTTTGTATATTTGGAATTGCTTTTGGTAATTAACATAGAATGTAAGTGCAGTTTGCAATGTGTAAATTACTTTCTTTGTTAAATTCATAGTCTTTTACATTAAAATACATTTTCAAATTTTTCATGAGACTGGAGTCATGCTACTTTAATGCACCAGTAATATTAAAAGAAATTTGTTTATAAAAAACTTCAACTAATTTTATGTTATATTTTAATGACACCATAACAAATTCATAATGACAAATTTATTTATTTCCTTTTACTGTAAATTAGATATGAAATGGATCATTTGTTGTTGTATGAATTTTTATATTTTTATCAGCTGATTTACCCATGCACACATTACAGAAACTAAATCTGTATAATGTTTCCATTATCTGTGAAAAACAGAATTCTTAAACACGCTTCACACTATTCCTCAATCAAACAGATAGGACTTCCAATTGCATTATAACACAATATAGGCACAGCATAAAACAGGAATCCTTGACATCAATTAACCAAATGACATTTGGAAAATTACTTCTACACTCAATGTATTTCAAAGTATTTTTACCAATTCTCTTTTTTATTAGCATGTTAGAATGGAAATAGATATAAATAAATTTTCCTTGCATTATTGAATAATAATGCACAGTTTATCTTTCAAATGCTTTGTAATTAATCCACCTTCGTGATTATATTCCTTGCATTTGAACTCAAACCATGCATTTATTCTACAACAATGCACTCAAAATTGATATCTATTTCCTAAATATAACGCAATGGTTTTGAAAGTATCTTTATATTAAATTATTTTTCCTGCAGATGTCAGCAGAGGAGGCTGCTAGAGAAGCTGCTGATGAGGCTGACAGGTTAAAGGAGGCCGAGAAACAGAAAGAACTTGCTCTCGCAGCTGCTGCAGCCAAAACTAAACCTAAAGGCAAGGGCAAGAAGAGTCGAAGTCCTTCACCAAAGAAAGGTGGAAAGAAAGATGAGACAGCCTCTACACCACAGCCACGTAAGTTGTTGTAATTATTATAAGAATAGTAGAAAATGATTAATTTAATGACAAAAAAAAAAAAGCATTTAGATATGGGTTTTAATGACACATAATATGATAGATATAACATTCTGTTAACTTTAAAGCAGCACGCCTCCAGATTCATGTTAATTTTCATAAATTTTTTGGAAATGTGTACAAAAGTAAAATAATGTGGGGTGAACAAATAAAGTATTCTACACATTGCAATTGGCACATACAATCCATGAAAATTATCAAAAAGTTGTCAACATATGTAAAAACAGAAAAAATGTTCATTGGTTAATTCAGAGGACAGTTTTCATACCAAGGCAAAGGAAGCTTTTGAAGAGATGGTTTTTGATACTATGTTTGTAACCTATTTTAGATTAAAGTAATAAATGAATGACTTTGTTTTCAGCATCAGAACCAGAATCAGAAGAAGATAAACAGAAGAAGGATGTAAGGGATCGTATGAAACAGGAATATTTCTTTTCTATCCAGGAGGAGGAACAAGCATGTAAGAAAAGAATGGAGCTAATCAAAATGACTGCCACTGCTGTATTACAGGACCTTAAAAACAAGGCGGACAATGCCTTTAAGGACATGAATGACTGGCTAGGTGCTAGATATCTGAAAGAAATGGAAAGGTAAGATTAGGATTTTTTTAACAATAGCCCAAGAAAATACAGTTTTATTTTTCGGAATTGAAAAAGCAAAAGATGCTTAAAATTTAGTTTCTTCACCGTATTTTTCTGAATATAAGCTCCCTCATGAAAAGCTTTAAATTTGCATTAACTGTCTTTTAATAAATATGTATAATTTTTCCAATGTATGCACCATAAATTTCAAATAAACCTGAATTTGTAGATCAAATATTGGTACATGTAATTATATAGAAGAATCATCCTTTGCCAGTGATTGGCTTATAACTTAAAATAGAAAAGAAATGAGAAAATTGTATGTGATTGTTTTTATATTGTGATGTGGTAATAGTATAAATGTTAGTTGATTTTATTTTTTAGTATTGATCATATGTCAGAGATAGTGAGGAACGCCATAGAGAAAAGACTGAAAATCAAACAACAGCTTGTACTACAACAACAAGACTTCCTCCTTAATGAGGTAACACAACTATATCCTGTATATAAAAACACAGCATTGACATCATATTAATTGTTTAATTGAGTCTCTAACAGATTGATACAAACTTAAAGAATGTGTCTAATTCTTAACCATTAATATAAATCTTGTTCCTGTTATTGAAACGAACAACATGACTGTCTAAATAAATTCTATATTGGACTTATAGTATCCAAGATAATTGTCCTATATTGGACAGTTGATTGTGTATGACTTTTTCCTTGTACTATCAAAGTTTAAAGTCATTAAGGACAATATATGTATGGCGTATGTAAAGAGCATTGTGAAAACCAAACATACTGATATTACTGATATTTCTTATGGAAATGAATCATTTAATCAAATTTTTAGTTTCCTCAAAATGGTTATTTAACACTGTTTTGTACAATACAGGATATAATTACATGAATAAAAAGTTGTAAAATGTGAATTCAATCATATCAGAATAATTGTAACCTATTTTACAATTCAAAGTTTCTATTGAGAAAAATCTTATTTTTCTTTTAAATTCTCAGGATGTATTAATGTTGGATCAGAATTTTGTAAGCTTATATAAATATTTTCAGTATGTTCACCATTCTTACTTTGATATTGTCTCTTCTTCTATCTTGTTGTCCATATATTCCAATGTTATATTAATACTACAGTAAGGTTCCTGTTTTTGTACAAGTTTTAAACCATTGATTGTTAATTGAAAGTACTTGATAGTAAGAGGGGTTAAGTTAAAATATATTGTAAAAGGGAATAAAGTTAAAAATTGATATATTCTAAAAATTGAGGATTTTTGGTTAGCATATTGTTGTATATACATGAATACATTATGTTGTCATAGGAATCATCTGATGTTGTAGAAACACAAGTTACCAAGCTTACATATTGGCAACATACAAGTTTTCATCACATACCCATGCCGCTTTTGCAACTCCATAAAAACAGTATTGCACAACTGTGCATATATTTTGACATATACAAACATAGTTATAAATACGCATTAAATGTTTGCGTTACACAAGGAGTGTGTCATTGAAAAAATGATTTTTTTTCCAATAAGCATTTTTGTGATAAATAGAATATTATATTCATGTAGCTTCTTTACTAAAATTTTTAAACTTGTTCAAAAAAATTCAGTTTTGAGCCTCCACTCATTTTTAATTTCCGCTATATCTTATGTAATTGCAGATTTAGAATTTACCTTAAAAAAGCCTTTATACAATTACATGATTTTAATATGTGCATCCTTTTTAAAAGGAACATTTTTGTTTCAATGGACCTAACATGACTGCATCAGGTAGAATACAACAACAACAACAAACTTTCTAGAAATTAACTTAACATTGCTATCTGTACTTTAAAGGACCTAGCAGTTTTGAAGACCCCTACACCACTACCACCAGAAAAAGAGGTAGAGCCAGTAACTTCAGACTGCTTCACTGTAGCACAACTTATGAACTTATTCTCACAGGTTTGTTCATTTGTTTTATTGTTATAGTTCAATAAGTTGATAAATTGTTTGATATTTGAACTTCAAATAACCAATTATATGGTATTCAAGGGATAACTATATTTTCTTATTATCTTATAATAAAGAAAAATTGCAAATTGTGAAGTGTGTGATTAGTATTGCAAATAATATGTGATAGTAATGGCCACTTCTAATTCAGCTAAACATTCTAAACTTTCTAATATATCATTTATCTGTAACTCAGTAAGTAGTATTTTGAACTCAAATAATACCTGATAAATTAGCATTCTGTATGCCGAAGTTTTATTTTAACAAATTAACACTGAAGATAAAATTCTTTAGTTTATAACCTCAGTTTTTGAATTATTTTGAGCGTGTATTATATTGTTATAGTTTGCAACTACTGCACCAACTGGTGTGATGTCAAACAGGGCATTTATGGAGACATTTGAGAATATGGTAGCAGTTACACATGGTATGGAACAACTCCCTGAAGTCTGGTTGAATATCACTCAACAACAGGTACAAGAATACTCTAACTTTATTATTCTTTATCAAAACCAATTAAAGTTATTCTTAAGTTTTTTTATCTTTGTATTGTTGCTAAATTGCAAATTAATTTTGACTTTGGCTTGAATTGTATTGACATAAGTTGACTTGTCTTATAATGACATCATAATTTATAAGTTTGAAAGGAGAAAGGTTAAATTTGAAAAACCAGCAATAGTGTGTTGTTGTTTTTTTTCCCAAAATATGTAGATAAAAAATGAATCCTTCGTTGTCTTAGAAGATTGTATATATACCGGTATAGTTTTATATAATTGCTGAAATAATTTAAGGAAGTTTGTTTTGGGTAGTGTCTGTAAACGTTGTTATTGATAATAGGAATTTGGTAGATGTTAGTGTTGTACTGTTGTTTTATGTGTTCCTGTATTAAACGTATGTGATATATCAGATATGTGACATTATTTCTCACAGATACAAGATATAGCCACTGGTTCCTCATCAGATAATGAATATGTAGACTGGAGACGGTTCCTGATAGCTCTAGCCATGCCGGTACCCGTACCCAGCCAAACTGAACTACTCGAGACTCTAGCCAGGTTCAAGGATATGGACCAGAAATCTACAGGCTTTGTTACCAGGGAACAATATGATAGGGTATGCATTTTATATTATTTATATCTTTTGTCAATAAAAGATAATGATATATTTAGTTGGTTAAAATTCATGGAAATTAGTAAACCACTTTTAAAACGTCTTGTTAGTATTAAGAATGTTTTTGTTAAGGTCGATGCCTTTTTTCAAAACAAACATTTATGTAATGCTACTTAAAACTATAGAAATACATGTATAGAAAAATAGTGATTTAGTGATTGTATTATTTATTTAAGCCTCCTTATTGTGATGACATTTTCATTTTGTAATAACATTTTTGTGATAACCTATTTGTTTAGATGAATCTATGGTTCAGTACAGAAGATGAGAGTTGTGCAAGATTGGCAATGTTGAAGGCAGCATTATTTGATATATTTGCTGATCACAACAGAACTCCACCTGTTGTAGATTATGTAGGCATGGTGAGTTTAATGTTATTTATTATATCAGATGAATAATCAATATATTATACTGTACATATGACTGATACTGTGAATATATTGAGGTTAAGGCATGTTTTATTTCTTTATTGATTAATTTTTTTTTGATAATCTAAATAATGTCAAAAGATATTTAATTGACAATTAGATAAGATAAAGTGACACATTGGTATTACTGTACTGATATGTCCATTAAAATTTTCTTTTAAAAGAAAATCATTTGTATTTTCTAAGGAATATATGATAATCATTGATGTTAAAATATATATTATGTTTGTGTTATAGCTGCTGTATTTTAGTGCTACAAGTAATGCCCAGGAAGGTTTAATGCGGGCTCTCAGTGTAGCGTCAGGTACTCATATGCCGAGATTATTGAAACCTTTCACCAAGTCTGATTCTGTTATCAACAGGTTAGTTTAAATTTACTGATGATGATTTAACACAGCATCTATAACTTATGTTACAGTAAGCTACACTAGTTGATGGTTTTGACTTCCTTCCACAATAAGATATTTGGATTACAAAAAAATAATTCTGTCATTATTCTATGTGTTATAAGTCATTTTGGAAGCTTCAAAAATGTAGTAGCAAACTATTTAAAATACAGTGAAAAAATCAACTTACATGTTTTATATTGCAATTTATTTTGCATCATTTTTCTGACTGACTAATTAATTTATTCACACAATAGTCTAAGGAATCTGGAGCCTGTATCTATCTGTAATTTATCTTGCCTGTAGCCCTGACATACCGGATGATCCTGATGATGTAAGTCCACCACCGCCACCTGAAGATATCCCAGCTGAAGCAGTAGATGCTGTAGTACCACTAGATGCTCTATATAGAGTTTTACATCATGGTGAAACAGCTAAAGGTGATAGTCATAGATTCTCTGTCACTGCTGACCCAGAGGACTCCACTTCCAGAGTATGTCTATTACTATTTGCATATCCTTTATACAATGTAATTCTGTTACAATTTGTTGTCTTTTTTCATCATTTAGCTATAGTTCTGAGTTCATTTATAAGCATACATTTTGTGAAAGGGAATGTGATGGAAATGTGTCCTTGATGAAATTGCTTCAGTAATAATAAAGATGTTTAAAATTTACAAAATTGGAAACAATGATCTGTCTGGTTGACATTTGGTACATTAGTAACTTATATTTAATAACTTCATCAGATAATCTAAAGAAAATACTAAACAAGTATCAAGAAGTAAAAGATACATGTACATGTATAATTGTATATGCAATGCACAAACAATTACATAGGCTAGTTTTAAATTATGGTTATAAAATGTATTGTTTATAAATCAATTTAAGTTGAAAATTGTGCCTTTTTGTTGCCTAAATATCCTTGTTTATAAATTAAATTGTTATATATTTCAGGAGAAATTGGCAAGTGTATACCAGGAGCTAGGTGATGATAATTTATCTCCAGTACCATTTAAAGTTCTTGTTGAACATCCACTTATACAAGATGTCATACAAGCCTGTAAAACATTTAAAGCTTTGGTAAGTACATTTACTTAATACATGTATTTATGTATCTGATATCTCAAGGACTATGTGATAACAAATAATTGGATTGAACACAAAGTGTTATAGGTCAAAGGTATTCACCATTACATGCATACTAATGAAAAAACATTATTTTGCATATTACAAAGATGTAAAATTTGCACAAACATGAAAGCTTTTAATTTAACTTTATATACTTTAGTGAAATTGGTGTTTAGTTTAAAAAGTGAATTTAGAGAAAACTGTTTTTGAACTTAAATTTCATGTTATCTTTCACTTATTTTTTTTATTTCTTTGAGTTAATTGATAGTAATGAAACAAATTTGAATCATTATATTTGTATTATTTGGTACTTATTGTGATGGGTTTCTTTTAATTTTAATTTGTAACATTTGTATTCTTTGATTTGTAATAGTCATTTTTTTTAATTGTAGGATCTGAAGAGTATTTTGTCATCTAGTGATTCCCTCATTGAAGCAACAAGTACAAAGACTGGAGAATAATCTACCATATGAGATCTATAGTGTGCAATTATCACCCAAAACTTTTATAGGAACAAAAAACAAAATTTTGTTTGGTTTAATATTTTGACTATACCGAATTCCATAAAACTGTCACACATGTAGACGTTATATTTTTAGAAATGGATATAGATATGTGATTGTATAAAATGACAATTTATATTATTTGGATTTTTTTTATTTTTGCATTTACAGAAAAAAAAAGAATGAAATTGTGATGACCATCTGTGATACTCTATTTCTATATTTTATATGTTTTTTGTTTTATCAGATTAATAAATAAATTAACAAGATTTATACTTGTTTCTTTTAGAATCTAAAATAGTGAAATTTCATAAGAAATAAACCTATCCCCACTTAGTTTGTACAATGCAATTGAATCGGATTTGTATTTGCTTGTTCTATGTTAAAGACAAGATGGCTGCAGCTAACGGAGTACAGGCTCCTTACTGTATTTAATGCAGCACATACATGTACAATATGCAAATGATAAGTATACAATAAAAAGCAAATGGGCTGTGCAATACGTTCTTGCAACATTAGATTAAGCGCTTCCCAGTCCTTGCTATATACTACATATAAAAGTACAGGCTAGCCAAGTTTTATTCTTTAGGGCTACAAAGATTTAACCAACAAATGATGCTCAGATCTGAATTATACTGCTTCATTAAAATTGTTCAAAATCCTGGTATGTGATGCAAAAAAAAAAAACCGAACTTGATGTAAGAATGGCCAGATATTGTGACAGACAACTTGTGAGATTGTTCATTGAATCTCTGGGTACTGCTAACATCTATCTCTGTTACAGGCAGAAATGGTGCACATCCAATGTGTTAGTAAATGGTGGGAGAGAAAACATGAAAATGAACATTATCAGGACAGTGAGAGACTAACACATAGTAGCCCATTTACTAATAAAGAATAGGTGCAAGGATTTTACATGGTTTTTTTTAACATAAGAAAGACTGCAACTCTGCAACAGACACTCATTTTCCACTGGTTGGATTTTTTTCAGACAAAACTGGTGGCAGCATGGCTGACTGGCTAATGTGTCAGACTAGTAATCTAAGGAGTGTTTATCATATAGGTTTAAACCCTATCAAGAAAATTCTTGTTCCTTAGTATTTGTATGTTCCAGGAACAGAATAATGTGGGTATATAGCTTACTGCTTCATTCACAATCAAACTGAAATAAGTACTGTATCAGTAAAACTAAAGTTGTAACTGCATATATAAATACAAAGTCAGAGATTTTAGAATTTATTTGACATAAGGCATTAAATATTTAACAATATCTAAAAAAAGAAATAGACAAAGATGCCTCTAAAATGAGAAAAATACTACTACTGTGTACTATGTTTAAACATTTCATTTTCTCCCAATTTATCTGCAAGTAAAAAAACATTAAAAAAAAATCAACTTGATGATATACCGGTAGTAGTTTTTAAAATATTTATTAAGTTCCAAATAATAAAATACAATTCTGGACAAATTTTTTATGAAGCTGATTTATAAAAACAACAATGATAAAAAAAAGAAAAATGTGTCAAGAAGAACAATACTTAATCAAAATATCTGACAATAATACCAAAGTAGAACCAGTTGTTGGTATACATTATATAGTCTGCAGAAATGTTCTTGCTGACAAAATGTGTGAAGGTCTATAAATCGTCTAAAATAAAATGCATCAGATGCCAGCATCATATAGTCATAAATATCATCCTAATATATATGTAGTATTTATGGAATAGAAAAAATGAGCATGCCACCAGAATTTTACTCAATGGTAACATTATCTTAAAACTCTGCAATATTGTTTCAATTTCTTTTCTTAAAATTTTAAATCAACACATGAATAAAACAAGCACAATCACTATTAACAAGATATGTTTGTAAAACATGTATGCCCCCTATCAGCAGCCAATTAGTCATGTGATAAGGTTATTATGCATGACGTCTGACCCAGTGATCAAACAATTAATAAGGGTTATAAAGTAACTACTGGTCATGACCTTGACCTTTGACCCCTTGACCCAAAACTCAATAGGGGTCATCTGCTGGTCACGACCAATCATCATACAAAGTTTGAAGTTCCTAGGCCTAGGCGTTTTTAGTAAATTGATCAGAAACCGTTTTTACCTACAAGGTCAATGTGACCTTGACCTTTGACCCCTTGACCCCAAAATCAATAGGGGTCATCTGCTGGTCATGACCAATCACCATGCCAAGTTTGAAGTTCTTAGGCCTAAGGGTTCTCTTATTATTGATCGGAAACCGTTTTAAACATACAAGGTCAATGTGACCTTGACCTTTGACCCCAAAATCAATAGGGGTCATCTTGCTGGTCATGACCAATCACCATGCCAAGTTTGAAGTTTCTAGGCCGAAGCGTTCTTTAGTTATTGATCAGAAACCGTTTTTACTTACAAGGTCATTGTGACCTTGACCTTTGACCCTTGATCCCAAAATGAATAGGAGTAATCTGCTGGTCATGACAAATCACCATACCAAGTTTGAAGTTCCTAGGCCTAAGCGTTCTTGAGTTATTGATCAGAAACCGTTTTTACTTAAAAGGTCAATGTGACCTTGACCTTTGACCCCAAAATCAATAGGGGTCATCTGCTGGTCATGACCAATCACCATGCCAAGTTTGAAGTTTCTAGGCCGAAGCGTTCTTTAGTTATTGATCAGAAACCGTTTTTACTTACAAGGTCATTGTGACCTTGACCTTTGACCCCTTGATCCCAAAATCAATAGGAGTAATCTGCTGGTCATGACAAATCACCATACCAAGTTTGAAGTTCCTAGGCCTAAGCGTTCTTGAATTATTGATCAGAAACCGTTTTTACTTAAAAGGTCAATGTGACCTTGACCTTTGACCCCTTCACCTAAAACTCAATAGGGGTCATCTGCTGGTCATGACCAATCATCACACAAAGTTTGAAGTTCCTAGGCCTAAGCGTTTTTAGTTAATTGATCGGAAACCGTTTTTACCTACAAGGTCAATGTGACCTTGACCTTTGACCCCTTGACCCCAAAATCAATAGGTAATCTGCTGGTCATGACCAATCACCATACCAAGTTTGAAGTTCCTAGGCATAAGGGTTCTTAAGTTATTGATCCAAAAGCATTTTTACCTACAAGGTCAATGTGACCTTGACCTTTGACCCCTAGACCCCAAAATCAATAGGGGTTATCTACTGATCATGACCAATCACCATCTCAAGTTTGAAGTCCCTAGGCCTAAGGGTTCTTTCATTATTGATCGGAAACCGTTTATACCTACAAGGTCAATGTGACCTTGACCTTTGACCCCTTAACGCCAAAATCAATAGGGGTCATCTGATTGATCATAACCAATCACCATACCAAGTTTGAAGTTCCTAGGCCTAAGGGTTCTTTTGTTATTGATCAGAAACCGTTTTTAATTAAAAGGTCAATGTGACCTTGACCTTTGACCCCTTGACCCCAAAATCTATACGGGTCATCTACTGATCATGACCAATCACCATACCAAGTTTGAAGTTCCTAGGCCTTAAGGTTCTTTAGTTATTGATCGGAAACCGTTTTTACCTACAAGGTCAAAGTGACCTTGACCTTTGACCCCTTGACCCCAAAATCAATAGGGGTCATCTACTGATCATGACCAATCACCATACCAAATTTAATGTTCCTAAGCCTTAAGGTTCTTTAGGTATTGATCAGAAACCATTTTTAATTAAAAGGTCAATGTGACCTTGACCTTTGACCCCTTGACCCCAAAATCTATACGGGTCATCTACTGATCATGACCAATCACCATACCAAGTTTGAAGTTCCTAGGCCTTAAGGTTCTTTAGTTATTGATCGGAAACCGTTTTTACCTACAAGGTCAAATGTGACCTTGACCTTTGACCCCTTGACCCCAAAATCAATAGGGGTCATCTACTGATCATGACCAATCACCATACCAAGTTTAATGTTCCTAAGCCTTAAGGTTCTTTAGGTATTGATCGGAAACCGTTTTTACCTACAAGGTCAATGTGACCTTGACCTTTGACCCCTTGACCCCAAAATCAATAGGGGTCATCTACTGATCATGACCAATCACCATACCAAGGTTGAAGTTCCTAGGCCTTAAGGTTCTTTAGTTATTGATCGGAAACCGTTTTTGCTTTTAAGGTCAATGTGACCTTGACCTTTGACCCCTTGACCCCAAAATCAAAAGGGGTCATCTACTGGTCATGACTAATCACCATACCAAGTTTGAAGTTCCTAGGCCTTAAGGTTCTTTAGTTATTGATCGGAAACTGTTTTTGCTTTCAAAGTCAATGTGACCTTGACCTTTGACCCTTGACTCCAAAATCAATAGGGGTCATCTACTGGTCATGACCAATCATCATACCAAGTTTGAAGTTCCTAGGCCTTAAGGTTCTTTAGTTATTGATCGGAAACCGTTTTTGCTTTCAAGGTCAATGTGACCTTGACCTTTGACCCCTTGACCCCAAAATCAATAGGGGTCATCTACTGGTCATGACCAATCACCATACCAAGTTTGAAGTTCCTAGGCCTTAAGGTTCTTTAGTTATTGATCGGAAACCGTTTTTGCTTTCAAGGTCAATGTGACCTTGACCTTTGACCCCTTGACCCCAAAATCAATAGGGGTCATCTACTGGTCATGACCAATCACCATACCAAGTTTGAAGTTCCTAGGCCTAAGGGTTCTTTAGTTATCACTCGGAAACCATTTGGTCTACGGACCGACGGACCGACGGACCGACAGACCGACGGACCGACAAGTGCAAAGCAATATACCCCCTTTTTTTCAAAATGGGGGCATAATTACATGTATATTTTTTTTTCTGAAATGCATTAAACTGGTCAATGCCGACGTAAATCAGAAGAAAAAAACAACTTTTTTTTACAAAATGCAATTTGAGCTATAACAATACTTTAGTGGGGTTTTTTTTATAATTTATTTGTAAAAATATTTTTGAACACATTTTAAAGCTGCTTTAGAAATTAATAAATTATACATGTGCTATTTTCAAAGAAAAAAATCTGTTATATTAGGAGTGTGTAATTTAGGCAATGATATAACGGCAGTGAAGATAGAGGTTGACATGTAAAAAATGTTTTAACTTATTTTACTTGAAAGTCATACCCCTAAAGAGCAAACAAATCATAACTTAAAGTTTCATAATGTTAAAATTCTATGAACATGGGTTTTACATCACTCAATATTAAAGAAATATGACGACTTTCAACGTCTCTTGTTGGAAAACTACCAGTGCGCCTCCTAGCAGACACTAACCACTTGTAGGCCTGCAGGACAGTAATGAAAGACATCTATATCCAAGCAAGTATCAATACGTGTTTCAACATAGACTGAATGAATCAATCACAGGATTATACACTAGTAAGGTCTGATTGATAATTGTCATGTTTTCATGAAAACTTGATACAGTGATGTCTGAAAAACACTGAAGAGATGGGCCTATACTTAGAAAATTTTATAACAATACTAGAATGTATCAATAATGGGTCTTAAACATTTTCATGAAGTGTTTTTGTCAGATGAAAATACTACATATTGTGTGATAAAGTAATAAACACACATTTTTATAAACAAATGAAAACAACAACAACAACAAGCATACTTGATAGACAAACATATAAAAAAAAATGACAACATATTGCAACAAATATGAACTTGGAATATTAGTTCCATTATTTCAGCAGAGAAAGTAATGGCTTACAGTTATAAATCACAAATAAATAATGTCATGAAAACTTCATGGATTTTTAATCCCTATGTCAATATAAATATTTTGCACCATATTAAACAGTTTGAGATAATTGGTATATATTTGGGACTTTATTTTTCTTCCCTTTTATTTTGTGGTCACATTAATGCACAAAATTCATCTTCCTACCAAAAAAAGTCAATTCTGTCTTTTTCTTAACAGTATAATTATGTTCCCATTAAAATTCACTTATCCAGGAATTTTATTCACACCTGTATCTGTCTATCATGAACAATTTCTAAATGTTGGAATATATACAAAATTATTGCATCACATTTTTCACTTTTACAGCATTACGGCTGCCTTTTATGTATTATCACCACCATTTGTTAAAATACTCGGTTTTTGCTGGATTACTTCTGGTCCTATCTCTATCACAGGTGAGTTTGGGAAACCATAATTCACAATGTTAGGATCATTTTTTATTGAAGGGGACGTATTCCCCGAGGATACATTGTCTGAGTGTGACAGTGGTGAATTAGTGTCTGACATATATGTGCTATTTTTAGAAAAAGGAGACGGAGGAGAGTTGTCTCCCTTATAACTTTTTGAAACACTAGGGGCAACATCTTCACTATGGTAACTACCATCACTTTCAGTTCCAGGACAAATGTCTTTCAAGAGTGTTTCCTGTTCTTCATCGGGTTTCGACTCGGCCTCGTACCCGCTGTCTCCGTTATATTCACTGATGTGATGGAGTGGTGGTGGGGGTGACGGAGATTCTGACTCATTATCTGCATCATTGTCTTCATCATCTTCATGCTGAAATTATCATAAACACCCACTATAGCAAAGCATTTATGTTTAAAATTACAATCATAAACAAGAGCATCATAATGGCTGGCCAACATATGCCCCAATGCAATTTGTTCGAGAAATCAAAAATAATCTTTGACCAAAGAAAAAGAACTAAACTAAACTTGTCTAAAACATGTTTTTTATCCTTATGATATTTTATGCTCCCAAAAGTTTTTTGTATATCTTTTAAGATAACATTTAAACAGGTTTATTCGGTAATGCTATATGCCTATAATGTCTTAGCTCTTGTGTACTGAAGTTTTCCAATGGATTTAAATGTGTTTTCCTATACATTGTACATAGCAGTAAACTTTTTAACTTGGGGCACTGAAGGGGTCAGTTTTTTCCTGACATTTATGATTTACTTAATTCAAGAAGAAAAAACCTGAAATATGTTTCCTATATATGTCTATACAGTCCTTAAGTCTGTAGTCTAAGTTTAGAGAGGGTCCATCCACCTGTTAAGGCACAAAAAGTAGCTTTCACTATAAAGAATGGACCCAAGAATGTCCCAAGTCAAGCCCTTTAAGGGTTTTTTGAAGCACAAAGTGGTGATAATATACTTCCAGAGTATTAGCCAAAAATGAAAGTAGGTCACAGAACAGCAGTTAATGAGAATGTAAATGTACAGTAACAATAATGCTCCGGTGGGGGGGGGGGGGATAATTTAATTCAACCAAGCTGAAATGCATAAAAACTGTGGTAAAAAAAAAAACAATTTAAAAAATATATCTTACACATGTTATTGGTGATTTTTCCAATGTGATCGGGTGGGTGGGTCCATTTCCAAGATTTTCAAAATCTTCTATGTCATCTAGATCAAAGATAAAGTTATAATATATGAAATGATATACAGTACATGTTTATGTACTTCATACTCAGAACCATTGAGTTATTCTTATTTTAAAAATGCAAGATGTTTCTTTACAATTACAATTTATGGTAGAAATTGCAAAATGATAAGACAAATATTGTCATTACAGAAACAATATTTCTTAGCAATGGTATCTCTAATGATATTTCGGTGTAAATATTCTGTCAGTAAATCTATAATTAGAAATCGCTAAGAAGAAATATCAGAACAAGTCTCTTTCATTTCCAAACATTACAGTAGATTTGATATAGATTTGTATGAAGAATATTTATCTTTAGATGCCATCTAAAACAGTACATGGGCAACTCAATCTACAAAAGTGTAAATTCAAGCTTTGAAGCCGAGAGTTAAGAGGTTCTCTGTTTCAGTAATACTGTGAAGTAGTAACAACTGATTCTTAACTGTGCATAGATGTAAGCATCACTAATACACAAGATTTTGGTAAAAGTATATTTTGGAAGACATAGATGTAATTTAAGTAGAAGTAACATAGAATCAGACTTCCAACAATGATATCAGGTACAGGTAATTAGCTCATGTTTTATACCTTTAGAGACTTTGTTTCTCTCCATCAATTCTAACACCTCTGATATAGATGATGCTGGTCGATTTTTCTTCCTGTTATAAAATCTCTGATCTGGATATGTCAGTCCTTCATCTTCTGATTGTGGCTGTAAAAGATTGTTAATATTTGTTTCAAACTTGTATACTTGCTCTTGTATCACATGTAAAAAAACATTTTCCTCTATATGAAAATAAACTGGCATTTCCCAAAATCTTGACTTTTTAGTTTTTACAATACAAGAGTTCCAAAAGTTTATTTCAAAATACATTCGGGCAATATGCCTATGCTTACACAGTACACAAATAAGCATATAATATAGTCAAATGGTCAATGTCAAATCTTTTATAAATCATGTATCATTATAAAGTTACACAGTATTTTTTAGCAATAAGAAAATGTTTCACTTAATGACAAAAGAAATCAACATGTCTTGAATTATAATGATATTACTGGTGAATAAATACTTATAGGACAGATACCCCTATCAATAAGGGTTGTGATTCTTTTATTTAAATTCTTTAGTTACATTTTTCTGTTGTTTTTTTTTTTAAACAATTTGATAATGGCATGCATATGACATTGTTCATTATACATGTATCTCTTAAAATTTCTATTGAAATCTTCTAGGAATCATGTTTGTACTTCATTTCATTTGTGTTTCAAATGTTTAAAACACTGTCCCTGGATTATTATTTTTTTCAATTTCTTTATATAGTCATTTTCTTTTATAGTCATTTAATGAAAGTCTTACCACACTTGTGTAGGTATAAGAAGAGTCACTGGGTGGAGGTTTAAAAGTTGACATACCATCAGTTTTAACTGGTTTACCTACAAAATAATCAGTATCATTAGTATAATTCATAATGAAAGTAGATTGCACAGTTAAATTAACTGTCCATGGCTGTGAACTGGACTTTGTGCTTGTAATATCTAATGTCTTGCACTTTGTAATCAAGTTAATTAAAACAACACTTCAATGCATTTTCCTCAATCACTTACATGGTCAATATGAATATATTGATGACCTGCACAAACATATACAGTACAAGCAAACTGACCAACAAATGGTCATCTGAATAAATGTACAATAATAATCTATCACTCAATTCAAACCATGTCTTGCTCATGCAAATGAAGACTGAAACAGAGAAAATATTGCCATGTTTTGATTTAGGAAAAAGATATCAATTTTGAGTGCATTGTTGTAGAATAATGCATGGATTGAGGTGCATAGGAATATGATCATGATGACTGATAGGTATAGGGCAAAAATTGTAAAGCGTGTATGAATCAGCCTAATAAAATAAGCCCAATACAATGCTATATATATATTTATATTTACCAGTTTATTTGACAATAACAAGAGTATTTGCACTTACTACCAAGTGTGGCAGACACCATACTGAATTCATCTAGTCTAGCCAGATAGTTCTGGTTCTGGTGATTCTCTATTACATGATCATCTTTCTCCTCAAAATGTTCCTTCATCTCTATCTCTTCTTTCTTCTTCTGTTCTAACTCTTTCTTTTTCTCCCGATTTCTCATCCTCACCAGGATAATGGCAATCAGTATAGCCACAATAAGTAGAAATGCAATAACTGACAGGGCTATAGCTGCAACGAACAAAAGTAGACTTGAAAGGCAATTGTTTACACATCATTTTATTCATTGTTTGCTTGTATGTCTGGTTTAATGGTGATTTTAACTCATTTTTTTTTCTCGTCATAATGGTGATTGGTCTATCTAACCAGCTTTCCTGGATAACTAACCAGTAATTTCCAATTTCTCTGCAAATGACCATCTAATCCAACATGATTTCTTATTCAGCAATGAGAGACAAATGAACATTAGACTCAGACATATTGCACACCAACCAAGGATCAAACCAAGGCCTCCCTGACAACAATATTCATGAACATATAAGAATACATTAAAATACAAGTATGGTAAAGCTTAATGTTAGGCCTATTAAAGAAGGATTTCACTGCAATAAATGTACCTTTTAAGAGTAAATAAAATAAAAAATTTAAAGTGCATTATACTATTATGCAACCTTGTTGCTGAATAATTCGTAGACTTGTAACATTTTAAGCATTGTTCTTTAATATGCAATGAAAGACTTAGTGATTCTTAAATTTAATTCTCTGAAAGTGATGATTTTCATGAACAACTATAGTCTGCACCAAGTACAAAACATCTGACTTACCAATGATTTCATCTTGATACTTCTTTTCTCTGGATTCAAAAACGATTTCTTTCTCCATGGCCTTTGATGTGCTAGGTGTTGTCTGTTTGGTAACTAATGGGGTTGTTTTGTTCTGAGGTAGTGTAGGAGCCGGGCCAATAAACTGAGTCTCTGCTGGAGCCGGGTCCCAGGGTGGCATTGTTAGCTGAAATTTGTAATGTTTGTGTAATGAAATTAAAGTGGCTTTAGCTGCTAGAGCCGGGTCCCAGGGTGGCATTGTTAGCTGAAATTTGTAATGTTTGTGTAATGAAATTAAAGTGTCAGATAACGTGTGATTTTTATTTTAAAATTGTGACTCAATATCACTTTGAAACAAAAAATGTATTAGAAATGTAAGATTTAAGCATAAATAATACATTATAAAGGAATTTTCATACTGTCATTTTGTAGGTACCTTTTTTAAATAAACTGATTTTAAGAATTTTCAGACATGTCAAATACAGCCTGTATTTGACAGCAAGGACATACAGACTGGCTGGCTTAGTTCTTTGAGCAAAGGCCTGTTAATTTAACCATTATATGCTCAAGAAGGAAACATTTGCTGACATCACAAACCTTTTTACTGTCTATGATTGGTTTGGTTGGTACTTGTGTAGTTGTTGTAGTGGAAGCCATTTGGTCCCTGGTGCTACATCCAACAACTTCAGGGCCAAATACTGTAGCTATTCCTGTAGAGTTCTTGTTGTCACGGAGATCTTTCAATGGTCGCAGAGAAAAGGGGAGATCACTGACTGGGTAAAAAGTCACTTCTGTAATAAAAGTTAATAATGATTAATAATATTTCAAAGTCATACAACAATACAAAATACTTTTATATAAATTACAAGTAAAATCTAAATAGCAGTACAGTATTTCAAGGGTCCCAGGTACAAGTCTTGGTGAATCTGCTCATTTTTCTTAGCCCGTGACATCTGGCTCCAAACTGGGAACTGTGACAGTATAATTCTGTGTCCAACTTCACATTGTTCTCTGTGCCCATTACAAATTAAAGGACAAATTTCAATATAGTTGGGAAGACAGTCAGAGAATTTCAATATAATGGGGAAGAATGTCACAGTATTGAACTGTTCACCAATTAGGGGCAATAGTGTGTAAGCGGTCAAATAGCTCAGCTTGTAAATTATCAGACTGCACATATTTTCTCACCCTGTGACATTATAACCTGAAATTTCGCTCAGAAAGTTCTTATAACATAGGTACATATTTGTGCAATTTTTTCTGACATGCAATCAAAGAAGGTCTGATAAAAATTATGATGTTTGACATGGGTTAATGAAGATAGTCACTGATGTCCTTACCTGACATACAACCAGAGAAGTTCCGGTAATTCCTGTAGTCATTGGTGTCCTTTATTTCATTAAACTGAACATCAAGAATCCCTCCTATCATGATTGTGTCCAGTTCATCAAGTGCATTATCAGGGACAGTAACTCTTCCTATACTCTCCTCATCAACCTATAAATAACAACTTTGAAAATTAAAAATGTTCTTTCCAAAACAAATATAATTACTGCAGTTATAAATAAAATGTGATAATTTGGTACAAAAAATTCTGGTAACTCTGTATAACAAATTTACAATTCCATCAAATAATATAAAACTAAAACAAAATTATTATGCTACATATCAATAATTTTATTACTACTACTTACAAAGGTAGTTTTAGATATCAGATATTTTTGTATTTTGGACTTGATATTTTTCAGGCAAAATGTAAACATTTGATATAATGTAATGTAGTATAATGTAAACAAAGTAAAGAAGCTGAAATAATCACAATATCAATCCCCTCCATTTTACTTCTACCACTAGCACAAAAACATGTTACCAATAAATGTACAGAATGCACAATAAAATTAATAAAATACTTAGATAAAATACAATGTAATTTAATGGGAAAAAATCATAAAAAAAATGGAGACAACGGACAGATAATGACCCTAAAAGCTCTCCATGCATCACAAGTGTTCAGATGAGCTAAAAAGTCCATGCTCCCTTAATGTCCTTCTCCCTTTTTACTTACAGAAAAGTCAATGAATTTAGACGACAGTCAGTGAAGACAACATTATAATTTAAAGCATATTTCAATAGATAAAGCAGGGATTGTCTGAGGAACACATCTGATTTTGTCCAGCAAAAACATTCTTTTAAATTTCTTGCAATCCATTATCAATTGAAACTATAAACACGGAAAAGTAGATGTTGCCAAGAAGTGGGAAAATGTGGATTTTACCAAGCTGATCCCCAAGTACCAACAAACTTTTACCATTTATAGCTTTCACAGTGCAAAACAATTAACAATTATCAGTCAAACTTTTGCATTTATTTTCAAAAGATTGAACTGTAAAAGTTTGTTCGAACTCTAGCTGGGAAAACCAAAAATACTTTTCATTCCGGAGTAAGTCTATTGTAGAATACACTGACAGCAAGGAAGTTTCCTTGTTGTGACTAATACTGAGTTAAGTTCAAGCAAAAGTAAATTATCGTTGTTAAACATAATTTAAATTATCATTATTTTTTTCATATTATAAGCATTAAATGTTACAGTTTGCTGAATTAAATACATAACATGGACATGCAGACTGACTTAGAACTTATATAGTTTTTAAAATGCCAGTAAACACATATAAACAAAACCTGGGACTTAAAATGACGTATCGTCCCAGGCAAAACTAAGACACAGAAGAAGATTTTCTTCAACTTTCTAAGCAGCCATTAACAAAACACATGCAAAAACATAATTATCAGTTTTTTATGATATAAGCAGCCACTTTTAAGATACATACAAACATGCAAAACACATACAGAATAAAGAAAAACATGCAAGTAAAATAGAAATAACAGATTTGATAGAATTATAAGCATTATAAAACAACAGAAGAATTAAAATACAATATTGTTGTCATAGTGAATTATGTCATGTTGTAAACACATGAAGAAAGTATAATAATCTAGCAAATCGTTGAGGAGCGTTAGCGAGTAGCGACAGTGACAAATGAAAGCTTTGGCGATGATTACTTACGCTAACAGTATTGTTTCTATATTTAGGATGGCTCTCTTCTCTAACCTATTAATGGGGTAGCGCAATATAAAAATGATTAGTTCAAGCAAAGTATTGTTTACTTATGACAATAAAGAAATATTTTTTTCTATACATATAATGTGATTGCTTTTGAAGCTTCTATAGCCCCAAATATGTGAAAGCTAAGCTTTTTTATCCTTTTTTATTCTGTGTAAAATAATGTGTAAAAAGTGATACTGACTTATATTGAAGGCAGCTGCTTTCCTAAGTGCCTAACAGTAACATGAAGTGACTTTTTTTTTCTAAAGTAAATTTTAAACATTGTTGTTATTCCAACAGTAAAATGTATTCACCAGAGACTGGTGTTTTAGTATCATGCAAAGCAGATTAGCAAATTTTTATCAAAGATAATTTGGACATCTTAGACTAATTTTTAAGTGAAGCCATAACTTTAATTTAATGATAAATGCATTGGTTTTTCATGCCAAAGGTAAATTTTCAATGCAAAATTATGACGGTAACAGTTAATAATCACAAATTCTCCATAAACAATACAGATAACGCAGTAAAGCGGTATTATCACAATATAAGATTGAGACTCAGATAAATTTCGTCAACAAATTTCTTCATTAAGTTTACTGTTACTGTATAAAACTGTTTAATTCTATTATAATTGCTTAAACATTATGAAAATGAAAAAGTCAGGTGACAATTATGTTTTAACTTGTAATCCATGAACTTGATGTATAAACATCTGTGCATCACAAAACCCTTGCTTATGTGTTTTGGTGTTTTAAAAAAAACCTGACCATTAGTGTCATAGTGCAGATGTAAGCTTTTTCTAGTATTGATTGATTCCTATTTTTATTTCTTTCTAAACCTTAGTCCCTAGAAGTTATAATAATACAGATCTATGTCACAAGTACATAGTTGAGACAGCTATCACAATCTGTAAAGTCTTACTACACTGTACTCAAGGCTGGTTAGTTATAATAACCCGATTTTGAAAATGTTACATGTTAAAACCTTAATTGGCAGTTTTACATTTAAAGCTTGACATTGGTCCATTACACAATTCATGAAGCCAGGTGAATGGCGTTGCCCAAGTTGAGGTGAAATTTGGAAATTAAATAAGCCAGGCAGACATGTGCAGACATACTGTCACTGTAAGCAAGTTCCATATTGTCAGCATAGCCAAGACAACAATTTAAATTATCATATTCATTAAGCCAACGATATACATTTATGTACATATATTTTGTACATATATTTTGTACATATATTTTTCTCATTACGGCTACCTTCAAGTAACAAAAACTGTCTGACAAATATTTGTTTTATTTATTGATGGGTATGCTGGGGCTTTGAGATGATAAAATATGATCAATGTTCTTTTATTGTTTTAATGTTAGAAGAAACAAATCAATGACATGCTTCTGTCAAGTATTATAACTCTGAATAAAATATAAAACTAAAACAAGAACATGTCATTCCATCCATGCACTACAAACATTTTACTGTATAGACAAAAACAGTCTGTTTTAACAATTTTAACATACATGCACATGCCTTGTGTAGTCTCTTTAGAAAGATTTTACTATGTAACTATTATTTGTGACAAATTTGTGACAATTCCTTTTATCAAAGATGTTGAGAAATGCACTTGAAAAATGCACAAAACTTTGATGCTAAAATAACTGGTTAAATCTTGCTTTTAAACAATATCTCAGAATGCAATTAAAGACAAAATAAAAATGTTTGAAAACACATACAGGTGTCAATAATCAAAAGGAATTGTCAAAATCATTTAATAATTCAAAAAAAACTATTTATGTTTAAATGGAGTGTTCACTTTTAAATTTAAGTATCAGGTTAACCAAGAAAATGCTTTATGTAACAATGAATCTGATTGGTGGAGGACAATCTACAGGAACCAAAATTAACCAATCAATACTATCATCCTTAACCTTAGTAAACAATAAATATAACCTTGACCAAATTAATATTCTGAAGAAAAAATGTTACTTACAGTAAGTATCATCTCGCTCTTATTACGTTTAAACAACAGTTGATGTGGTCTGCCATTAGCAAACTTCCCAGGTTTACCTACACCATCTAGGTAATAACAAAATTAATTGATTTATATATTTTCTTACAATCATGTACATTTAAGCAGTTTTCATATTATTGTTTTCTTCATTAGCATTCAATTTTTAACATATATTCTTACTGGGAGGGGAGTGTATAATCCACTCGATCTTCATTTTGAAGATCACCAAATTTGTACGGTAGACAAAAGAAATTACAAAACTAATTAACAGATTGCTATTATTCTATAGCATGGACTTAAATACCACTTATAACATACAAACTTGTTACACATAACTTTACAGGAAACCATCCAAGAAATGTCACACATGACAAGGAGTTAATTGTAATCCCGCAGATATTTTCACAAAAAAAAACTTACAACTTATCTTATGATTTTGACTTTAAGATAATTGTAAGTGAAATCTTATGTCATTTTCCCAAAACCAATCGCAAAGATGATTAATTGTAAAATTTCTCTTATGATAAAAAAAATTTCTTAAGATTTTTGGTGAAAATATCTGCAGGTCCCCAAAAACTGTTTTCAAATATTGCTAAGTTTGACTTGTACATTTTGCTAAGTATGACTTGTACATTTTGCTAAGTATGACTTGTACATTTTGCTAAGTATGACTTTTGGATTTTTCTTGGAGTTTGCTATTTTTGATGGAGAAATCAAAGAATTTCTCTTTACATAATGATAATTTATATATACCGTAAAATTCCTATTAAATGCCCCCGGGGGCTAAACATTTTCCAAAAGGGGGGCTATTATTACAACACGTTTTTCCTCAATCCAAAAATCATTGAAAATACATTTAGTGTAACATGGGTTGGTAATAACATTAAAATGTGTTAAGATTTTAAAGTTCATCATGTGATACATTTTTGTGTTTACTATGAAAAAAAATGGATTCTGAAGGATTTGAATAAGATTACAGATTTATTAAAGAGTTCACCACTCATGAGCAGATTTTTTTCCATATCGAAAAGCCTGGGGGCTTTTATTAGGGGAGGGGCGTTTATTAGGAATTTTACGGTAAATATAAATGCATAAATTAATGTAGCAAAACCAATTACATGTTTATCTTCACATAAAAAGAATACTTACGTATAGAGTATCCATGATTAGTGCTGAGATAAACCCCGTTTTTAGGGTCCAGATACACAACAATGAAGTCATGAGTCAAGTACCTAAAAAAACAGTATCTCTTATCAATCTAAATACTGTAAAACTAATTTATTCTTAAAGTATATTTAAAATTTACTAAAAATATTAGATATCTTTAACTAATAAATTAACTAATGTTTTCAATATACATGTATGATATTATTAATGGTATGATAATTATTCTTTTAATTCAAGAGACCATTTTTTTCAGCAATATTTAACTTTTCAAACTTTACACTTAATCTCCATATACTCACAATTTTACAGTATGCATTACAGAAAATACTATTACACGTAATCGACAATTAATTTTGTTTAAAGTAAAGATTTGACCAAAAAAAATAATAAAAACAAAATAATGCTGAAAAGTTGTCTAGTTCAGAGATATCCACCAAAGCTTTCTAAACTTTCCAATGTTAACATTCAATTCGCTATCACCAGGGGGAGCTTGGGGTTATATAGGATAAAATGGGAAATATCAGTCACATTTTTAATTATTTTGTATTTTTATCTTGAAATATTTAAATCATAAATAACAGTTTAAGAATAAAATCGAATATGTCACAGTTTTAAAATATTTTTAGATTAATAGATTTATCAAATATGTAAAACATAATTTCAGATATTCATCATTTACTTAAAACTCCAGGTGTTGCTGACACATCGGACACATCATTAGTTCATGAGTTCAGAATGAATTGCAAAATGTAGGTGTTGTTAACGTGATGTTAGTTAAAGGTGTTCCAAATTTACTGCAAATTGCTGGTGCCCAAAAGTCTTCACAACTTACAACTTACAGGTGTTTTTGCTAATTTCAGGTGTTCACAACCTATTGCTTTTTTCAGGTACTAATATTATACATTCAAAACTTTGTTGTGTTCACTTTAGAACAAACATTTTTGTCAAAAAAAATTCTACATAGTCATAACTGTTCAAAAGATTTATGAAATAGAAATTCTACTTATTTGATCAAAAATTCACCATTAAAAAGACAATATATTTACTGCACAAAAATTATTATATAAAAGTAAACTTCCTGTCATCATTTTGGTTTAGTGACATCATATCTGACTTCATATGATGTGATGTGTAAGCAGTCCTTTTTAATGCTGTATATATCATGTAATATTGCACTTGATTGATCTATTTGTTTGATAGGGGAGTAGCGTGAAGCGTGGTGGTGTTGGTGATGGTGGTAGTTTTCACTCCAGCAGTAAGCCACATTGAATTTACCGGAGTTCAATTCAGCAACCATATGGTTCCTTGGCAGGCTGTCAAGCAGTTTACCAGTACTACAGTTGCCTTCACTCTTGCAAACAAGAGGGCCATGATGGCCCCTGAGATCGCTCACCTGTATATAGGCCCCCCCACAACCCCAACCCCCCCCCCCCCCAACGTTGCAGGGCCAATAAGCTCTAGCTCATTGGGCTTTTTAAAAGAAGATTTTTTTTAAGTTTTTACTATACACATATAGTTAAAAACAATGACACCCCTTGGGCCAGGCCATTTTTGACCCCAGGGCTTTTATTTGAACAAACTTTGTAGACACTTACTAGAAGATGTTTCATGCTTAATATCTAAACTCTAGCTATTTGGGTTTTTTCAAAGAAGATTTTAAGTTTTTGCTATACACATATAAAGAAAATCAATGACCCTTGGGGCGGGGCCAATTTTGACCCCAGGGCTTTTAATTGAACAAACTTGGTAGACACCTATAAGAACATGTTTGATGCTCAATATCTTAGCCATAGCTCTTTGAGTTCTTTAAAAAAAGATTTTTTAAGTTTTTGCTATACATATATAAGGAAAATCAATGACCCCTGGGGCGGGGCCAATTTTGACCCCAGGGCTTTTATTTGAACAAAATTGGTAGACACCCATTAGAACATGTTTGATGCTAAATATCTTAGCCATAGCTCTTTGAGTTCTTTAAAAGAAGATTTTTTAAGTTTTTACTATATGCATATAGGGAAAATCAATGACGCCCGGGGCAGGGCCAATTTTGACCCCAGGGCTTTTATTTGAACAAACTTGGTAGACACTTATTAGAACATGTTTCATGCTAAATATCTTAGCTCTAACTCTTTGGTTCTTTAAAAGAAGATTTTCTAAGTTTTTTACTATATGCATATAGGGAAAATCAATGACCCCCCGGGGCGGGGCAATTTTGACCCCAGGGCTTTTATTTGAACAAACTTGGTAGACACCCATTAGAACATGTTTCATGCTAAATATCTTAGCTCTAGCTCTTTGGGTTCTTTAAAAGAAGATTTTTTAAGTTTTTACTATATGCATATAGGGAAAATCAATGACCCCCCGGGGCGGGGCCAATTTTGACCCCAGGGCTTTTATTTGAACAAACTTGGTAGACACTCACTAGAAGATGTTTCATGCCAAATATCTAAGCTCTAGCTCTTATGGTTTTTTAAAAGAAGATATTTAAAGTTTTTTCTTTCGGTTGCCATGGCAACCAGAGTTCTGCATGGAATTAAATTCTTTGAACAATTTTTAAAGGTGACCACCAAAGGAACATTCCTGTGAAGTTTGGATGAAATTGGCTTAGTGGTTTATGAGGAGATGTCATTTAAAGTAAAAGTTTACGGACGACGGACGGACGGACGGACGACGGACGGACGGACGCCGGACGAAAAGCGATCACAAAAGCTCACCCTGTCACTTTGTGACAGGTGAGCTAAAAACTACATTCCAGAGCAAAGGTACGGTGTAAATAACCGTAAAAAAGATTTCATGATCAATTACAACGAAAGTGACCTGTACCATCCAGAAATCAAACCCGGGTTGCCCGATTCGCAGTCCATTGCTCTACCTATTGAGCGAACCAGACAGCACATAGTGTGAAGCGTGTTTTAATGGAAGCTTAAGCATGACATTGTTTGCAGTCATCCAAATAGGAAAGCCTATGAGTATACCTTCAGCAATTCAATAAAATAGGATGGACACAGTTTTGTCTGAAAAACGTTTCATCCCGAAATAGTATGATATAAACAATCTAAATATCTAATTTTTAGTATCATGATAACCCTGAATAGGTTCTGTAGATACTGATGATGGGATCTGGCAGGAATTCCATGGCTCGAACCTTTGGACTTAATTAAACTGCCAGCGAGACTTAAAGTTGTGAATCCAAAATTTGGTTTCTGTTAGTCATCACAATGAGAAAACCACGTGGAGGAGAAAAAAAAGCTTTTGAGTGAACATGAATTTTTTTTTTGATAGAAAGACAGGTGCATTATCAGTGACAATAGTTAACTTTTAATTTTTGATATCAATTAATTACTGGAAGATTTTAGTATCATCAGGGTAGATTTATTTCCCATTTTATCATACATATGGAGAGTATTATTAAACAAACTGGCAATTTACTTTTAATTTAAAAGATATTTCAAACAAGATCTGAATTAACTATTCCTCAGTTACTATAACAACTTCCTACACTTATTTGTTTAAAATGAGACTTAAATACTACTTTACTAATGTGACTGGCTTATACTTTTCATGCTTGAGCAAAATTTTAAAAATGTATATTTACATATAAAAAACAACTTTAAACATTTTCAAGTAAACTTTAAGCAAATACCAAAATATCATTTTAAGGCAGCCTTTTTTGTAAAGCGACAAATATTTTGTTAAACAGTTACATGCTATTATCATGTTCAAGTAAGAATTAATAGCTTTATTGACAATCGGCAAAGATGCAGGCGTAAAAAAAAAGTAGTTCCGCAGAAAAAGAGGACAACAGAGGAGTTCAGATCAAGTTGTTTATAATCTTACCGATTTCGACTTTAAAATAACAAGAGCGATCAGTAATCACATGTGTCGCCTCATGAAGGCAAATTTCATGTTGGGACAAATTTTGTGACAGACAGACAGACAGACGGACAGTGCACAACTAGACTTGGTACTGATCATTCCTGTAAAGTTTGGATAAAATTGCACCAGTAGTTTATGAGTAGTAGTCCGGACAAGCTTTTGCGTATCTGGCAACACACAGAAAAAAAACACATTTTTAGCAAAGGGCCATTACTCGGCCAAAAATCATTCAACCGGAAAACCCGTGCAATATGCGCAAGGACTTGAGCTACAGATCAATCCTGTAAAGTTTCATTGAAATTGCATGAGTGGTATAAGAGAAGTAGTCCGGACAAACTTTAAAATTAAAAATTATTAAAGGGCCATAACTCTGACAAAAATCATTGAACCGGAAAATGCTGACAATATGCACAACTAGACTTGGTACTGATCATTCCTGTAAAGTTTGGATGGAATTGCACCAGTAGTTTATGAGAAGTAGTCCGGACAAGCTTTTGTGTATCTGGCAACACACAGAAAAAGAAACCTTTTTATCAAAGGGCCATAACTCGGCCAAAAATCATTCAACCGGAAAACCCGTGCAATATGCGCAAGGACTTGAGCTACAGATCAATCCTGTAAAGTTTCATTGAAATTGCATTAGTGGTATAAGAGAAGTAGTCCGGACAAACTTTAAAATTAAAATTATTAAAGGGCCATAACTCTGACAAAAATCATTGAACCGGAAAATGCTGACAATATGCACAACTAGACTTGGTACTGATCATTCCTGTAAAAATTTGGATGAAATTGCACCAGTAGTTTATGAGGAGTAGTCCGGACAAGTTTTGTGACGGACGCACGGACAGACAGACAGACAGACAGACAGACAGACAGACGGACAGACAGACGACGGAGAAGTGATCCCTATATGTCGCCACTACTCCGTAGAGGCGACACAAAAATCAATATTATACGCAAATTAGTACAGGATAAAGATGTATAGCAATAAAATATATATCTAAAACATAAATAAACTGTACAGCAGCACACCATAATAGTAATTAATAATTATATGGCAAATATTATGTTTTCTTGAAAATGGCTATATTTTTATTTTTATGGAAAAGCAATTTATAGTACTACAACAATTCCATTTCTGGCATAATAAAGTATTTAAAGTAATAAACTTTACCAACTATATATGCAGTAAAACAAATCTTCATCAAAGTCTACTAAATCAAATTAATGCTTTGAAAATTTTAGGTGAAAATTTTTGGTGTTCAGGTATTTAATTTCAAAATGATGTATTTCCACCTATACTATGAAGTGGACAGATTTGATTTTCCATAACTTTGAAGTCTTAAACAAACATTTTAACAAACCAATCATCCAAAATAGCTTTTTTGATTATTTTCCATTATGAGGTCAAAGTTCAAAATTTTCAGGGGCAGATAAATACAGATGTGCTGATGTACCTTCCAAATGAATGCAGGGAAAAGGGATTGTTTCAATAAAATAAAAGTTACGCATATCTGCACACTATATAGTATGTAAAAGATAACTCATGTAATTATAACTAAAATTGTTAAACTAAAACAACTTAAATCATAATATAACAAGCATTTGATAGTATTGCGGGCAATACAGTAGTCCCCTACCGGTCCCTCAAAAAGTTCTTTAATTGTCATACACTCCTGTGTATTGCCATTTATAATGAATTTGAGGATGAAGTCTGTATTTGAAAATATCGACCACAAAACATAATTAAATAAGTTTGTCTATATCACAGTAATGTGTTAAGTTTCCATGCTTAGTAAGGAAATTATGTTTATACAACCTTGTCATATTATTACGATGTGGGATTTTAAAGTAAATCCTATAAGGAATGAAGAAGTTGGAGTGAAAATACCTAAGTTTCTCGAAAAAAATCTAAGTTCAAGGGGGACATAATTCTGGAAATAGTCTTGCTAGAGTATTTAACCTTCTCAAAAATGTCAAGTGATAATAAGAAACATATATATGAAGTTTGAAGTAGATACATTAGGAAATAAAGAAGTTATTTAAAAAAGACAACATTTTTTCCCCTAAAAAATCTAAGTTCAAGGGAGGTAATACTGATATTTTTTGTGCTAGAGTTATAAACCTTGTCACATATGATGTGGTTGATGACCAGAAACTTATATTTAAAGTTTGAAGTAAACACCTTAAGAAATAGAGAACATATAGTGAAAAAGCTGAAAAATTTAAATCAGAAATCTTGAAATTCAGGCTATTTGTTGCCATAGCAACCAGAATTTTCAACATAGGAAGAAAATAAAAAGATGTGCATAATCTCCAGACTGCCATCTACCCATATTTCAAGTTTCATAAAAATATTTTCAGTACTTTTTGAGTTATCACTGGATCCAGTTTATGTGTTAAATTTGCCATATTTTCAGACTATTTGTTGCCATAGCAACCAGAATTTTCAACATAGGAAGAAAAAAAAAAGACGTGCATAATCTCCATACTGCCATCTATCCATATATCAAGTTTCATAAAAATATTTTCAGTACTTTTTGCGTTATCGCGGGATCCAGTTTTGTGGACGGACGGACTGACAGACGGACAGACAGACGGACAGACGGACGGAGGGTAAACCTAAAGTCCCCTCCGGTTAAACCGGTAGGGGACTAAAAATTCTATGTAGACATTAGCACTTTTTTGTTGTTTAAAAAATGAACAACTTAGAATAAGATGAATTATCTCCTATGATCATTCACTTTCCCTTTGCTGGAAGAGCTGCAGTAAAACTTTCCTGGAAAATCTATAGTTTAAAGTCCCTAATAAAAACCTATGGCCTGCTGACAGCAATTTAAAATACCAATTGTCACCTTAGTGCAGTAACCAGTTAACTCTAACTAAATAATATAAAGAGTTAACCAGTTACTGCACTATACCCTAGATGACGCAATGTGATTAGTGCAGACCAAGATCACCTGCTAGCATAACTGTGGATACATTAAAATTTCCCTTAAAATGCTGTCCAGATTGAATGATGGACAAATCCATTAACAATTTTTAGCCTGGTAAGGGATAATATTGAAGATCCCCATTTCTTGCCAGTTTATAAATAGCCCATAATACAATGTATGGTAGTGGTTTTGATTGTTTACCCTCTGAATCACAGGAGTTAACCACTTTGAATTTACCAGAGCATAATTCAGCCATTGCACGATTCATGGACAGACTGTCAAGCAATAAACCAGTACTAGATGCCTTCACATTCGTAGCTTCTGTACATGCCAAAGCAGAGATACAGTATGAATGACCTTAGAAAGAACTGCATGATCAATTACAATGAAATGGTTGCCAGATTCATAGTTCAAAGCTATACCTACATGTATAGTGAGCTAACCGTATGGCTAAAGACAATATGCACTGTATATTGATTAAAATTTATTATTTTTCATTATTTATATACCATAGTTTTTATGGTGTGCTAATATCTTCAAAGAATTTTTTATGTTATATTATTCTTCATTGTGGAAAGGTTGGGGTCTAAGACTAAGGTCTAATTTCAAACATTGTATAAATCATAATAATTAACAACCACTATAATCAAATAAAATGAACTCAACATTAATATTGAAAGAACAAAATATATACATGTAAGTGAATTTAAATATTGCAAAAAAAAAGAACTTAATACAGCCACAGATTATTATAGTAAATTAAAAATTACCTTTCACTAAAAATAAAAACGAGGAGCATTTTTTCGGTAGTTCCTTCAGGGACCTGAAATATAAGCTCTAATCTCTCGGTCCTGGTCTCTATGGCTGCCTTGGGAGGATCATACTTGTACTGCAGGATTGAATCACCTTGGAAATAACCGGATGCCTCTATAATGTATACAAAATACAAAATCTGTTTTATTAAATAGAGGATATTGAATGAGTGTAAGTTCAATACTGAATCTATTAAACAAGTTGAATAAAATTATATTATGCCAGCCTTTGGCAAGTTTAGTAAATTCAGAAATGAACCTACACAAATGTAATATTCTATTTACCACTTACTCAAAATAAAGACTGTTTAAAGTTAAAAAGACTCATTTTTGTTTTTCATTGCTGCGCCTATAAAGTGTAATGCTAACATGTAGCCCATCTTTACACTATGTTGGTATAACACAAATGACGTCACATCAAAATATATGCACAACTGTGCAATACCATATTTATGGAGTTGCAAAAGCTGCATGGGTATGTGATAAGTATAAATAAACCATTTTAAACAATTTCATTACATGTATTATAAACAAGGTAAAGGAATGTCACATGTAATTAACATTCAATAATTTTAATCTTGTATTTACTTTCTTGACCTTTGAATGTACTAGATGGTAATGACTTGCTAATAGTCTGGTCACATTGAAATCTGAGACTATGATACCATAATAACAAACAATAATACTTATGTTAGATCAAAACTGTAAGCAGGACAATTCCACTATACACATTCAGCAAGGTAAGGGTTTAGGGTTTCCTTTTTTTTTTACAGAAATTTTCATACTAAGCTTTCTTTACGAATATTCTTTAAATTAAAAGTTTCTGACCAAAAAGTTTACTTTTACTTATTATATTTACCTGTACACTTACTTAAATTTGATACAAAACATTAAGACATTATTTTCTAGACATATGTCATTTCTACCTGTATTACAAGTTGGTCCAGCATATTCACTGAAAGTACAGTCACATTCAAACTGTTTATTCTGCCAACGTTCTTCACAAATACCGCCATGATGGCATGGTGCTGTTTCACAACCATCTTCACATAATGGTGATACAGCTGTAATCAAAACAACATTCTTTGTTAAAACTTTTAATCAAACAAACCACTAAAACAAATCTTATTAAAAATTGTATCTAATTCAATGTTATATCTTGTGCCATTGAAAATTGTAATGATTTATTATTTCATTTATCTTGCAAAAAAAAAAACATTACTATAATCTTTGAAAGCACGAGGGTCCATAATACCATATAGCCACACTTCTACCTAACTACTTCAAACCCCACAACTGGTCCAATACCTCTGGCTTCAAGATGAATATCTTTAAACTCAGCCAGGCCCTATAAACTAGCCCAATATCTCTACCTACTTCAATATGTTTATCCTATACCTTTATTTCTTTATCGATTAATATTTATTTTCATCAATTTCTTCTGTAACATACCATTCTACTCTATTCTTCTCTTTTTGCAATTTAATAGATTAATAAATGTATATTTACTTATGTTTTTGAGAGCAGCCTCTTGCAGTTCAAACATAGTTTCTCCAATCTTGAGACCCCGTATACAGCCATTGATTGTAGGATATGTGGACATATCTCCTGGCACCCCACCCACATATACATGTATACCTTCAGGTGGTTGTTCAGCTGGTCTATCTGGCTTTACCATCTCTTCTTCTAAATATAGAATCTTAGTGTATATAAACTGATAGACATGTATCTATCAATAAATGTAAGTATTTCAATGTCTCAGTAACATGAAGAAGACATGAAATCTGTTTCTCATCATCACAAGTTAATTTTTTCTGTTAGTTTTTATTCCTCATTAGGTATGCTCAGTATAGAGAGAATAAAGTAAACAAACATCAGTTGTGCAAGCTTCAATTCAGGAAGCGGCAAATAACCTGGTCAGGGGCAAGTCATTGTTTCCCTGAGCAAGAAACTTCAGACTCTTTGCTTAGTACTGGTTGATTCCAGGAACATATTTTAGAGTGATTCAATAAGCTTATAGCTTTCAACACAATCAAAGTATAATCTAAACCCGTTACTTAAAGTTAATGTGTTTGACACAGTTTTCTCTATGGCTTATTAAAATGAATTATGCTTAGTAAGTTGTAGAAAAACAAAGTATTGTTAAGAAATACTTGCTGGGTAAACTACCTCTTATTGTACAATACTGAAATACTGGCATAAACTGTCAATAAGCCAAAATGAAAAGAAAAAACAATAATGATAAATCAAAATGAACGAACCACTGAATGGATTCTGTTGGTATGTTTGAAGGCTGAGTTTCTTGTAGGAGTTACGAGATGGTTCATTATCCTCATCAACAATCACCTTGATGTAACCATCAGCATTATCAATAACTATCTGATTCCATTCACCATCATCTAAATTCTCTGAAAACATATTACAATATTTATCATCATAAAGTTACAAACAAAAGTTTTTTGCTGGTGAAAAATACTTTCAAATTGACCTTTAAAAGATCATATTCCAGGTATCAGTAAATCCAGTCTTTCAAGTCTACCTTAGACAGGAGATGGGTGTCACAATACAAAATATCCTACATAATGAATGAAGGACAAAGAGGAAATAAGGAATTGAGAAAGCTTAGAAATATTTCTATTAAATGAAATTACTGTATATCAGGTTTTTTCGAAAGTATCTAATTTTCACTATATTTGTGTGCAATATTATCTTGAAAAATAAATTTGCTAAATTTTTCCTCAATTTAATACAGGTATTTCGTGGGTTTCTGGAACTTTATTTTCTGCTTGTTGAATAATGGCTACTGATTTATATTTGTAAGGAATAACTAAAGGGTTAAACGCTTCTTACCAACAAAGGAGGGAATTTAATTTTCAACCCAGATTTTGTGGATGCAAACTCCTGGAGGGATATTTTTTTTTAATACCATAACTTTTTATAATTAGAACGTTAAATGAAAAACTATTCATTACTCGGAAAGTGGAAACTTGTTCTGAGGAAACTTAGGCCGAGAAACTACACCATCTGTATGCATCCCTTCCAGGAGTTATATATGAAACAAAATTGTTTATGTTAAAGGTTTGATGGTATTGACATATAGATGGACTGGTACCTGTCATAGTGCGAGTTTGACTAAGGACTGCACTATATCTGTTAAACTTGGCTATAACCTTCTTCCCTTCAGACAATTCTACTTGCAGGAAGTTGTTTAGGTGATCATGTATATACAGCAGAAGACAGTTTTTCATAAATGTTCGGAAACTAAATATGATGGTAGAGTCAAGTAACTGGCTGTATATTGCTTGTGTAAAATAAAGGTACGACTCTGGACGTCCCAGAAATGTTACAGCATCCATATTGATATCTGAAATATGGTAAAAAAATAATATTATGGTTATTCATGGATTCAAGGTAAAATAGAGTCAAAGTCTGTTATGTAATGTCACAGTATGTTATGATTCAAGGTCATTGACAGTTAGGGTTCAAGGTCACTGACAGTTGTGGTTCAAGGTCATTATATTATGATTCAAGACTCATAGACAAAATATCAGTCACTCTCAAAGCTGGTTATAATAAAAACTGAGTTATAATTTCAAGTACACTTTAAAAAGTTATTTTATAAATATACTACATGTAAATTACTTCAGATTGATGTCATATGCATTGTGAATTCATGTATTATAATTATAATAAGCACAAGTGTACTACATGTACGGCTAAAATTTCTAATTGCATTTCCTTTTATAATTTTTATTTTCGTATTAAAGAATTGTCAATGAAATATTGCAAATATTAGTAGATCCATAGCTGATACTTTACAAGTTTTATACAACTTACCTTTATCACAGTTAGGACCGGAGTGTGCCCAGTCATTGACACAGATACACTGGTATGAACTCCATTTCTCAACACATTTAGCTCCGTTCTTACATGGGTTAGGCCAGCAACTTGCCATACACTCTTCTGATACATCCACAGTCCTGAATCATTGAAGAGATTTTTATCATTTTTACTGCTTTTGAATTTTTTACTCTATTATTTTTGCAGGATCTTAAGTAAATATAGTTATACATGTACCAGTATAATCATGTACATGAACATTTTTTATCTGTACCAACTTCAATAAATATAACATGAACTGTATCTTTTTTAAAATATTTGTTTATCAAGTGATATACATGTATACATTGTATAATGTAAATGCCTATCTGCATGGCTTAAGAATAGATCTTTAAACATTTTTTTTCAAGAAACTTTAAATCAAAAACAGCATAAATCAAATGATTAATTAAATTGGTTATTAAATATCAGTATCTATAAATATTTTAAAAAAAATATCATAGATTTTTAGATAACTTACGTAGAGTCTATGAGGTCAGTAAGTGCATATGCTTTGTAGTTATAGTACAGCCCTCTCATACATCCCACAATGCCTTGTACGTCTGCTAGTATCTCATCCCTCTCAAAACTACAAACCATAGGAAAAAATTAACATTTGAACACAATCATACAACTACTGAAGCCATATAAACAAAATCTGCAGAATTACAAGTGTGATTATGTAAGGGAGTTATATTTCCATTATAACCTTTTGGCAGGGCAGTAAAATTAGTATAATTGTGTGGAATTTTTAATTTAACAAGAGCTGTCTGTAGGACAGCACGCTCGACTATTCTAAGTGCTTGATAGTAAAAGAGCCTTGATATTGTTAAATTTTTTAAGTTCACAAAAGGGCTAATTTTTTTTTATAAATTCATGTTATAGGCCTTAGAGAGAGTCTAATTATACAGAATTGGCTTGACTATTAGGAAGGTAATGTCACAAGGGTTTTTTATTGAGTATAATAATACTTATTACCTATGAATACATAAATTTGACAGAAAAGGTACAAAGGCTTGTTATTAAGATGTTTTATCAAGTAAATCACTACTTTATTATTATGAATGCATAAAATTGTCCCAAAAAAGGCACAAACCCTTCAGTAGTTATTGAGATAACAGCTTACAAGCAAAACTTTACCATGAATTTCTAAGTTGAAAAAGGGGAGAAAAGTCAGCCTAAATGCAAGATAGAATTATGGATCTTTGTCAGTGACCTACAATTGCGACCCTAAATGCATATGTGAAGTTTTAAATAAATATCTTTAATAGTTATTGAGATATATAAAACTTGCATGTAAACATTAACCAAGAAACTAAGTAGAAAAGGGGATATGAATCAGCCTTAATGCAAGATAGAGTTATGGAACTTGGTCAGTGACATACAATTATGACCCTCCAATTATGACCCTAAGTGCATGTGTAAAGTTTCAAGTAAATATATTTGAAGACCGTTAACCTTTAACCAAAATTTCTAAGTTTCAAAGGGGCAAATAATTCTGCAAATATTGCAGACAGAGTTATGCAATTTTGCAAACTGATGTACATTGTTACTATAAATAAGTATTTTAAATTTCAATTGATTATCTCAAGCAATAATTGAGATATTTGACTTTACAAAAAACTTTAACCAAAATTTCTAAGTTCCAAAGGGGCATAATTCTGTCAATATGGTAGGCAGAGTTATCCAACTTGTCAATCTGATGTACATTGTTACTATAAATAAGTATTGTAAGTTTCAATTGAATATCTCAAGCAATAATTGAGATATTTGACTTTACAAAAAACTTTAACCAAAATTTCTAAGTTAAAAAGGGGCATAATTCTGTCAATATTGTAGGCAGAGTTATCCAACTTGTCAATCTGATGTACCTTGTTACTATAAATAAGTATTGTAAGTTTCAATTGAATATCTCAAGTAATAATTGAGATATTTGACTTTACAAAAAACTTTAACCAACACAGACGCCGACGCGGACGCCGGGGCGACTACAATAGCTCTCATATTCTTCGAATAGTCGAGCTAAAAAAGGGACATATTTCTGACAAAATCCATTTTTTGAATTATAGGCCTTGAACAGTGATCTCCTATTATGCTCTCAAACAAATGTGTGGAGTTTCAACCAATTCCCTTTGGTTGTTCTTGAGATACTGTCTTGCAAGCAAAAACAAGTGTGATACTGAACACATGGCTGAGTATTCTTCAAAAAGTTGAGCTAAAAAGACATTTCTTGTTTTGGTTGAAAATACTTCATGTAGTTTTGTGGTATAATATTAACTAACAAGAAAGTAACTTCTGATTTTTAACAAAGAAAAGATTTTCCTGCATTAGATATAGGTACAAACAATATAAACATTCACCAAAGTATAAAGTGAATAAGGACAAACCTTTCAGGTACTCCTCCAATATACAGTATACCAGAGAACAGCGTCACCTTCGGAACATCCTCCGGAATGTCGAGAATTTTCTCATTCATGTCAAGCATACATCTGACATTATACTGGTCTGTATCTATGGAAACCTGGTGCCACTCCCCATTACTAACTGGCTCCTGGCTGGTTATATCAATGTCGAGCATCTTTAAACCCCAGCGGAAGTAAAACTTCACTGTATATTCTGTGGAGACATTATAATACAATCATATCAAAATATTTTAGAAACTTTAATTACACATGATTATTAATTACATCTTAGGCAAGGGATTTGTAAACAAGGGGTTACTGGTTTCAGAGTCAGACAAATGGTCATTTGTCTCTCACTATTGATTTATAAATCATGTTGGAATTAGTAGTCAATTTCCTTGAAATTAATAATATAACTACAGAAATTGGAAAGCCTGTTACGTGACCAGACTGCCAGGATGAAAATCCAAATAAACCAACAATCAATTTTACCAAATAAAACAGTTTGACTTATCTTTATTATAAAATCTCATGTAAAAATCAGATGCAATAAAATAATATAATTTTCTAAAGAATTTGACAATGAAAAATGAAATATGCTTCTTATAAATATTTCATATTTTGGATATAGCACAGTTCATATTACAAGGAAAAAATAAAGCAATTAGATTAATTAAATGGAAATATACAACTATGCTGAAATATTCATAGGGAGTGATTATGGATTAATCAATATTACAAAAAATCAAAAAAAAAATCAATAAGTAACTGAATGAACTTGATTTTTATTACACTGTGAGTCAGAAAAGCAACTTAAAATTGTATTTTTAATTAAATGATGTACCTTACAATATAATTCCTGTTTAATATAACATACAATTGTTATAAACAAATAGTTACATAAAAATCTACTTTTATTAATTAGTTTACAGTGGAACTTTCATATCAGGATTTATATACTCTTCACATGATCTAAGAACAACAATATAAACAAACATTTATTTCGAGGTAATGTCTGGATGTTATTTAGTTTTGTTAGATGCTGAATGTGTATCAAACAAGATCAAGATGAAAATTTTTCTATCAAAACTTTAATCCTTTAATGAACAAAGTATTCCAAGTATTATGTGAACATATTTGGTAGTTTTTGAGAAACGTACCTTAGAAAGTATTGACCAATAGAGATTATAAATTGAGGAAAAAAATTAATAAGATTTATGGGATAGAAAAACCAATTAATTTAACATTGTCCTCTCTTTAGATCAAATATTAACATATTCGAAATTAACCAACCTGAAGTAACAGCTACAAAGAAGTAATTGATGTTATCTTCAGTTCCAGCCTGGTACAATATAATAGCCGTGTCATGATGTGTCCGGAAACTTACACGTATGTCACCAGATCTCCATGCTTGACTGAGTAGATAGCCAGTCCCACTTGCAAATGTCACAGCTTTAGATGGTAGCTGATTGGCTAAACAAAACAAGTAAACAAGTGAGCCGCGTCATGACAAAACCAACATAGTGCGTTTGCGACCAGCATGGATCCAGATCAGCCTGCGCATCCGTGCAGTCTGATCAGGATCCATGCTGTTCGCTTACAACTCTATAACAAGTAGAGAAACTGATAGCGAACAGCATGGATCCTGATCAGACTGCACGGATGTGCAGGCTGCTCTGGATCCATGCTGGTCGCAAACCCATTATGTTGGTTTTGTCGTGACACGGCTCAAGTGTACTTTACATTTACAATACTATCCTGTGTATCTAATTTGAGTGAAAATCTTAATCATCAATCACAAGAAATTAATCATCATTCTCAAAACATCAAAGGTGAATTGATTGATTTGGTCATTAGATCAGGTATTTAATGAAACTGTGATTACTGAACATTATATATTATTGAGATATTAATTCATGGACTAATGCATATTTTTCTACATTTGTATTCTAATGTTATTTGTTACATTTTTATTTCTCTTTTTAAAACTTGAGAATTCTTGCTATTGACTTTGTAAAGGTGTTCTTGTTCTGCATGTGGACCATTATGGAACACTGATAATGACAAAATACATTATTGATAAAAGAGATGTAATTATTATTGTTATTGTTGTTGTAATTACATATAATCTAAAATTCTAAAATGTATAAATAATAAATCTCGAGTAATTTTGATAATGGTCTGAAAAAAGGACAGCTTAGTAACATTTTAAAACTACTGTAAACAGCACTATAGTGAAGATAATTACTACCATAAAATCTGACTATATTATATATATTGAATTTTTTCTGAAGAAGACTAAACATCGAAAGCTTAAGAAAAGCGTTTGTTTTTATTGAACTGATTATATATATTATATACAGACAAGCAAATAAAGAGGTGAATAAACTTTAAATTTCTTGCATGTTTCCTTTGATGTTTTACATCAAAGCAATTGATTAATATATTTGTATTAAGGATTATATGTTTATTAGTATTTACATCAAAAGAATATCTGCTTCTATGGTTATACATAAACCAAAAACTAAAATCCAGACTTTTCAGTAACTTTTATATTAATAAGATTATTCTGACATATTTCTTAAAAGATAAAATCAATCTCAGTTTCTATAGTAAAAACTGAACGTTTAAATTTCATGCCTTACTTTTCATTAAAACCAACATAATAGTTTAAGCTAATTTGTCCATAAAGAGTAATAATTACAACACTCCATGAGTTATTAATCTATCCTTCTAACATTTTCAATCTTTTTATGTCAGGAATCTACGCAGGTTTAAGAGTTCCCAGTCATAAATCCTTGCGATTCTCCTCAACCAGTAAAGACAGTTTGTTCGGTTTAAAGGTGCACCAAAACAATTTAGGTCATAATTATGACACCAAAACAGGGAAGATGATTTTGGATAACCTCAGATGTTACAAACTTAATGCAACACCAGGGTTCAAAACCATCTTACCTGCCGATGCTAAGAGATGCATAGTCTCCAGTAATTTGAACCCATTTAGTCGCCTCTTATGATAATACAGGGATAAATGGTGGTTGCAATTCTGATGCCTAAACCCTTAATGGCAACCGCTCAGTGACAGGTAGTAGCAAAGACAGAAAGTTCTGTTTACAGTGTCTAAGTAAATGAAAGCCAAGCAAACAACCAACAACGTAATAATAAAATGTTTTTTCAGTAGATGTATTTGATAGCTTACTCACTGTTCCCCCAGCAGATGAGAGGTCCTAGAGTCATGTTTCCTGTACCAGGTGTCAGTGGATCATCATCCTGTTTTATTGTCATCTCTATTATAGGTAATTGTCTTCTTACAGTGTTTGTACCTTCATCAAACTGTACTATCATTGTTTCTATAATACAATTATGTAAAACATTATATTACATAAAACATACATGAGTCATGATTCAAGAAATAATACCTCAGAGCCTTTAAGGGCTTTTTATCAGTCACCTGTATGCAATCTCATTAAAATCAGACCATCATTTTCCCACTGTTACTCCACTGTTACTCCATGCTACATACAAAGCTACCTACCAAGTGAATGGTAGTGGAGCTTTAGTTAGGATATGATTTTAATGAAATTGACCATTTTGAAGTCTGCAACTTCTCTTATCTCATGTTTGAGTGAGAGTAACTTTATGAGATAAGAAGTAAAGTTAATTTTCAGCAAACCATGTGAGCCATGTGGACCGATATTTTGACCTGGAAGCAATGATTATAAGAATAAACTACATGGTGAAACAAGTCAAATATCTAAAATCAAGATGTTTTAGATTTTAAGAAGATTTGTTTGTTTTTTATTATAACCCTATGCAAAACAAGTGACCCACAGGGAAGAGTAAATTTAAACCACATGATCATGTCTTGAAAAAGCTTGGTAGAAATCACAGGGCAAATATTTTATCTTTAACCTACCTGTTCATGAGTTTTTCCAAGAGATTTCTATTTTTCCAATAAAAGTCAATCATTTTATAAAACAATCATTTTGTGTTGGGTATGCTAAAAATAACTTTTCTGAATAGAGTACATTTCACAAAAGTACATACTGTTATCACAATTACAGCGGTCAGCCCCGGCACAGTTATTGGTCAGTGAGCAGGAGCAGTGTCCTGGATTATTGGTACCTAGATATTCTACCATCTCACCATTAGCAGCTGTAAACCAGGTATCAATTCCCAGTCTGAAATAAAAGTATACAATAGGGAACACCTCACTAATTAAAGATGGTTATTAACAACATTTTACTTGGGAAAAATAAGAATTTATAGAGATTGGGAATGGATTACTTTAGAAATGCTAAGTTACTTTACTTCAGTGTTGTTATATTTTTCTGGTCCTTCAGGATCACTGATTGCAGCACTTTTAAGTACCGCTAAAGCCAGTGCTAGGGTGCATGAAGGATGTTCACTATTTCATTACTCCTCAATCAAAAAGATTCTGCAATTTTTATGTACTTTTTGTTGTGATTAATGTTTCCGATGGATAATCCAGATTTTTTTACCTGAGAGGAGAGTACTGGCAGTCATATCTAATGTGCTGTTCACACCATGCTGATTCTGTAACAAGTCTCATTAAATGTTCCCTTTTCATTTCCCTGAAATAAACAGTATCATAACAATTACATCTATGTCAAAAAGAATGGTCAGACACATTGAAGTCACCTGAGGGACAATAAAATGTCTTCAATGTAATAATTATCTAGGAAGAAGCTAACATGCCTTTTTTCATATAATGATAATGCTTTCTTTCACATCTGTTTCTCAAATTTCTAAATCACATATTATGCACTATTTGAGAATTTTGCCATTATATATTTAAAAAGTTTGATGGTTTAATTAAAAGATAACAAGCAATTATCATACTATTGCAAGCAATCCATAAGTCCCCTACCGGTTAGAACCCTATCAACATTCTGAAGGGCCATTGGCCATTCAATAATGTTTCAATTTTTCTCTATTTTAAAAAAAAATTGTTGGAAAAGTTCTTTAAAAGTGATCACAGGATACAGTTTTTATGAACAGACAGACAGACGGACTGAAAGACACTCTAAAGTTAATATTTGAAACATCCCTGTTACCAAAATATACCATTTTAAAAGCAAAATTCTTAAAGAATTTAATGCTCTTGAATTAAAGATGCAATTTCATAAAAATGTTCAGCTCTTTTTGACTAATCACAAATATTGTTATATTTGCCATGTTTTAAGCCTATTTGTTGCCAAGGCAACTGATATTTTTTCAAAATAGGAAGAACAGATAAGGCATGCATAATCTCAAGACTGCTATCTACCCATATGTCAAGTTTCATAAAAAATATTTCCAGTACTTTTTGAGTTATCACTGGATTCAGTTTATGTGTAAAATTTGCCATATTTTCAGTCTATGTGTTGCCATAGCAACCAGAATTTTCAACATAGGAAGAAAAGAAAAAAACGTGCATAATTTCAAGACTGCCATCTACCTATATGTCAAGTTTCATAAAAATATTTCCAGTACTTTTTGCGTTATCACTGTATCCAGTTTATGTGTAAAATTTGCCATATTTTCAGCCTATTTGTTGCCATAGCAACCAGAATTTTCAACATAGGAAGAAAAGAAAAAGACGTGCATAATCTCAAGACTGCCATCTACCCATATGTTAAGTTTCATAAAAATATTTCCAGTACTTTTTGCGTTATCACTGGATCCAGTTTATGTGTAAAATTTGCCATATTTTCAGCCTATTTGTTGCCATAGCAACCAGAATTTTCAACATAGGAAGAAAAGAAAAAGACGTGCATAATCTCCATACTGCCATCTATCCATATACCAAGTTTCATAAAAATATTTTCAGTACTTTTCAAGTTATCGCGGGATCCAGTTTTGTGGACGGACGGACTGACGGACTGACAGACAGACAGACGGACGGACAGACGGACGGAGGGTAAACCTAAAGTCCCCTCCGGTAAACCGGTATTTATGTGTAAAATTTGCCATATTTTCAGCCTATTTGTTGCCATAGCAACCAGAATTTTCAACATAGGAAGAAAAGAAAAAGACGTGCATAATCTCCATACTGCCATCTATCCATATACCAAGTTTCATAAAAATATTTTCAGTACTTTTCAAGTTATCGCGGGATCCAGTTTTGTGGACGGACGGACTGACGGACTGACAGACGGACAGACGGACGGACAGACGGACAGACGGACGGAGGGTAAACCTAAAGTCCCCTCCGGTAAACCGGTAGGGGACTAACAAGGAAATATAATGCTTTTGATCTACAAACCTGTATTCAATATATTTCTTCATATCTCTCATCATTTTCCCTCTAACTGTTGTATTTGGTTGAAAATTATGCTCCACAACTGTTTTCCCGAAGAAGTCATAATTTTTCTCGAATCCCATAATGCATTCAGCATATACCGGATCCATAGATCCACTCCCGTCAAGGTCAATCAGCATGACCCCTGACTCATTGACCCCAGACTGGAAATACTCATCACAAGATCCCTTGTATTTGGCTGGAATATAAAAGCAAATGACATTTTTAATATCTTATACCGTATAACTGGTTATTTCTGCGGGTGCAAATTTTTGCGTTTTGGGACTGAAAATGATTACAGTCAAACGTGTATTAAGCGACCGCGCAAGGGAAACACCCAAAACGGTCGCTTTATGAAACGGTCCCTTAAGACAGTCAGCATGATATAAAAGTCAAAATTTATAAATGACATCTTTCTTATGCGGTAGGAATGCTTTTTAACTTCATTTTTATATAAATGTTGAATAATTAGTACGCTCCGATAATGTAAATGGATGCAAATGTAAAAAATAACTTTCTGATATTTATTGACAAAACGGGGTGCAAAACAGTTTTGATCCATTACGTACATGTTTGACATTTTTTCTAGAATTTGTTAACTTCTCCGTTGTTTTTCCTTGTCTCCAACACGAAAACCCTAATAGTGAAGATGTTTTGTGTTGTGCATTTTTTCATTTGAAATGAACAAACTACATCTAATTGTTACGATAAATTTAACTGCTGATCAAGTTCAAGGTCAATTCAATGCAGTCTAAATGTCAACAAGCCAAGCGTATTCACCATCTCAGTAGGGCTGGAGCGTTGCATTGTTTATCTGATATTATTGGATAATACACGTCACGCGTATACTTACCTTCATTTGCATACGCTAAACCGGTTTGGGAAATAGAGATTTTCACACGTTTATTTGTTGTGTTTTGATTGTTGACACTTGTCACATTACAAGGCGGCATTCTCTTAAAACACAATTACTTGACAGGTAAAAGTGGTCGTTTAATGAAAAGCTTTATTTCAATTAGGTGACTAATTAGGGGTCGCTGGTCGCGTTGAGCAAAAGTCGCTTAATACATTAAAGATATAGAGAGAAAATGATCGGGGGGAATTTAAAGTGGTCGTTTAAGACAAAAGTCGCTTAATACACGTGGTCGCATGGGCAAGTTAGACTGAATATTAATTTTTGCAAATTTAATTTCTGCGTTTTTCATAAAAACCTTTTATTTTATTTAATTTCTGCATTTTTCTATTAAATTGACAGCTTACAAACACAATCTGGATAAAGTTATTACGCGATAAATCTCACATTTATTTATCAATACAATACAATACAATAATACAATACAGTTTATTTTGCAACGTTTCTAGCATAATAATAGACGATTTTCACTAGAGCTAGATGCTACCAGGGGGAAGTGAGTATTGATAAATTTAACAGGTAAATTAAAGTGACAAACACGGTAAATTACATATATAACTACGAAATATTTACGAATTTAATTATTGCGGTCGGAAGGGACCCGCAAAATATATAAGAAATTAGCTATCCCCAGAAATAACCAGTTATACGGTAATGCATGTAAAAAGGCTAATTTCATGATTATTTTTAAATATTTATCATCTTGAATTAAAGATTTAAAAACATGATATTAGTAAAATAAATAAAACTCTCAGCTTTTTCATTTCTCTGATAAATATATATTTTATCTGTTATATCTAAAGTACTTACCAAAATGGCATGCCCTTCCAGTGTAAAATGTTTCAGTACAGTCACATGCCACACCCTTCCACTCCGACAGGCATATTCCTCCATGTTTACACATTCTGTTTCCTTTACAATAATCTGTAATGTTACACCCATCAATGATAAGCCCAGATGCTGCCCGAGTCTGTATAAGGTCAAGGGCATCCTGTCCTTGACCTTGAACTTTCAGCGTTCTAATACAACCCACAAATCCTTCACTGTCTGAAATTTTGAAATAAGGACATGAAATAAATTTATCAAATACAAACTAAACAATGAAATTACAAGACTTTCAATGTTTTCTTAAGTCATTAAAGGGACTCCACTGAGGTTTTTTGACACGATAGACTGGAAATATTTTTCAGTCGTTTGTGTATCATTTTATGTGGGTTTGCCCTTATTACTTGTGTGCAAATTTTCAGATCATTCCCTCCACCTGTGTTCCCAGAATAGCCATTTTTATTGTGAAAAATGACCCAAAAATTAAAAGCTTCACAACACTTTTCATTCAAATTGGGCTAAGAATAAAAATGAAGTACATGTTATTAGACTACAAAAAATGATGAGTCCTTATACATGTACCTTTATATTTATTGTAACCATATCCAACAATTATATTAGCTCCAATCTCCAGTGGTCTACGGAAGTTTCTACTTGTTACTGAGTTACCATCAACCTTCAGTTTGGCTGCCCTGAAAACAAAATCACAGAAATAATTAAATGATGACTTGAGTTTTATATGATTTTACCATAATTTCACAGAAGTTTAGTTGCACTCTTTTCTTAATAAAGTAAGATATGCAGCCTATCATTAACGAAACTTGTTGTCATGGTTAAAATGAATAAAAATCTCACCCATCTTTAAATGATAGTTGCAGACTGTGCCACTTGTTATCATTGACAATGTTTGGTAAACTCAAGTTCTGGGAACGATCCTCTGAAGTCATTGAGCCAACAAATCGCAGGTTGGGCTGACCTTGGTGTAACCATACCTATAAGAAAAAAGAATTCAGTTTAATGTTTAGTCATCAAATCTACAGTAATCATAATAAGGCTATGCCATTAATATACAATGTACTTGCTCATCTATGCCATTAATACACATCCTTGACTATGCCATTAACATACAACCAGATTATACCATTAATATACAACCAGATTATGCCAATAATATAAATCAAGACTATTCCATGAATATAATTCCAGTCTATGCCATTAATATATCCTTCCAGAATATGCCATTATATACATCTAGCTTACAGAACATCTGTGGTTCTATTTGGGAGCCTGAAAAAAAGCACAGAAAGGCACCTGAGGGCTTCCGCCATCAAAAATGCTGGATAGTTGCCTAATGACCTTTACTGTGTTGGTATGACATAAAACCAACCCTTAAATCCCTCAAACTTAAAGCATACTGTATGAAAGCTCCAAATATCCTTAACAATACCATCAGTTTCTTAGAACACAAAAATTGCTAACATAGTATCTAATCATGCTAAAATCATTGTTAAATATCCTACATTACAAATTCAATCACAAAATAATGACAAATGTAGTTCCGGTTACCTCAATAAATCCAAAATGGTAACCAGTAGTATAATCTTTATCCTCCATGTCCATATACACAAGCACCGCCTCCTTACGTACCGACTTAAAATCAAACTCTATCTCAAAGTTTGTGCTCATCTCCTCTGTTTTTGTAATACGAAGTTTTGATGCCGATGTTGGAAATGATATAGGAATGTTAACAACTTCAGTACATGTATACTCTGGCTGCATTGAGCCACCACCTTGATAAACAACAGCAGGATTATTCTCTACCATCTGATGCAGCACAGACACTTCATTTATGTACACATTTTTGAGACATCCAACAAAGTTCTGAGTTACTTGTAAACCTGAAATATTCAATACCACATTTATATTTCCATTCTGATTAACATAATATAAGAATCTTACACCGGCTGCCAGTACAGACCGGAATATCTAGCTCGAGGATAACTGTTTCCGGCCGTAACGAGGCTCTGCCGAGTTTTCGCTAAACAATTACCCGAGAGCTAGATATTCCCGTCTGTAACGAAAGCCAGTGTTTGATTCTTTTTCTTGCATATTAAATGTCATTTATTTTCAGAACAGAAATTACGAAAACTGATACTCTCATTACGCACTCTTATAGTAGCGTTTGAACTTACAAACTTCATTCATAATGGTAAAATGACGTCATCCTTAGAACGCAATTCATTCATAAAAGGCGTGCCGTTGGGAAAGACAAACTACTTGAATCATCATGAAATCCTTGTTTACCTTTCATATCATTACGTAAAGTTATATAACATACACATAGTTAAATTGTCAACTGGATATGAATATAGAGACTTTTGTTTCTGACTGGGGTCTGAATGCCAACAGAACAAATACCCTGGTTTCCATTGATGCATTCATTATTCAAGGTGTAGAGAATGGAAGCACTGACAATAAGCACGCCAGTTGGATAGTTTCTTCACTGTAAATAGTTATAATACGTCATAGCTGACATGGGTTAACATTTCGATTCACCAAAACTAAATACAACCTTGAATAACGGTTTTAATATTATGATGTGTTACAAAACAGAATTTAACCCATAACCTGTTATATTTCTATAACGGATCTGTCCAGCTTTGAATTTGAAACAGTCCATTCAAAGTTCAAGGGATTTTAATATCAAAATACAAAAATTGAGCTGCCAACAGTATAGAGCCTGGTCAGACTGCACGGAAGTGCAGGCTGGCCTGGCTCTATGCTGGTGGCAAAGGCTGATAACTTTTGGTTATATTTTTTTTACCTCTTGTCACAACAAAGTCATCTCCTCCACCTATGAATATTTTAGGATGAAGTGCAAGGTGGTAAAATGGTCCTAGAATATCACGAACATGTTCCTGTCCATCCAGATATACATACACCTTCCTCATATTGTGAACAATCGTCAGATTATGCCATCTGTAATCAGTGATTAATATAGTGCAAAATATTGCTAGTAAATTAATGGCAAATATTTGCATGTCATGTTATTTCTTATATTTGTTTTAATTAACCTAAAGAGACAAATTAACCTAAAGAGACTAAAAGAGTAGAATTTACAAATGTTTGGATGGATGGAATACATCCTGAAACTGACTGTATATTACCTGCATCGGATATTGTTAAAAAGTGTAATTGAACATGATGTATATAACAGGTGAGGGTAGATGTTTGACTTTATGATATCATGATTATGTAAATGGTAAACTAATTCATATCAAACTTTCAAGATGCAGGAAACAATACATGTATATAAAACATTCATCTGGATTTTATATAATGCAAGAACATAAATATTCAGATTCAAACATGCAGAGCACATTGAATAGAATAATTCTAACATTTTTGATAATAAGTTTTAAATATTGTAATATATAAATATTGATTAATTTACTTTCTTTGTTTTTTTTTAAGGATGTTTTAGCTTTAAATGTATGACTTTTATTAAATTTGTTCAATGAAAAAGAACAACACAAAAACATTATTTCTATGATCATACACATTTAGATAAAACAAAAACAGGGTATCATAATTCTATTGTTCCCTATATCTACCACAGAATGTGACATCACAACAATTTGCTGACAACACTTCGCTGACAACAGTTTGCTGACAACAGACATGACAAAAATATTTTAAATCTCCTTCATAAAAAAAAAAAACAATAAAAAATGGAAGCTCTGGACATAGTCCTTCAATCATACTGGATTATAAAGGTAAAAAGCTGCAATCTAGTATTTAGTCTATAGACAACAGCCAATACAATAAAAGCTGTTATAATTTACCCCCTCCAATTAAAAACAAAGTATGAGTCTGGTAGATTATAGTAAAAATTAACAGTACTCAACAATTTTGTTTTAGTTGTTTTAACCAAGTTTAAAATGAAAAAAATAGATATAGAATTTATTTATCATTCAGAATTACTGTAAGCTAAATCTGACAGTTTAATATATTATGTTTGTTTGTTTGCTTGGTTGGTTTTACAGCGGACAATCACCGTCTAGGTTATATGGGGCCCAAACAGGAAAGACGATTTTGCCTAACATCAGATGTTAGAAACTTAAAGAAACATCAGGGGTCAAAACCACCTCACCTGCTAGAGATGCATAGACTCAAGTAATTCGGACCCATTTAATCGGCTCTTATAATACAGGATAACTTGGTGACTGCAATTCTGATGCCACAACCCATAAAGGCAACCCCTCCACCACAAGGGGCAATATATTATGTAAAACTGACAAAAATACAATTAAATGCACATAAATTATGTGATTATTTATCTATTAAGCCTTCCCTAAAGCTATTTCAGAAAGATATGGTGTCTAATTTCTGCCATTTCTTGTCTTCGTCCCTCAATAGTCAAAGGCGAAGACATAAAGACATGATAATATACTCACTTATCATGTCTTATCTTCAACTTTTGAAGGCGCCAACACAAAGGCACAATATATTTACGGTGAAATAACAATATTTTAAAAGGCGCCAACACAAAGGCACAATATATTTAAGGTGAAATAACAATATTTTAAAAGGCGCCAACACAAAGGCACAATATATTTAAGGTGAAATAACAATATTTTAAAAGGCGCCAACACAAAGGCACAATATATTTAAGGTGAAATAACAATATTTTAAAAGGCGCCAACACAAAGGCACAATATATTTAAGGTGAAATAACAATATTTTAAAAGGCGCCAACACAAAGGCACAATATATTTAAGGTGAAATAACAATATTTTAAAAGGCGCCAACACAAAGGCACAATATATTTAAGGTGAAATAACAATATTTTAAAAGGCGCCAACACAAAGGCACAATATATTTAAGGTGAAATAACAATATTTTAAAAGGCGCCAACACAAAGGCACAATATATTTAAGGTGAAATAACAATATTTTAAAAGGCGCCAACACAAAGGCACAATATATTTAAGGTGAAATAACAATATTTTAAAAAGGCGCCAACACAAAGGCACAATATATTTAAGGTGAAATAACAATATTTTAAAAGGCGCCAACACAAAGGCACAATATATTTAAGGTGAAATAACAATATTTTAAAAGGCGCCAACACAAAGGCACAATATATTTAAGGTGAAATAACAATATTTTAAAAGGCGAGGACACAAAAAGATCTTCTTCTGCAGAAATATCGTGTTGGCGGATAGAAATCTCAGTATCGGCAACCTATATTTCTCATGCCATCGTGTTGCCCAATTTATCATGTCTTCGACTTTCGGGTTGAAGACACGATGCAATGAAGAATCGATAAATTGGCAAATTATCATGTCTTTGACTTTCGGGCACAAAGACACAACAAAATTAATATAGGGCGTCGATACAAAGACTTCCACCCGTCAACATTACTTTTACAAAAAAAAACTTGTGCCTTCGCCTATTAAAATATTATTCTTTTGCCTACAATATATTGTGTCTTCCTGTGAGCAGCTTTGACTTTTGAGGGGCAAAGACAAGAAAATGGCATAAATGTGCCACCATAGAAAGTTATGGAAGCAGTATTTCATTAAACACTGTAAAGATATCCATGGAATCCTACTGTAAATAGATCAGATCAATACTAAACCATTTTCCATTTTTAATAAACTTATTGGTTTACAAATTATTTAAAATCAATGTTTTGAATAATATAAATATAAATGTTAGATATAATTTATACAGTATGCATCATGGAAAACTATAAATTGGTTTAAAGCTTAGACAGCTATTCTACGTGGATATTGACAAATTAAAGTACATAACATGCTGTATTAAGTTATAGGTTCACTTCCATCCAGGAATTTTGTTTATTTATCACTAAAATAATGGATATATTTGATTAAAAATTTTCTGATTTGAATCAAAACAATATTTTTCACTGTTTGGATATACATGTAAGTTTCTAAGAGGATATCTAAAGATTGGACACTAAACATATGTCTGGGATGATAATGGAATAAAATATGGGGTAAAATAAAATATGGAACTTTATAAATAGTTTGGATGGAAGAAGAGAACAGTTTTTCACAATACCCATCAAATCTTGGTTTTGTGAAGTGACAATTTCAGGCTATTTATTGCTAGTAGTTTGAAATTAAAATAAAGCATTTTAAAAGCTTGTGACAGCAAAAATTGGAAAGTTAAAAAGGGTGCATATGTATTTGCCCATTTTTACTACATACGGAACTTGTCTGAAAAAGATTAGAAGAAAAACTTGAAAATTAAACGCCTTACTAACAATTTACTCTTTAAAATTAATGAAAAAATTGAATACAAAAAAAATAATACTTTCAATTGGCCACAAAATCCAGTTTATTCTTTTTTGACTAATCATACTGCTTTTGTCAAGTTTATTTATATTACTAAAATTTATTTCATTGGAATAATTCAAAAATTTATCAATAGCACATGTAAAAACATATTCAATTAATTCTAAACTGAGAGTCTAAAAAAATATTCAATTGTTGGCATAACCCTGACCAATTTCAATACATGATGTCAATGTCAAATGTTTATAAAGAAATCAACCTGGATAGTAAAATGCAGATATTTCATTTTTGATCATGTGACCTATTGCATAAAGAAGCCTTCAGTGAATTGAAAAAGCGATTTCACAGTTAACAAACGTTGTTCTTTACTTTTAAACATGAGCACTCAAGCTGAATAACATTTGAAACAACATGGATTTTGAAGCTAATTGACAAACTGCATAAAATAACTTCCATATTCAACTTAAAATCAAACTAGCCCAAAGAAATATATGAACAAAAAAGTCAGTTTTACAGATACATAATGATATGTTGTAATAAGACTGAATACAATCAGTAGAAAATATACATGACAGTAATAATAGATTTATCTCTCCATGCAAGGATATTGTCATAACAAAAACTTACAGTAAAATTTCATATTAATAAATCATACTATTCTATAATTTTATCAATGTCAATCAATCTATTTATCTATAACACTTCAAATATAACTGACATCATTTACAGATGTATGACATTAAACTATTCATTCATAATCAGACAGGAAACTAAAATTATATGAAGATTATACAAAATAAAACTATTCATTCATATTATATTTTTTCCATCACATGCCCATATGAATACACAGAAAAAGATAACATTTTTGTAACAATGCATAATTATATTATTGTAAACATAATAAAATAAACAGATGAGCTAACTTGATGTGACACAAAACTGCAAAAAATAATTTCCCATTTATAAATTTCAAAAAAATGTCTTTGTTATTATGTGTAATCAAAACATTATCACTCAAGTCTATCATTTGTAATGAGAATAAATGGCCATATCTTATTTATTCCAAATGTCTATTTTGTGAAGAATTTAGGTTTGGTACTAAATAATGCTTTTAAATCCCTTTAAATATGAAATTATCTTTATTTTGGGGTTGATTATAAAGCATTTATTTAACCACGCAGAAATGCCTTCAACAATCACCACCTAGGTGTATACAAGTGAATGAGTGATAATGCAGGATGCTACATACTGCTGCTTTGATACAGAATGATGAAGGTAAAGAAAATTAAATTTCAGCTTTGAATTTGATATTGACAGCATCACAAAGTAAATGTCAAAAAATAATATTTTGGGGAGTCAATGCTTAAAATGCAACATAGTTGAGTTGGTAGAGCAATGGCATGGTATTCTGAAGGTCCTGAGATCCAGTCCGGTCTGGCTCTACATTTTTCTTGCCTTATGACATCAAAATAAACGTTTAACAGTATGAGCCTGGTCATACTGCAGGGATGGCAAACAGGACTAGCTCTCTATTGATGTCAAAAAGTAATACATTGTACCTATTTTTGATGCAATAAATACAAAATAAACTTTTCCTGAGATTAAGCTTGAATCTCAGGGTTTCCATTGGTCAATTCACATTCTGTGCCTGTTTCTGACCAATCAAATACCTGAGATCTGAGTTTGAGATAAGAATATTTTTTATAACTTCAGCCTTGCTATGAAATTAATTTGTATCACTTCAAGTTAGCTACCATAGAAGAATCTCACAATGCAAGCATATGAGAATAAAAAATAAAATTTCTATAAAAAATAATATAAACCAAGTGTTCATAGATTTGGTGCAAAAACTTTGACCAACTGAAGCTATGAAGGTTTCAAAATGCATCGTATGTTAAGAATGGCTTACCGTTTTGGGCTTGATGGTTGAATGAGAAATTATGCAATGATGTGATTTGAAAGCAAACCAAATGTTAATGGTAAAAGTAAAATTCATACACTTTTAATATTTGTGATAGGAAAACATGATTTTAGTTGTTTAACCTACTTTTACAAGCAATTTTAGAAAATTTTCAGCATTTACTATTGTAGAAATATTAAAAAATATTAAGAAATTATATGTTAAAATTAGTTAAAATTATGCAGTGAAAAAGTAGGAAAAACATTAGGCTTGACAAAAATATTTCTGTAAAGAATTCAACAGCAAGAAACTGCAGGGGTCTACTATCATTCTATCCCTGGAAGTTTCTTAATGCTGAAGATATTTCATCATAACCTTTAGGTCAATAAAGGTAATTTGTTATCAAAAGAACATATTTCTAAAATGTACTGTATGTTATGAATATGGGCTACAAAATGTTATGACTGAATGATCTTTTTTCAAACCAGGGCAAGCTGCTTTTAACATAAAAATATTCAACCCAAGTGTTTTGCATACCGGTAATCATAAATTGCGAGATCACACTTGAACTATTCTATGAAAAGTCACTGATTTCAAAATGTGAAAACATTAAGCTGAAGAGCATCTTCTAAGTCCAACATTTTAACATCTTAATTATTGAGAATGGTTCACCAATTTTTTTATCATCTTCAGGTTTGTGACTTAATTGAGAATGCAGCACATAGCAAATACATTTGATAACTAGTAAAATGTTTCCTTATAACATAAACTCATAATTAGTTACCTACTATTTTATAAAAGTATATCAATTGATATGTATGATTCATCTTTCAAATTTATATTCTTATTAAAACTTAGATACTAGTGCAAAGTGTACAGTGTAAATATAAACAAGTGTTTGACAAAACATTAAGGCCGAGTTTTCCCACACATTTCTGTTTATCAACAACAATTAAATTTATATAAATCTAAAAAGCACACCTCTATGTTATTTGCATTTTATATAATTTATAATACAGTAAAACTTTTGATATAAGATATGAAAATGCAGCAAAAAGTAGCCTGAAAAACACTCTGTAACCTTGCAAAAACTTCACAATGAAATTCCTTATTTTTTACAATTTCAAAATTATGTGTTCACAATGTGTTTTGAAATGTTACAATTAGTCGTATGAAAATTATTATTGTAATTAAGTGACTGACAACTGCACTGGTATTATACAAAAACACAAGAATCAAAAACTTTGTTGACTTTAAAAAGGTACAAGTTTTAAAGTCCACAACTAAAGATGTATTTGTCTTTGTTAAAATAAGATAAAGTTTCATACAAATTTGACCGGTAATCTGTTTCAACAATTTGAAGTTTGTGTTATTGACAAGACAAAATGATGAAAGAAAATAGTATGATCCAAAGTCAAGTTCTTGCTGGGAGTGTTTTACAGTAGATTTGAGTAAACTTTTATAAAATGAATGATGGCAACAAATCAACAAATAGTACCTGTAATCATTAATTCCAATGCCAGCTTCAACTTGAATATCTTCATCTCCTAAACCAACAGACACTTGAACTGTCCCAGCATGCACTGAGGATGTCACATGACTATGATAGGGGGTGCCACCAGCTGCGTAGAACAACACACCAGATCCTCTACTTGTCTACATAAAATTATACAAACATATATACATTATGATTAACATACAAAATATACAAACATTATCATATACAAAATTATAAAATAAGAAATATACAAACATAATTATATACATTATGATTAAAATACAAAATATACAAACGTGTACATTATGATTAAAATAATAAACCAATACTGGACTTGATCTTATTGAAATTATTGAACATCAGCTCCATTACTGCTTTAAAAAAATTGAAAAATTGTTATGGGCCTGCCTGTTTTGAACTGTGGATCAGTCTGTTATTAGTCAAGTATTAAAACACTAAAGTTAGCTTTGTCCACATAGCATAGTCTGGTCACACTTGGCTCTATATCATATTGATGCCATATGGCTATATTATTATTGCTTTAAGCTCTCAAACAATTAAAGTTTTGTGAGATTTTTTTCAAAGCTACCATTATTCTTGTACATTAAATCTAGTTATTTAAACAACACTTATGATAATGAACATAAACTTTCATAGAAGCCTGTGCATGACCTTGCCAGATATTATTTCAGTGAATACATCAACATGGACTAATTAGCTGATATAAAAATAAAAAACAAGAAAAAAAGAGAAATAAATCTCATTAAAAAAATGAATTACAATTTTGTGTATTATATTTGTACAAAACAAAATATTTTTTAACATTCTTTACTTTATAACATTCATCACTCCCTCTACAAATCAAAAGCAATTAATTTGCATCAAAGCAGATTTATTCAAGTAAATCATTCTTATCAAGTCTAAAATTTCAAGTTAAAAATGATCAATCAAACATCAGGTGCACTAATTGAAAAATAAGATTGATTAAAAAATCTATGTAATGCACTTAATAATCAGTTAATTAAAGTCATGCATACTAAATAACAATCATTCTATTCATGACAACTGGAGAAACATGACAAAAATATCAATTTTTGTATTTGATATTCCAATAGAAGGGGCTGCCACTAATGTGATTTTGCAGTAAAAGGGGCTGTGATTAATTTTGTAATTATAAACCAAGCTCCTTAAATGTCTAGGGAGCAACCCAATCTGACAATATCATTAGGGAAGTATCATCTAACCAACATAGTTCCATGATGTCATCAACAGTGGAGGGATATAAAATGATGGAACTGGCATGTTTTAATTAATTTAACTTGCTTTTAAATCTGTTTCAATCAATTGTTAAATGACACTAGCATTCCAAATGGCGTCTCTCTTCTCTGCTCATGGTCAATAAATCAAGATAATGAGAAAATCAAATAAAGTATTGTTTAATCAAAATTGAGCAGCGCCAATTGACAAAACCAACATAGTGCGTTTGCGACCAGCATGGATCCAGACCAGCCTGCGCATCCACGCAGTCTGATCAGGATCCATGCTGGTCACAAACGCACTATGTTGGTTTTGTCATGGTGCAGCTTATATTAACTAATTATGAGAAAATCAAATAAATTGTGGTACCTTAAACTCTAGACTAAGTCTCATTTTTTCTGACAGTATGTTCTGGTCATACCAATGCAGGTTGTATGTCAGCCACTCATAACCTCGCAGTGTCACTGTAGATGGTCCTATAACACATACAACATAAAAACAATGAGTGTACAAAATACAGAAATCATGTTAGTACTTTAGTTTTATTTAATAGTATAATCTTTTTTTTTAACTGTTAAAAGACTTTACTTTGGTGACAATTGCATTCTTCGCATTTTTATGCTTTCCTTCAGCTTGTGTCCTTTTCAGTTTTTTTAAAAATTTTGTAAAGAATATGTACAGTAACATTATACATAATGTATATTTTTTTGACAAAATGTAAGTTCTGGTCTATGGACATCTAATCCCTTGACACAAAAGAAGACTTGTATTTAGGTTGTATAAAGGCATGTTTTCCTTGGCTTGCATAATGTTTCATAATGCTGAAGTGCATGGGTACTAACATACTAAATTCTGGTACTTCTGTGTATAGCACATTATACTAAACAATGCTTATGAGACACACTTGTTACACTGAATGACTGCCAGGACAGATCTAAATTAATGCTGTGAACAGTCATTAAACTTGTAACAAACACTAGAATATTATTTAAGATACAGACATTGCAATATTTTGACAATGGTAATGTTTTGAATTTTCATAAATTACACAGTTTATTTGTCTCTGGACAAAATTGTTATTCAATAACTCTCTCAGTCAATTAACTAAGGCAGGATACATCATTTTCTTATACTAAATAAAATCCCATATGATAAACAGAATGTGTATGCCAATATTAAAAGCCAGAACAAAGTCCCTGTAGTCTCATAAAATTACACCAAAGGTGCAAAAACTGCAGCAAAGTGTAAATATCTTGTGGAAATAATAGGAAACTAGATTAATGCAAGCATTGTTGGCATTTATGTGGCGTGAACAAATAGGTACTTTTCTTTTTTTAGTACACATATGCAAAAAGTAATAGGAAAACAGTTTAGGAAAATATTTGCCCTTCAAAGTGCAATAAGAATATAACATTGTTTTTTGGGTTTTTTTAAACTACAATCATTAAGAGTTTTGTTATTGTGAAACTGTATAAATACTGCAGTAAATAATAATGAATTTAGGGAAGGTAAATGGCAAGGATATCTCCATGCTAGTAATCAAATGAAAAGCAAACCATAAAACCATAACATGCCATACAGAGACAGGTTATAGTAAGTGAAATAATGATTCAGTAAAACTTTGTTTTCAAATACCTCCCTTTTATTTAACTCATTGTCTAATCCAAGCAAAATCCCTACAACATAAATATATATTGTTCTACTCTGTTTAGTTTAAACTACCCATCTCTCGAACAAGTTTGCACGGGCCTTCCGAGTTCGAGTGGACAAAGTTCTACTTTACACCATAACTTAGTTGTGATTGACTGATTTGAGGAAATGTAGCATCAAAGACATTTAAATTAAACATAAAGTTTACCTAGCTCTGAACAGTAAGGTCCTTGATAGTCTGTACTGAAGCAGTCGCAGATTGTCTCACTATATGTGTTAATACACTGTCCCCCATGATGACACGGGTTGTTGGTACACTTATCTATACATCCCTCCTGTACTCCTTCCAGGGTTTCAATCGGTACCGATACATGTTTCTCGTCTTTGTTAGTATACTTTATATCCCTCAAACAACCAATAAAATGTGGGTAACTATCTGAGAATAATGTGTTTGGGTCTGTTCCTGCAATAACAATATAATTAAACAGAAATAAAACACTTGATTTATGATAGTAATACCGTACATGCTGTCTTATAATATGGTTTTGTCACAAAAAATCTTAGTACAGTATTTATATTTATGAAATTAAAACATATTTTTAAATATTTTGGCAATTGTTCTAATACTGGCATCTCTATAATATCAACACTTTTAGTATAAACAAACGCTGTTCTCAACTTACTTTTAATGTTTTCCCTTTAAATTTGGTTTGAAGCAATGACAAGTTTAAGGCATATATTAGACAACCCTTAGTGCCCTTGTGTGCATTTTTTCAAAAAACATAAATTGGGGACTTTGATAAAAACCCCAAATTTTATAAGCCCGGGTGGTACTTTTCCAAAAATTTATATGGGTTTGACCAAAGGATTTTAGGACAAATACAAAAAATTTACCAAACTAAAAACAAAACCCTTTTTTTGTTTTAATTTTTCCTATCATGCGATCAGTTTTCTGTTATTAAATAAGATAATAATTTAAATTCAACCCAAAAAATATAAAAAATAATTTATGCTAGCAATTAAGAATGGTTGACAACAAGGTAAGGGGTAAAACACCAATGTCTTGCAAATTTGTGTCTTAGAAGATTATATTTCATTATAACATGTATTAAACAATAAGAGCCATTACACAGGTCTTCAAATGGCATTGTATTATGCAATTATCCCTTGTAGCACACTTTTCCTTACCTCCAAAATAAATAGCTGACTTGTACTGGGACCAGTCCAGCAGTTGACTAAAATCATCATATTGGGTATAAGGTTTAAGGGAAATAACTTTTGTTTCTTTGTCAACTGTAAGAGTTAAGTCCCCTGTATCTGAATTCAGCAACACATTCAAGGAATGCCATTGATCATTATTTAAAGCTGAAATGGAAGAAAAATAATGATTTTAATATAACCAAATAGACCTGTACAAATAAAAATATCTTAATCATTAAGATAGCTTCATAAATTTTCTGTATACCGATAATTCAAATACATGTCTGGGCAAAGAAATATGCAAAAGAAATTCAATCCCAAGACTCCCACATTTGCATTTTTGTTCAATATTTAAACTAGTCAATCTGCCTCTATATGCACCATAAAGACTCCTTTATTTATCTTTTTCTCCTGCACAATGTGTCATGGTTTTGAACTTCATTATAAAAAATAATCACTTAAACTTAAACCCCCCCCAGTCTCAAACTAATAAATAACCAACATAAAGACCTTATAACCCCATAAACTCTGTCTATACAGAAAAAAATGATTAAATATGATAAAATATGATTAACAATGTATAGAAATGTATATAAATAAAGATGATTATTTACATTATAAGGAATATTTATAACATACATGAATAATTAAGGTGTATAAACAAGAGATTAATACCATCTGTTGGTCACCCACCTACAACATTAAATGAGCCCCGTCACGACAAAACCAACATAGTGCGTTTGCGACCAGCATGGATCCAGACCAGTCTGCTCATCTGAGCAGTCTGATCAGGATCCATGCTGTTCGCTTACAAACTACAATACAAGTAGAGAAACTGATAGCAAACAGCTTGGATCCTGATCAGAATGTGCGGACGCACAGGCTGGTCTGGATCCATGCTGGTCGCAAACGCATTACGTTGGTTTTGTCATGGCGTGGCTCAAATATTACACTTTGTGGTCACACATTTCATTTACGTTTTAGCAATCAGACTTTCATCTTAATTGAAAACACATAAAATTCATGTTAATGTCCATATAAATACTGTAATCATACATATTTTCATATATTTTGCACTGTCATTTAATCATCATAACCGGATAGAAATTATTTCAGTTTAATGACTGTTGTTTCCAGATATATAAAAAAAACAACATTAACGCCCCCCTTCATATTTCTATAATATAATTTTATGTTTATTTAAAGTACATTTACATATTTCCTACAATTTTCGAGTAGTCCAAATCTGTCAAAATGATTTATATTTTAGGGAAAGAAGAAAGAAAATATGTAATATTATTTAATTTTACCCATGAAATATGGTGCTATATCAGTCAAATATATTTCATATTTTTTAAAAATAAATATGAAATATAAATATGAAAGTGGGCGGAGTCAAAACTCATGTTTATTTTAAGGGACTTCTTTCGCCATTTTGTTTGAAAAATCTGATAAAAACAAAACAACTTTTTCTTGAATATTGTTTTGAAAACTATCTAGCATGATAGAAAATGGTCTAACTAAGAAAATTAATCCGAACACCAATTTCTTTAATTCAGTAATTAACGCTGTACAGACGTTTAAAGAGTTGTTTACATGACGTCACAATGTAGCGCCAAACAGCGCGTGCTTACGCATAAATTACTGCGCGCTGTACAATTGCTGTTGGTAGCAAACAAGGGGATTCGTTACCATTTTCTTTGATAATGAAATTAAATAAAAAGGTCATTTTTTCGTTTTTCGTGAAATATGGTTTATATTTTCACTCAACATGATAAAATGCCACATATTTTCACTCGCCGTACCGGCTCGTGAAAATATGTGGCATTTTATCATGTTTCGTGAAAATATATTCCATATTTCACGAAACGAAAAAATATCCTCTTAATATTATCCTAAACATTGAAAAGTTAATAATGATTTATTAGATGAAATGAATATGTACAGGTAACTCATTTGATGGATATCAATTTGAAAGTTTTATTTGGTAGGTAAAATGTAGTTATTAATTTCACATTGGATAGAATAAATATGAATATTTGATTAAAAAAAATCTGCAATATTTCTTTTAACCCTTTACCTCATTTATACGCGAAACAACGCACTTTTGACCCCCCCCCCCTTTTTTAGACCTCAAATAGTGAAAAAATGTCCTATTTGGGCCCCAAACACATGTTTTCCTTTGAGAAATGTTGCTAAAAAAATTGAACACTTTTTCGGCGCCGCCTTCCATCCAAAAGATACATTAGGGGGTTGCCAGAAGGGGGATGTGCCCCCTTCTGTTAGGGGGGTTTGACGGGGGCGGAGTCCCCCTCATCGCCAAGAAAATTTTGGACTTGTGAGTGGCTGAAAATGACCCCAGGTCGATCATAATGTAACGTGTAACCAACGCTGAAAAGCCTTTGACTCTATCTCAATCCCTTGAGAAGTTGCAGCACTTTGAAATAAATTTTGATGGAAAAAATCGAGGCAAAATAGTGATTTTTGGCAATTTTGAGATGTCCCCTCATTGCCATGGTAACAAGAAACTTAAGACTGAGCATGTCATTACAAAGGCAATGGTCCAGTCAACATTTGTGCCAAGTTTGATTAGTATTGAAGCATTTTTCATAGTTTCGTAGCAGTTTGAACTTGTTACAGGAGACTTTTCAGTGAAAACAGCGATTTTTCACAACATGCTCATGGGGGAAAGGGTTAAGAAATAATTTGTGATGACAATTTCAATGACAAAAATGTTTGTTTTTTTCAGTTTTACATAATGGTTAAGAAATAGATATTAATTTTGAGTGCATTGTTGTAGAATAATGCACAGTTCAATTTCAAATGCACAAGAATATAAACATGAAGGCCAATAATCTGTGCATTATTATACTATAATGCAAGAAAATTAATATATCGTTTCATTCTAACATGCTAATAAAAGAGAATTAATAATTTTTTAGAATATGCATAACTACATTCAAAATGTAGTAGTAATTTTCCTGATGTCATTTGATTTATTGATGTCATATCTGACTTCAAATAACATGAAGCTTTCTTTTTTATGCTATGCACATATTGTGTAAAAATGCATTGAATGCCGAGTTTTTTTTGATAGAGGAATAGTAATAAATTGTTGGAATGATGAATAAAACTCTGCTTTAATTTTACTTTTCATTAAAAGAACAAGAGGGCCATGATGGCCCTGAGGTCGCTCACCTGTATATAGCCCCCGTCCCCCACCCCCCGGCCCAATTTTTACCCAAGGGCTTTTATTTGTTTATTTGAACAGACTTGGTAGACACCCATAAGAAGATGTTTCATGCAAAACATCTAAGTTCTAGCTCATTGGGTTTTTTAAAAGAAGATTTTTTAAGTTTTTACTATACACATATAGTTAAAAACAATGACATCCCTCGGGCAGGGCCAGTTTTGACCCCTGGGCTTTTTATTTGAACAAACTTTGTAGATATTTACTTAAAGATGTTTCATGCTTAATTTTCTAAAACTCTAGTTATTTGGGTTTTTTCAAAGAAGATTTTTAAGTTTTTGCTATGTATATAAGGAAAATCAATGACCCCAGGGGCGGGGCCAGTTTTGACCCCAGGGCTTTTATTTGAACATACTTGGTAGACACCCATTAGAACATGTCTCATGCTAAATATCTTAGCTCTAGCTCTTACAGTTCTTTTAAAGAAGATTTTTTAAGTTTTTACTATATGCATATAGGGAAAATCAATGACCCCCTGGGGCGGGGCCAATTTTGACCCCAGGGCTTTTATTTGAACAAACTTGGTAGACATTCACTAGAAGATGTTTCATGCCAAATATCTAAGCTCTAGCTCTTACGATTCTTTAAAAGAAGATTTTTTAAGTTTTTACTATATGCATATAGGGAAAATCAATGACCCCCCGGGGCGGGGCCAATTTTGACACCAGGGCTTTTATTTGAACAAACTTGGTAGACATTCACTAGAAGATGTTTCATGCCAAATATCTTAGCTCTAGCTCTTTGGGTTCTTTAAAAGAAGATTTTTTAAGTTTTTACTTTATGCATATAGGGAAAATCAATGAACCCCTGGGGCGGGGCCAATTTGGACCCCAGGGCTTTTATTTGAACAAACTTGGTAGACATTCACTAGAAGATGTTTCATGCCAAATATCTAAGCTCTAGCTCTTACAGTTCTTTAAAAGAAGATTTTTTAAGTTTTTACTATATGCATATAGGAAAAATCAATGACCCCCTGGGGCGGGCCAATTTTTGACCCAGGGCTTTTATTTGAACAAACTTGGTAGACATGCACTAGAAGATGTTTTATGCCAAATATCTAAGCTCTAGCTCTTCTGGTTCTTTAAAAGAAGATTTTTTTTAAGTTTTTACTATATGCATATAGGGAAAATCAATTACCCCCCAGGGCGGGGCCAATTTTGACCCCAGGGCTTTTATTTGAACAAACTTGGTAGACATTCACTAAAGAAGAATGTTTCATGCCAAATATCTTAGCTCTAGCTTTTTGGGTTCTTTAAAAGAAGATTTTTAAGTTTTTACTATATGCATATAGGGAAAATCAATGACCCCCTGGGGCGGGGCCAATTTTGACCCCAGGGCTTTTATTTGAACAAACTTGGTAGACATTCACTAGAAGATGTTTCATGCTAAATATCTAAGCTCTAGCTCTTACAGTTCTTAAAAAGAAGATTTTTTAAGTTTTTACTATATGCATATAGGGAAAATCAATGACCCCCCGGGGCGGGGCCAATTTTTGACCCCAGGGCTTTTATTTGAACAAAATTGGTAGACACTCACTAGAAGATGTTCCATGCCAAATATCTTAGCTCTAGCTCTTACAGTTCTTTAAAAGAAGATTTTTTAAGTTTTTACTATATGCATATAGGGAAAATCAATGACCCCCCGGGGCGGGGCCAATTTTTGACCCCAGGGCTTTTATTTGAACAAACTTGGTAGAAACTCATTAGAAGATGTTTCATGCCAAATATCTAAGCTCTAGCTCTTAGGGTTGTTTAAAAGAAGATATTTAAAGATTTTTCTTTCGGTTGCCATGGCAACCAGAGTTCTGCATGGAATTAAATTCTTTGAACAATTTTTAAAGGTGACCACCAAAGGAACATTCCTGTGAAGTTTGGATGAAATTGGCTCAGTGGTTTATGAGGAGATGTCATTTAAAGCAAAAGTTTACGGACGACGGACGGACGGACGGACGGACGCCGGACGAAAAGCGACCACAAAAGCTCACCCTGTCACTTTGTGACAGGTGAGCTAAAAAAATGCATAATTTTAAATCCACTAAAGAATCAACTCTAAAATCTCTGTGTGAGGCCCCAAAAGGGATATGTGGTTGATAAAATGGAAAGATTAAACAAGACTTACCTTAGGAAGTTGAAGTTTGATCGATATTTTATCAACCGCAATCACTTTTGGGATTACCCACCCTGTTAAATATGTTTGATTCTTTGCACATTATCATCACTAGATCATGTTTATAAACTTGACATGATCTGATGATGGCTCTAAAGACTGACCAGTGTTGCTGATAAGCCAGCTTCCTCTCTGTGTGATCCCAAAAGTGATTGCGGTTGATAAAATATTGATCAAACTTCAACTTCCTAAGGTAAGTCTCGTTTAATCTTTCCATTATACCCTATCTTGTAATATACTGGTACATTAATCATAACATATTTTCTGTTGTGTCTAATTCACTATTAATCATATCATTATTATATATAATACCATCAATTTTGACCAAAAAAAAAATTAATTATATAAAAACATTTTTGTAAAATATAAATTTTCAACAAAATAATTTTTTTTTATTTAACACCAATTTATTTTAAGACAATATATGATTTGCTACATTCTTGACTTTTCAAACAGAAGCTGTCACATATAACATTATTTATACAGTGCATGACATGTGCCTGATTCAAATAATAATATCTGGCATTTATTGCCTTGTATTTTTTAAATGATACAAATTAAAGATGACAAGTTTTACATTAAACATATATACTTTTACATACCTAGGTAATTAAGCATGTATTTTCATGGGCTGCCACTTACATTTTTATTACAGAACAGTAAATATACCGGCATAAGATTATATTATATCGGACATGGATACCTAACAGTGTTTGTATATTTCTGCCAAGATAAATAAGTTATGATCTTCAGATATTTCTCTTCACTTGACCAGGAATATGGCTGTCATAAAAACAACATGAAAACAAACAAGAACATTTTTGTTTACTCAAGATAATATCTACCAGCATGTATCAAAAGTACAGCTCAAAATTTTGGATCTACCAGGCATTTCATTGAAAAATTGGCAAATTTGTTAGGTTTAAGCTGCAGGTTTACATAATGTTTCTGTCAAGAGACAGTCTTTTACATTACTGGTACTTTTTTGTTGTCAAATATTAAAGTAAGAGTTTGAAAGAAAGAGTATGACCAAGATGCTACAATACAATATTATTTGATTTAATGAAACTGCATATTTGTAGAGTAGCTTTCCATTGGCTAATCATAACATTTATATAGTTTTACATACGCAGCTGCTGTCAATTTAAGAAGTAATCTCTTTTTTTTTCTTCTGAAGAGAAAGTTTGCTGTATTATAAATTCGTTATAAAGATTCTTGATGGGTTATATGGCCATATATAAACGGCTGTTTGCAATATCACCCTCACCTAGTGGGTCAGGTTATATATGAAAAAAAAACTGTTTATATAGGGCCATATAACCTGTCAAAAATTTTATATAACAAATAATATTAATGCTCAATGACTATTCTCATGCTTATGGACTTATTTTGCATGAAGTAAATTATATTGCGTATAATGTTTAGCTATATATAAAATGTGCTAATATAAATATAGTGCTGGAAGATCATTATGTGCCAGTCAGCACATGAATTATGTAAACAAACTGAACTTTAATTACAACACTTATTTTATCTTGTTGTTTATCTTCTCTTTAGAAAATAACAATTAATGTGAATAAAGTGGTTCCAGAAATGATATCTGGTTTATTTTCTAGTTTATCTGAATGACATCATTTTGGATAATATTCAGTTGCGTAGTTATTCAATGCATGTTGAACGATTAATGGAAACATGCTGGGAATAATCTCACAATATGAGAGAATTATTCTTTCGAATTAACACCCCCTATTAGATACATACGCATAAAATGATAATAGTAATAACTTACCTTTTCCAACTGAGAGTCGAACTTCATCATAATCCAATAGTTTGTAACTTAGAAAAAATAATCCATATTGAAGTTCCGCACATAGTCGATAATTTAAACGTTGTAACTCTTTTATATCCAAATCTTTTAAATAGTGACAAAAAATTAAACTATTTGGATTTCTAGTTCTAAAACTGAGCGAAATACGTTGATTTTGCGTGTTTGTGTAAAGTGGCGTGAATGACAAAAATGAGATGCCTGGAATGTTGAAGGTCCATGATGTAACTTCCTGAGATAATGTTGTCGGAAATGTTTGCAGGATGACTAGTAAAACAGCTAGTTTTAAACTATGTAGAAATTTTGGTCCCTGAAACTCCATTTTTAATGTCTCTAAATCGTACAGAACTGACTTTGCTTTTATTCTTTAGTTTAGTTGAATCATCAACTTCCTTCAGACCATGGTCAAGGTCAATTAATTTCTGTCATGCTTCCCCTGAAAATATAATAAAACCTTTACTATAATCTATAATCAATCAATCAATAAGCAGAAAAAAATCATAAATAAGAAATCAATATATTGAAGAAATTTAAAGATGAAAATTATAGAAACAGTACAGCCATTGAACCAGTCATCTTTGACTTTTTAAGAAAATCAGAATAATACCCCATGCCTTTTCTATTTGTGTTATAATCCTGTTATGAAAAGAGCACAGTCATTTAACTATACTTGTGTAAAATAATACCTCACACAGCTTAAAAACCAATCAAATTCATTGATAATTTAGCAACAAATTATCAGGTTAACCAATAATATATTGTGTAGCATTAAGAGATGAAAATAAATGTGTCTTCAAAATAATTTTACAAATTATGAAAAATCAACTTAAAGAAAAAATAATTACTTTAAATACAAATTTCACAAAACTTACATTTTAAATTGTTTTCATCTTCACTAAATAAATAAAAATATTTTTTTATATTTAAATATACCTATAAATATCTGTAAAATACAGTCCAATGTTCACTGGATGTTAATTGTTACCTTATCAATTCAAGAAATATCACAAACATTCATAATGCAGAACTTATCACACTGTTTAGATACTGCCACTGATATTGATATCAGCTGCTAACAAAATGAGCTCATTTATTATGAAACATTTTCTTTTTAAGCAAAAATCAATTGGTCGAATAAACAAACAGTGACTGGCTGTATAAAAAAGGTATGAATTTATTCCAATCAGATATTAATATTAATGAAGGTGCGAAATAATTTTGAGAATTTTTTTGTTCTACAAAAACTAGAACAAAAACAAGTTTTTTGTTGGCACGGAGTTTAATCATGGTATGATGATGAGCCTTTTATCTTCAATTTACACAGGCACTTAACATATGATAAAACAATCAAAACCTAATTGATTTATCAAAATCTCATTTTAACAGAAAATATTCCATCTTTTTGCTTTTGATAGAGTTATAAAAATTTGTAAACCAGTCTGTTAATTAGGGTTCATTGCTTTTGCGGAAATTTTCAAAAAATTCCAACTCGCAGTTTAAATTTACAAAGTTTAATCCAGATGTTGATTCTACAGCGGGGAAAAACAACCAGAAGTTAAATTTATATTTGTTTTATGATTTTTTTAATTGAATTTTATATTCGTCTTAACCTCGTCTTATCATTACTTTTATTCTTATTTAAACACCCCATTTCCTTATTTTATAACTACAAGATGTTAAATGGAAGGAAAGTGAGAACTACTGAAAATCTTTAAAATTTAATGAACAATGAAAATTGATTTAATGTTTGAAACTCGAAAAAAGGTTATATAACAACTATGTTTTTTACTATAAGACACATACAGTACTATAACTATATGCTTGAATTAGATAATAAACTTATATACCAAGAGCATTAAAATTACCATTAAGATCACATTAAAAATGGGCGGAGGAAACTAATGCCTGTATCTAGGAAATAAAAATATCACAAAAATTATATGTGTCTATTTTATGTAACATGGATATTTTTCAAATTATTAAAACTAAAAGAAAACAAACAAAAAATGCACATTCACACACACAAAAAATGCAATTTTGACGAAAAAGCCATTGGATCAAATGAACATACTATGATACAAAAATATTTTCCCTACATACAGCAGGAGGATTACTTACAACAGAGGTAAGTGCACAAGTTCTTTCATCAAGAGTAAACATATTCACCTCATTAAAAGTTTGTGCAGATAATCTACAGCCAAAATTGACAAGAAGAGTTTTGAAGGACTTCCGACATGCATCGTATGTCCTTAAGTGCATTTTAATGCATTTTTTCTCCATGCTTTTTGTCTCTTTCAACAATTAACACATATCTATCTGTCAAAATTCTTATTTACGCTGATTGAGTACGCATTTCAGAATGTGGATCAGGCTGCACTTTCTTGACGTTGATAAGGGGTTCTAAAGATTGAGGTAGCGGAACCGAGTTAAAGGGCGTTCCATGATGATAATAACAAGAAAATGATTTTTTTTGTTCTTTTTTATTGTTGTTTTCAAAATTAAACTGAAGGACTTTCCCATGTATAAATTATGTTTACAATGTATAATGAGACAGACATAACATTTTGTAATGTATGACAGAATTCAAGCCATGTTTTTTAATTAAAGAACAAAAACACACAGATCCTTGAAAAATTAACAACTTTGTTTTAAAATATATAGAGAGACTTGTTATTAATATAAATAACAGTTACCTTCCAAAATTTGTTTTATTTTCAAGTTTTGATACTTTTGATGTAAAAAAAAAAGAAAAAAAAAGATTTTTCTTACAACAAAATCATTTTCATAAAAAGAAAATTTTGATCATTATTTGCAAATCTGTCATTACAGTATCATTCTTATTATACTTATCAAGTTTTGTATGATACCAGGTGCCAAAGTACATCTTGCCAAGAATTGTCTGTAAAATACCGCCTGAGTTCAACTAAGACCATTTCATGATTGTCATTTACAGAATAATTGATATTGAAGTATATTGTACTTCACCGACTATACTGCCAACAACAACACTTAGTATTGTTGTTTATCTAAACCTACTATAATAAACACTTTATTAACTGCTATTTCTTTCTTTCATAATTATGAATAAACCATGATTTAGTTATTTGATTCCTGGTTTATATATAATGTCCATTCAGTGGATTAAATAACAATTTTATTAACTTTTTTAATGTTCAAAATCACCACATATATTCCTTTTTACCTTTAACAATAAACACATTTTAAAAAAAAAGACAATTTTTTTTTTATAAAATATCAGGAAAAGGATTGCTTTTCTAAATTTCTAAAAATTTTCTTTACTCAAAATTCCAGATTTACAATATTGCCACCACATATTATTTGAATCAATAGTAAATGATTTTAATTAAAAATTGATAATTAAAGCATGAATTAGTATTCAGTTACAATTTTCTTTTCACATAGATCTAATAACCTAGAAAAATTAGAAGATTCCTTCATAATGTTGGTAGATCTAGTAGACTGGCAAAACTTCAATGAAAGCAACAGTTGAGCAACATTTTTGTTATGGTCACTCCTTTTAATAATACAGGTAATTTCAAAAACATTCCAACATCAATGTCTGTCTTACAACTTTATTTGCCACATGAATACATTCTATTTACATAAACTTAAAAATATTTTTTTTGTTAAAATATTTACACCTTCATACTAATGTCTTAAGATTACAAGCTACATAATTTCTGTAGATTATTGATTTAATATATCCCATTCACTGTTTTCTTTCCACTTTAATTTTTTACGCATTTTCGATTTTCCTGATAATTACGTTCCATAAAAGATATTGTTGTACCGTAATTGAATTTTCAATTCATAAATATCACAATAATTGTCATCCTGTTGAATATGTTACCTCCACTAGTCAATGACGTTATTCAATTAACATTGTAAATAGCTGAAAAACTGTAAGTAAATACCTCGTCTATATTGTATATAAAATCACAACTTCAAGTTTAAGAATCAATCGAAAGTTGATCAAACTTACATAAAAAGAAAAGAAAAAAAATCCTTTCAATTGTATATAAAATAAGAACTTCAAATTTTATGGGAATCAATCAAAAGCTGATCATGAAGAGAAAAAAAACTTTTCTGGAATGACATGAAACCTTGATGACATCAATGATTACAATATAAAACAACCTGACTTTAATCCACAGTATGAAACTTCCTGTCTGTAGAACTGTTTCAGGTCAATACAACCTTTGTTGTATAATGACATAAATGTTTCATATACAATACCTAAATAGTAACATTATTTAAAGGCCAGGATTGCCAGCAATATGTGAAATACAAAAGGAGTCAGTTATTGTCAATATTTAACTGACCCATTATTATCTTATAATGACTCCTGTAAATGGACAATTTAGGAGACAATCAATTTCTAAGTAACATAATTACCAAGTTGTCCCATGTTTTTCTATCAGTACTGGTAATAACCGTTGTTACAGATTACTGCTCCGGGAAATTACGATATTAGCGGCCATTTTTTGTCATTTTCCGAGGACGATTATAAATGACCAGACAAAGCCAAATATAAACGTAACAGACCTTGGACAAAATAACCGCAAGACTGGGGTAACGAGAAATTAACCAATCACAATAGACCAATAATAAGCAATTAGTTAATCAATAAACAGATATCTGGACATATGCCCAATATATAGTTTCTTTTTTTAGCCAGATGTCTTACTGATATATAAAATTATCACAATAATAACAAAAACAATTTTGACCATCTAGAAATTGTCTAATTATAAGTTAATTCATAGAAGAAATATTTACAATCTAAAGATTATAATCATAATCAGTAACAAGATAAATTTCTAAAACTGTTGTCAAAACTCATAGTATAAAACATTTCCTTTTAATTTCAAAGCTCATAAAATCACCTTTATTTTTTTTTTTTATATTTGGTTAGTTTATAAAATTAAGTCAATTGTTAAATTGTGAATCCCTTTTTGGGTAACTCACCTTAGAAAATTAAAGCTTCAATAAATCCAGATACAATTTTTACAACTTTTCTTCTAAACTAGGCTAGATTGACTGTAAAGTTAAAAATCATATTCCATTCGAAATACATCTCCAATACTGTATGTAAATCAAAGCACTGAATGTACTGATGGGGAGGCTATGAGAGAATGTTTCAGACTTATAGTTTCTTTTCTTTTTGCTTAAAATATGCTACCAAAATAAAAAGATATGCACATTGCGCTATTTATCCTTACTGTTGTGTTCAACCATTCATATATATGGTTAATGAGGTTGACTATTCATTTTGTTAATATTCCAGAACATTTAATTAAGGTCTACATTCGGACTGTTAATCATGCAAATTTTGAAAAACCTAAACTTTCAATAATAAATGACATACCAGCAAGTATGACGACTGTTCATTATCAGATAACAATAACATTTTACAACTGACGGTTCCTTATCAAAATATTCTAGGACTGTTCATCATAAATATTTTATGTCATTTTAATATTATTGAATGATAATAACAACTGCAGTGATGCAACATTTTTATTGAACATAAAAATTATACACGTTTAGATGTACCATAATTGAGATCAATAAGATACTGTCTTGTGATGAGTATTAACATTCATGCTCTACGGACAGAAGGTTGTCTTCTTCAGAAGCAAATTTCGAATAAAATCACGTTTCAGAAAATTAATCCCATTTCATTACTGACGGCGTCGGATAATATTAAAGCTAAATATTTCTTGAAAAAATACATCTCTGCAAAGCTTATTCAAAACTGAATCAACCTAAGTGAAAATTGATCAGGAAGTTATATCTTCTTTTTTTTACCGCCAACACTCAACACTCAACCAACTTATGGTAGTTAATCGATAGATTCTACGTGTATTTTTAAACCTCACTAGCTTGAAATATATACTGCGGAAAATCTGTTGTTAACAGGGTGTGCGGTTATTACGTAGGGTTTTCCCTGTCGACCATTTCCCGCAAATAGATGAGAACATCGAAGCCGCAGTGCTATATGAATGGTGTTATAAATGGCGTGTTTTGGAAGTTTTTGTTGAAACTTCTCCAAATA